GATCGTTGTGGGACGCAGCAAGCTGGATGACATAACTCCTTGTCCATCTTCAGCTCAACGATCCGCCGTGACGAAGCATCTAGCACTGTAGCATCGCCGTTTTTTTGCATTCCATCGTCCCCCTTGGATCCTTTCTCTCATCCATGGCCTTTGAGACGCGCGAGTATCAAGTCTGCATCACTTAGCTTCTTCGTGCCTTCGACATGCCTTCTTGAGCGCTGACACCCTCCCCCCCAGCCATGTGCCTTACCTGTATGCAAAAGCCCAAGGGCCTTTCCTGGCCCACGAGGTTGCACTGCACCCCTTGTCAACGGTGCTAGGCAATGCCTAGGCTACCTACCCAGGTAGTCTCCAGAAAAAACCAAGATGCATTTGTGCATGTACAGTATTTCGCTCGTATGTCAACAGAGTCACATCGCACATCTACAAGCGCTCGGGGATCTCGTCCTTCAAGTCCCCTCCCACGCCATTGCCACGTTCTCTAGAGTAGTGCCACCCTCCCTTCTCTTCACACTGCAGACATGCTTTGCTACATGACTTTACTAAACACGACTGGTGCCTGGATTAGCCATCTCGACCCCTGGTCCGGCATAGCCTCTAGAACGATTCGACCATGCCGGCCCTTTCCAACTCTGTGCAGGTGCAGCAACGAGGGAAAAAAAGAGTACGCATGCAACTATCAAAGGCACGATGGATGTACAGTCATTCCTTACAGACAAATCTGCAATGGAGAGAAGGGAAAAAAATGGGGGAGGGTGGCTGCGCGTCCAGTCACGAGCCGCTCCTCTGTATGGAGAACCATGGATACGACAATGAGCCATACTGCGTGCACTGCTACTCTGTTCAGCTTGCAATCTTGCAGACGTGACTGGCCGCGAGTGGATAGCCGTTGCAGATTACCACGTGCTTTGCCAACCCTCAAAATCTCCCTCGGGAGGGAAGTGGTGTGTACCCAATTGCTCCGTATTAGAGTGGGCGAATCCCACGGACGGCTGCAAAGGAGTGCACATTTGCTCCTCACTGGCTCAAGACTTTCGTGCAGTAACGCGTAAACTAGACAGACAGGGCCCCTGGTGCGGCTCCCCGATACCCATGTTCACGGCCATCCCAGCATCGCCGACCTATCCGGCAATCACTGGCTGTCTCATAGTCTCTCATGCTTGACGTCTTTGATACGGCGTCCTTCTCGGGAGCCTCGTTTATGCACTTGCATCAACATCGCCGACTGACTTCTAGCACAGCCTTTCAAGTTGAAGATCAGACCCATGCATGACAGTGGTGGTGGCATACCAGTGTGCGGAGCCTGCATGCTGCTGCGGCGAGCTCCGTATGGACACAAGTTCCTAGTCCCAGTTCTACTGCTAATGATGCCTGTCCATGACTTATACCAGGGGCCTATTGCCTACCTACCTAACCGGATATCGCGGCGGCAGCCGGGTTGTTTGCTTTCCGCCACGAGTCGCCTGTCGTGCCTCTTTTAGATATAGTTCTGACAGCCTGACTCGACAACTTGGCCCCGCAAAGCAGAGCTGGCACTGAATACTTGCATCAACTGGACCCTGGACAGCATGAGTCGTACGAGGGCAGCTTGGAGCTCTACTAGCTGGCAGTACTATTCTGCGGTATGCTTTGGTGAAAATGCAAGGGCAGTGTCAGTCTTTGTATAATTGATGGGGAGAGGGGGGGGAAGGCATTTTTTGAACTCATGACACGCAGAATAGTACGTCAACATGCTGCCATTTTCCCTCTCTTTTCACGTACCATGCCCTTTTCTTCTTCTCTCAAAAGAGATGAATGTCAAAATGACACTGGTCATTGACAAATAAATTGGGTCCATGGCCCCAGAGCAAAACCTATCCCCAAACACATGGTATGGCAACAAGTTTCCCCATCCATTGCCACGTACCTCTAGACTTGAAGGCAAGAAATACAAGGAGAATTAGCAGCCTTGGTGGCACTGAAGCATCCGCATTTCTCCAGGATGCCAGAGGGATGGGTCGCAAAGGCGCAACTTTCAGGATGGAGAGAAAAGGGAATGAACCAAAGGCGCACCAAAACGCAGGACGTAGCACTTACCACCCCTCCAATGGAATTGGTTGAGGCTAAAGATGGATTGAAGGAGGAATAGGTAACTGGGCTGTTCAGTAGGCAGGAATATTGGCGTGGTGTCGGCAGATAACCATGGTTAGCGCTCGGGGGTGCCATCTTCGGAGATGGGCCGTCAGGATTGCGCTTCGTATGATTCGTCACCAGGGCTAAGCGACTCGTTCAGATTCCCTTTTCAGCAAATCGTATGCGATCGCCGTCGATCATCAATCACATAGTGGTGAACAACCATCCGACTCTGGTGCCTGCCGACCACAGCTAGGAACAGGACGGGCTGAAAACAACGGCATCTAACTCGGCATTAGTCTAACTTGGATTGGACCGACAGGGTGAAATGGCGATGAAGTTCATGTTTCATCACATCGGCACCTATTCTCTTTCAATCTCAGAAAAGACCTACAGAGTCCTGCAGGGCCACTGCAGAGCTCTGCTAAGCTTGACATTTGTGCCTAATATCTTTGAGGCCCCGTCTGCAGTAGTAAGCGGCAGATGGCACTATTTCGGTCCCCCAAAGCCCGGTTTAGCTGATTTGGGTGCCACTGGCTGGTTTCATCTGCCACTTGTGCCTCGGATGGACCATTTTCCCAAAAGATAGTTGGGGAGACTGAGTGGTATAGGGCTGTATAGAGAAGGAGGGAAGTAGGGGGGTCTAGACGCAAGTTGTCGGCCCCCTCGTAAAAGATAGAAAGAAAAAAAAAATAGCCGTGTGTAAACATGCTTGATGGCTGGCTTGGTGGCTGCCTGAAGAAAGACCAGCTCATAGAACGCCACACCATGTGGTCTGTCCCAGGGAGGGTGAGTAGGAGAAGCTGAAGCTGAAGCAGCAGCAGCGAGGGAGAGGTGGATGACCTCTGCTAGTCAATTTCATACCTTTTGGCGTGTGTGAAAAAGAGACGAGAGAGAACAGAGGTGCAAAAAGATGAGGTGACGGGTCGATGCAGACAAAGTGCGAAGTAGAGTGCAGGTACTGGGCTGGGGAAGTTGTATGGAGCAGAAGCCGCAGCGAATAAGACGGTGTACAAACACGCTGCCTAAAGGTACAATCTTGATACATCGTCAATGCTACCCAAACGGGCCGCAATGTGACGCTGTAATGCAAGATGCTCCTGGCAGGTGCATACGGCGACGCCGTGGTTAGAGCAGAGGCCAGCACGTGTTGGATAGTGATAGGAACAGTTGCTGCGACCTCAGTCCGAGCCGTCCTGCAAAGGCGCGAGACGCCCAAAGGAGCGAGACCCCGAGAGGAGCGAGCGAGACGCCCATTGCCCGGCTGGCTCGTACTCGTGTTTCATCGAGGGCGGACTGTGCGTCTGCAGTATTAGGCGTACGACAAAGGCAGCGCTCGAAAAGTAATTGTTGCTTAGCCTCCCAACGTGCTCCGTAATGGACCTCATATACAATTCACAATCGAAAGAAAAAGTAGAGCAAATATAGAGTGTGTTTAGCCCATACACTGCGACCCGCCTTCCTCGGCACTCGCCAGGCGGTCCGCCCAGCTTTGAAGACGTCCGCAAAAAACGACGTCGGACAGGCGCTCCGTACTCCGCCCGGTCCGTGTTTATGCCCAGTTGCTCGGTAATGGAGAGATGCGATACTGTAGCAGATGATTGGGATAGATGATACTACATGGTAGATACATTACCAGTTTTGATATAACAAGGTAGCAGTGATAGAACATCATACGAGATACGAGTTGCACATACCTGCTCAAAAGTGGATGGGTGGATGGATGGACGAGCGGCAGTGACGACAACACAAAACACCACGCTGTACTGTACTGTACATCTGTAACAGGTACTCTATCGGAGACCTGCAAGAATGCGGACAACGAGCGTGCGCCTGCAGAGTGCAGTGCGGCATCTTGGATGAAACAACCAGGCTGCTTGCCACTATTGAAGGCGGTGTTGCTGTCATTTGTGATACTCCGATGCCATCTCAAGAGCTGTGACCGCAAGAATAACTAGCGATCAGAGGCAACACCAGCAAAATTAGACGGTATGGTCATAGCCTCGGCGAGACACACTAGTTGCAGATTGCTGCGACTGAGGCTGCATCCGGGGAGGCAAGAAGCTTCAAGGAAACGTGGACGCTGCAGGAGGCTCCATGCGGCGGACCAGCTTTCTTTCTTCCCCTTGTCGCTTCGCCGCCGTATCTGTCTGCCAGCACCAAGGGACCCAGAGGACCCAGAGACAAAGAGGTCCACAACAGCTCCAAAGTTTGTGTGCATACGCTGTCACAGACCCAGGCCAAGGGCTCCATTCTTGTGCGTCCATATGCAGTGCTGTGCTGTGTGTTGCAGTGCAGCGCACGAGGCGTGCCCGTCGCGGCGGTGCCCATCTGCCCCATCCCGCCTTTTCTCCCGCAAAACTGAAGCTCCCGCACTGGAAAAGGGCGGTCGACCAGGGCATCATGACGGGCCCCGCAATCCACAAGTCCACCAATGGCTGCATGCCAACCAGGGCGGCCATTGACGCAACGTGAACGGGTTACACGGCAGGCGGACTCTGGGCACGAGTGTCGTCGCCGTTGAGGAACAAGCTTCGACGCCGCCGCCGCCGCCGCCGCCTTTCTGCGCGCTGGGCGTGGCCATTAAGCCGTGACGACGAGTTGCAGCCAGCAGGCAGACAGGCAAGGCAGGCATCGGAGAAGAAGGAATGCCAGCAGGAGGGGCGGAAGCACAGCAAAAGGACGCCGGGCTTGCGTATATTCGACTTGGCGGTGACTCTCTGTTACAAGAGGCGAGATATACTAGCACTGCTAGCAGCTCCATTGACCATTGACAGCCGGGGATGAGCTCCTAGAGCTCCCCTTGCCCATTAAAAAGAAGAAATTGCGAGCCTAGCAGGAGCTGGCTGTCGGCGATTCTGCGAGGTCCCTCTCAGCAAATCGCCGTCTCAAATCTCGAGCGACAGCCAGGGCGCGATTCCTGTTTCGGGGGATGCGAGAACCTGTGGGAAACCCAGAGGGCTGAAGACGTACATTCCCCTGGTTGCTCGCCGAATCTCTGGCACTGCAGCACCGCCGATTTGAAAGACGGCGACCCGCGCAACGCGGCCAATGGCAGGGGAAACGCCACGTCTTTGCTGGGTCCGCCAGATGGAAACCAAACGGTCTCGTTGCACCCTGGTCCGCTTCCCGGGAGAGGGGACCTGGGAGGGGGCCGGAGGCGGATCATTGGATCGCTCAAGTCCAAGGGGGGGTGGCGTCTACAGAATGTTAGCACAGATGTGACGACCAGGATCATGGCACGACAGGGAGGGAGGGGTGCACAGAACGTAGGGCTGAACCAGGCCCGACCATCCCACCGCATCCCAGCAGGACAGCACAAGTTGATCAAAGGATGCGCCCCAGGGCAGCCAATGGGCGGCGTCGGATGGGGCTCTGAGATGCTGCTGGCCAACAACATCCTTGCCCAGACGTCCCAGACCTCCCGCACCGCGTACGCCCGCTGCACAGCGTCCCGCTCGGCATGCCCGAAGACGTTGGGATTAATTGCTAGACTCACCGCTGGAACAGCAGAGAATTGGCTGCATCTCTGTCGTGGCACAGCACACGGCGCCGTATCGGGTAGCAAGCCAACCTGAGCTTTGGCCATGGACCAGATTGTTGCATCTGAAATCGCCCTCATCTCTCGTCTGCCAGCCAGCCCTACAGCCCGACTCCAAGTACCGACCGGCGCTCTGGGTCAGGCAGACAGACCAACCACCCACGATGAACCGGTGTGAGCCTGACGACAGCGATGATGCCGCTGGTGATGCCGCCGCCTTGTTACAGATCCGCGTCCGTGCTCGACGGCCCGGAGGCAGCGCCGTGTCTGAGCCATCCAGATTGACTAATCCAAAAATTCGCAGATTGCGCCCGTGATGCATCGCAGCTCAATTGTGGTAGACCAGGTATTCTGGAAGCATGCCTCTTTCATTTCGTCGTCGGTCTGCTGTAGGGCTCCGTGCTGCGATGCGATGCGTTGTCGCCTGGATGCTGGGGGATCCAGGCCCATGGCGGACGCAGATGGGCTGCAGCTACAGCTTTCGCCAATGAGCTGTTTGTCGAATCGTACGAGGAGGAGGCTCCTGCGGCGATCAAATCTACATTAGCGACGAGGGTCTGCGACTCCGTAAGGTGGCATGATTGCGTCTGCGGCGCTGCGGGAGAGACACGAGCGAGGCATTGAGACAGGCCCTGCACCCCCGCGGCGTGTGACAAGGCCGCGTCACGTGATGGCTTCGTCCCGATTTGGGAAATTAGCCCACAACTTGCGCTACTCGCACTCCACCAATCAGGAGCCGCGCTGGATACGGTTTGCCGGTTCGGAACAAGAGAGAACAGAGTACAGTAGCCAATACCTCGTCGTTCCAGCATTAGATAAGCCGTTGCTGAGTGATCGGTACTTTGCCTGGTGCTCGACGGAGGAGCTGCTCCTGCCATGCCGTCTTTGTCCTGTCTCCAAGCGCCAAGGCATCCGGCCCCGCCCCGGCAAAACTAGCCCCCAAAACGAGGGTCTTCGACACACCGTTCTTGACATGTAACTCGTGCTGCAAAGAATTAAAACTACTGTTGACACGACGCACAAGGAGTGATGATAGGGCCCTCCAGAAATTAGCTGCCACTGATGGGATGAATGATGGCACCGCATTGAGCAAAGAGTCAACGGCCATCCCAGCCCAGCAGCTTCAGCCGCAAAATCCTGCCAGGCGGTCTGGAACCCCTGGGACAAAAGAACCTTAAAAACACCATGACAAAACGAGCACCTTGCTGCCGAGGCGGACTCCCTACGAGTGCTAACGAGATTACGAACTCGTGATACCGGTCTCTGCAGAGCGGAATGCCTGCCTGCCTGCCTGCCTGCACAGTGCTTGGGACAAGATGCTCCATGCATCAAGGCAAAGCAGCCCCCTTGTGACAGGGGCTCGCCGCCACATCGGGGAGCAGAAGCATCAAGTCGGGCTTGGCATGATGGATGGTTGATGATCGAGGTTTCCTACCCACTAACATCGCCGAGATCTCAGCGTGCCACGAAACGAGAGGGGGTTTCGGGCAATCGAGAGAGAGAGACGCACAGAGAGGGAAGTTGAGAATTAGGAAAAGAGACGGGGCGAGTGAAGATCAATGGAAGTCAAAGTTGCCCGGGCCGGTTACCTACTGCGGTATACCATCGGATTGCATCTATATCAAGAACAGAACCGGAAAGCTTGTTGCGATATCGCCCCTGGCTGTCTACGTGACCGGGCTGCCAACCGGCTCCCTGGAACCGCAACTTACACACCCAAGCTTTTGGGATTGTGTCGTCCATTGGAGGAAGAGAAGAGCAAAAACGGGCGCTCTCTTGTCCATTTCTCCATCCCATCTTCGCTGCCAACGGGCCATTTGGAAGCTTCGTGGTTGCACGAGCTTGCCTTGCCCCATCTTGTGCTCTCCAATCATGCCGCAGCAGAAAGCAATTTGATCCTCCCCGGGGGGGGCGTGGGGGCCAGCCGATGCGACACAGTAGCGACCACATTAGGCAAGGTGAGGGCATCAACTGTTGAAACTATTCGCTGCAAAACCCACCTCTGTCCCCCTCTGCCGCCCCTCCTCTAACAGAGAGAGAGACAGCGAGAAAGAATATGTCACCAGTCTAGTTTAGCTGCGCCGTTACAGACACCTACTTGGTCAAGCTTCGCCTCCCCTTTCCGCGTACAGGTACTGCGCTCTTTTTGCTGCTTTGTACCTACTATTTAAGCTCTTCGCTTGGGAGACGCGGCACAGAGGAGGGGAAAGGGAAATCAGGCGCCCGCTTCGTATGCTAGAGCTTTGGTGACATTCTCTTTGTCTAAAATATGGAATCTGGGTCTCGTAATTGAGTGATGTTCGACATCATTTGTTGGCAAAAATTACTCGTTGGATTTGGTTCACATCCTTTGTTCGCCTCCTCCCCATATACCGTAGCTCTGGTCAGAAGTGCGGGTCAAGAGGGAGATCAGAGGGGAACAGAGAAAAGGGAAGGGGGGAGGGGGGGGAATAGCCAATCATCCGCGTGAGAACCTTAAGAAAGCTGCCATTCGGGGAAGCAAAGGAAATGCAAGTCAGAGAATAAAATAAGAAAGAAAAAGGAGGTGTTTGATGACGATGCTGTCATTCCTTGGTGCTGTTTTAGGGAACGGCACTGCCGGGACGAAACCAACGTTTGTAAGGCTGAGACGCGCGCCGGCAGCTGCAGTAGTTTGGAACACACAGACGCACACATGCTCCCAGACAGAATAGCAGCAGTAGGTGGTTATTACCTGACATCCTTACACCTCATGCCGCTGGATTCTCACATCCTCCCCCCAAAAAAAGTGGCCTTCTAGATGCACGGTTGGTGCGGAAAAAAGGTGTGCAGTGGCAACAACAGACCGCCTCGCAGGCGGCAAACTGAGGTGAGTTGAGTGAGCGAAAGGGCGGAGTGGCACCTAGGTTGAAGATAATCTACAAAAAAGATGTAACGCGGATTACGGGGAGTTGGTGTGCAACCGCGGGGTGGAAAAAAGCCGAATGCAATGTATACACAGTTTGGGGTGTGTAAAAAGAGAACGAGAATTGCTTTTTTATCGCCCTCGATACGGCGGCTATACGGATACAAACGGGGTAATCTTGTTAGTCCTTTTTGTTATCAACTAAAAGAACAAAAAGTTGCTAATACATAGACTTTCACATTAAGAGCAAGTTACACAAGATAGATCCATATCAAAACGCAAGATCAAATGCGCTGATTTTGTTTTGGAATCCTCGCTGCCTTGCAAGCCTCTTTCTTCTGTTATTTCAAATAAAGTCAAAAATTTCCTTTTTGGGTATACTGGCGGCGAAGGGGTCCCGGGCTTAAGTGGTAAAAAGCGGAAGCATTAATTCCGGCCAGTCGTTTTGGAGAAGAATGCCCCAAATACCCCAATACACACGCCCCCTTGTCTTGCGGGCATTCTATCTAATCTACTGCGTCTTCGAGGTAAAATTGAAAAAGAAGTACTACTAGTAGTCACAAAGAAAAGCAAGCATTTTGGGGTCTTTTGGAATCCCCTCTCTCTCTCTCTCTCTCTCTCTCTCTCCGCTTAGTAAACGCAAAATTAATATGTTATATGCTTGGCACTCAAAAAAAAAAAACCTTGTAAAAGGCCGCGTGCGTGCGCGCGCGGTTACTTGGCGTGCGGCTTAAAAACCGGTATGCCCTTTTGATAAGGCTTAGAGGGAAAAAATCGGGGTATATACAAAACCGGGGGACTGGGTGTGCTTTGATAGCCGTCTCCCCGGGTATGCCATGATTTGCTTCCGGACACGGGAGAGCGAGCGAGTGAGAGAGAGTGAGTGAGTGAGTGAGTGAGCCAGTGAGGAGGGAGAAGCTTGCGTGGGAAACGGGAGAGGGACAAGGGCGAAAATCTCATTGGCGGCGTTTCTCTGTTGCCGGCAGCCCATTTCTTTATCAATCACATCTATTCGCATCGTGCTCTTATTAATTCCCCCGAATGGGCTGTGCTGCCGCGTGCTTTAGCTGTCCCTTAGCTTTATACGGAGTGCCCTTTTGCCTTGCTGTCAAACAAAAAGTACTAGACGATTCCTAAAACGAAACGAGGCAGAATCAAAGGTAAAATAGATTAAAAACACTCGAAAAAAGTTGCTCTACAGGTATGCTAGTTATGGAAAAAAAACCGCAGTAGTGTAGCCACACCAATTGGAAGCGAAGGAGGGGCGTGTGCACGTAGGCATGGTTGATTTTCATCGATGCCTTGTCCGTCCCCTCTGCCAATTCTCGTCACGTTATTTGTTCCTCGTTTCCCGAGGATCTGGAGCTTGGGAATTGAGTTGTCTCAGATGATCCAGCCTTCTCTCCTTGTGCGAGCGCATGTGTGTGTGTGTGTGTGTGTGTGTGTGTGTGTGTGTGTACTGCAGCTTTTGGCTCCTCTTGGCTTGCTTCCCTGGCGTATAATTTCCCGATTAGATCAAACCCCGAACCCCATGGCCATGGCAAAGTCCGAACAGCAAGAGGGCACCAAATTGTAATCAACGTACTAATCAAGACACCGACCTTTTATCTTTCATCTTACAAACAGGTTGTATAATCATGATTTGTCTTGGGGTTCCCTTTCGGTTTACTCTAAGCGAGGCACAAAGGGAATAAACAGAGAACCTCCACTGTGGAATCATTTTCACGAGGGAGGAGTTGATGATATCCCCCAAATCAACAAGCACACATCACTTTATTACAAGCTCCCGGGTATGTCCCGCCTCGCTTCCGGTTCAGGTATTTTATTTTCCCGGGTATAAGGTAAGGCAACGCAAAATGGCAGTCTAGGCAGGTACCACAGCACAGGCTAGCGCCAAGCGGGAAAAAAATCCCACTGGAGCGGCACGTTATATTGGAGCGTTGGGTACATGACTTGCCGATCATGCAAGAATGTACGCATCTATTTTCCGATATCGTTCAAAAGAAACCCGAACCAAGAGTTTTTGCGGGAATATGGAGCACCGTTTACTAGCAAATTTCCTTATAATGTAGGCCTTATAAAACACTAGATGGAGATGCCCAAAAAAGAACCACCAAACAAAGCCCGGACGGACGAAAGTGGAGACGCTTTTTCTTTACGGCGCCCCGTTTTATTTAGGTGAAGATTTGATATTTGGGTTGTTTGAAGAAAGATACCAAAAAACACGAGCCGCCCCCCCAAAATTTAGAATGGGAGCCCACTCTAAAAAAGGTACCTTGGCAACATTTGGCGGCAAATCGAAAGCGGGAGACCGGGGGAGGGGGGGGGGGGTTGAAAGCTCAAGCTTCTGTTTCGATGTACAAATTCCAAGACGGGTTTAGCAGTAGGTTTAGAGGTACCGACTAACCCTTAGCTAGAGCCCCCAAAAAATACCCAGAAGTAGGAAACGCGGGGGCCTTGTCACTCCAATTGGACCAAGAAGGGCGTGTGGGAACCAATCAAACGACACTGAATGCCTTAGGTAAAGCAACAAACAAAGAAAAACGGGGGAGGGGGTAAAATAAAGGGAACTCGGACATCTCCCGAGCGCAAATTGGAGCTTATGGCTGTCGGGACGTTGTCTGCTAAAAGAGCTTCAGAGTACTGCTAAAGACATGTTTTTATTTTAGCAGCAGAGCTGTTTTGCACTTATTCCCGAAGTGCCGTGAATATTAAAAAAATCATGGCACATGTCCGGCTTCATGCGGTCTTATCGCACTTTTGGCAAAACACCGCTCTGACGGCTTGTCGTCCGTGGCGAAAAAAAAAAAAAACAGTAAGAACCCAAAGATTGTAATCGATGGCGATTTTGGCGTCAGACGGGAAAGTCAGGAAATGCGGAGTTTGAGTTTCTGGTACATCATATGTTTATCTTTGCTACAGTATCTGAATGAGCCTTGGCTGTATTATAGCGTGGCGATGCCATAAGAGAGGCTCTTTAGGATTTATGCCCTTTACTCCCCGAGAAGCTGCCTTGGCCTTGTGGGACTGCTGTTCATATGGGAATGGGTCGATCGCCAGAGCCCAGTTGTTATATGGCGAGGGCACTAAAACAGCGAGCCTAAGCATTTTAGCATTTCGGATTTGCTGCCTGCCGTTAATCTCCTACTCCGTTTTTTATGCTCTGTGCCGCCATGTAGGCAGATACAGTACGGTATCTAAAGCTGCCTCCGTCTCAAGGTTGGATGGGGCACGGCCAACTTCAACTTGACTTGCAGCATATTCCTGAACTAGACTGCCCAGCACACGTTTGCAAAAATCCCGCCGAATGGCCGCTGCTCTAAAATGAACGGAGCAGCCCGTCGCAAGAACATGAATAAATGAAGCGGCCTAGGTAGGCTACAGCACAGCTAGTACTTTAGTGCTGTCGCCAAAAAATCGTACGACAATTTCTAAAAAAACTCTGCTTTGCTTTTCTAGCTAAGCAACCCCATGGCAGCTATCCGGAAATAGGTGCGAAGCTATATATGATCCCAGGTATATTTAGCTTCGTGATGTGCATAGCGTCGTCAAGGAGCAACGATACAAGTCAAGTCAGGTCAGTGATGGGATGAAGGGGGGGGAAAAAAAAAAAAATCAAATTTGGCTTCGTTTCGCACTAGCGGGCGCATCCATTGCCAGGATCGGAAATGCGCAGTCTGTTCCAACGCACCTAGGCGAACCCAAAAAAGAATCGCAAGAGTCGCGATAGTCCACCTGCTGTGTCCTGACTCGGCTGGCAGATCTGGGTAGGGCTAAGCCAGAATTGGCTCAGCTGGCGAGACGCCGCTTGGCAGACTTGGAGGTGATTGAAACGGATTGAGCAGAAATGCAAATACCTTTCCGACCCCCATGCTCAATCTCCAGTTAGTCCCGGAAGGCAGAATAAAATACCGGAGACCCATGGGAATCAGTTACAAGAGTACAAGCTGCTTGTAACTGTTTGATACTGGCAGCATGGTTTCCAAGGCCGGCTGTCGCTGGGCAGCTTCATTGGCCTCCCAGCCCGCTGTGGAGCGAAGATCCGGTTATCCCACTGCTGGGGGACCCCCTTGGAGAGCCAGAGAGAGCTTTGCCACAGCTTTGGTGCTCGTGGGTTTAGCAGCGTTTGGGGAGAGCTCTGGTGGGCTCCCCACCGAAATCGGCACAAGATTCGTCCGGCGCTCAAATTTCACGCCGCCGGATGGGCCGCGCGCGCCGCAAAGCGGCTTTTTTTTTTGTTGCGAGTTCGTCGTGTATGTCAAAGTATCGCATCTACCTATGCCTGGCGATGCCTCCTGAAAGAGGGACTTAAAGTGGACTTGCTTGCGGCGAGGCGAATTTGATAAGAGGGGAGTTGAATAGATAAGATTTTGACGATTGCTAAACGCACACAATTGCCTGTGGCGATGGTTGCGGTTGGTGTTGTTGACCGCCACTAGCAAATCCCCCCAAAGGCACCGGAGTCAGAGCCGCTCGTACCAGCCTATGATGTACGCCATGCAAAACCGATGATAGCATCGTCTGCTTGGCAGCTCCATTGCCCTGGACCAGCCCCCCGGGTAGCGCCTGTTCGTCGTCGATTTGCATCACACTAGTGTCCCAGGAAATTACAAAGTCGCAACCGTACCTGTAACCATGGCTGCATAGAAAGACACACAGAACGAGAGAATCATTTTGCCCATCTCCCCAATGGGGTAGCCGGCTCTCTATTTCGAGCTTTGGCCAGCTTCGCATTCAGGGCCCTTGTCCCTCTCCCCTCGCCTCGCCTCAACTCAAAGAGCTTGGGAGGGGCCCCCCCAGGCGGACGGATCCAGTCCACCGGGAGTGGACCGTGGCCGTTCCAAAATGCCGGTTATCCGCCAAAAGGGCAGGCAAGCAAAAGAAGAGCACGTCGTCTCGGCGAGGTCACAAGCCTCTCCTGGCTTGCCCAAAGCGGTAATGCTGGGGATACCAGCCGGGTGGTTAGGGTTTTTCCTATGTGCGCCGCATTCGTCCGACCTTGTTGGTCCTGATATCAAATACCTGGGAATGGGGATAATTAGCCTGGAAACCGTTGCAGAGACGGAGGCGTTGGCTTGGGATCGTCGACCAACAACAGGTACAGTACGTCCAAGTAGTATTCCATCTTTAAAAAAACTGGTTGTTGGTCAGAAGAGGGAGTTGGGAAAACGGCCCCCATCACATCATAGTACCGCGGCCACGGCTCGTGAAACTGAGCCCTTTGCTAATTTCGCTCCAATACGAAGGCCTCTTTTGGGCCAAAGGCACCTTGCATCGATCTCATCGTTCCCTTCTGTCGGGACACGCCTCCTGCTCTCCACTCGAGACCCTCGTTTCTCGCTTCGTTTTGGGTGGTACAGTAGTGCTGGGTACAGCGGTGGTAGCATTGAACTCTTGTGATGCGCAGCTTAGCCGCCTTTTGCGGGCGCACCGCGAAACCTGTTTATAGGGGGGCAGATCCACGGGGGGGACGGAAAGCGCATGTAGATACCGTACATTGCTTGTAGTTGGCATCGAATGTGATATAAGAAAATATGGGCTTCTTAGCGACCCTTAAGCGATGGTTCATGCCACAAGCCAGATGCGACCTGGGGGCGTGAGGTGAGGTAGCATTGATGCTGGGACGCCGGCACTGCTACCACCTCGAAGGAGACGAAAAAGTGTCAAGCGACGCCCTCTCTTTCCAAATCAAATTGTTTCGAGTCCCCAAAAACTTACTTTTTTGGAATTCCTTGCAGCCAGCCAAAGTGCCTGCGCCCGCGGACCACGTTGTTGGCTCGGATATTAGCCGTTCCGCGCAGCTGTGCAAGTGGCAGTGGCAGTGACAGTGACAAGCCGGCACATTTCCGTTGGGATTATCGTCTTGACAAGCACACAACGGCGGGAATAACTAAACGTTGCTTGCAGCACGTTCGGGCTGAGAGGCGGCGTTTCATCATGACAAACATCATCATCACCCGGTTTCCCGCTCTGCTAACAAGAGGCTGGGGCTAAGCCTGATGGCGGCAGTGGGTAGGCAAATGTGGCGTTGCGCCGCAGGGTGTTTGGTATGTGATGCGCGCCCTTTTTGGTGCTGGTGGCTGTTGAGTTAAGGGTGGGCGCCACTAGAGCATGAGAATAGATGGGCAAAACTTGGAAACGGCACTTGGTGCACCAAACTAAGTCTCCAGACAATCCCCAAGCTCTCCTTCTTACCCCGTACTTGTGCCGCCTCTAAGAAAATGAGGTGCTGGCTGAAGGCGTTGTTACAAGTTGACAACCGCAATGCAATCTTAGTCTTTGCCGTCGCTCTTGGCCAGAGCCCGCCAACTTCGTTCCTCGTTCTCGGCTCATTCATTTCCCTCGCTCGCTTCCTTTTTTTTCGCTACCTAATCTACAACCATGCGCTGTGTTTGGCGGAAGCCTTATTTTGACTCAGGGGGGCGGGAGACGTGACCCAGCGCCTTGGCATCCTGCGAATGTTACTGCCGCTTATAGTAAGAAAGGTAAAAGTAAGGGGAGCTGAGCTGAGCTGTGCTAAAAGAGAGAGAGGCAGAGGAGGAGAGGAGAAAAATAAGCCTAATGTCTGCCTTGCTCGTAGGGCGAACCCGATCCAAGGGATAAGATCCTCCCGGGTGGCCTGAAAGAGCACGTCCAGCGAGCGCCCTATCCACAGCGTTGGGATGTAGGGCTGAGATTGAAGGGGAGACTCGGCAGACAAAGTTGACATGTGGCAGATGGCGTCGTCCCGACGGGTAGGGACGGCGGCCTATTGGCTGGATAAGGGGCTGCTGGGCCCACACCCCCTGGCTCCTCATGATGACAAAAAAGGGCTCCGCTGGTCATCTGAAGTCCTGGCTCTGGCAAGGGAGTGGCCGCCGCTATGCCGGACTCTGTCACCTGGGACTTGGGTCGTGTGCTGCCTGTGCTCGCTGCCTTGGGTACACGGTACCAGCACCAGAGGCCAGTGCCGTACCGTATGCGACGGCCAACTCGAGCCGGGGGGTCGGGATCTTTTGAAGAGCTCCCGGGGAGCACCGCGGTGGCCGTGGCATGGCCAGTCCCAACACCACACGCACGGCACGAAAACCTGGGCCCCATACCTCCAAAGTTAATGAAAGGGGTGTTCATGATGATTGATGATGATGGCCCCCATTCTCCATAAATTCCTGGCTCTGGATTGCTTTCCCCTCATGTCGATGAGTCGTGCTACGCATCATGCCAAATCAATTTCTCGCGGTAGTTGGGGCTAAAAGGCATCAACACTTGGTGATGACCCTTGATTGCCTGTTTCGGCGGAGATGGTGACGCGAATCACTTCACTTGCCATTTTGTCTCCTCAGGCGGGGGTGCCCTGATAGCGGGTTTCTCTTTTTAGGCCTTTTCGCTTTTTTTCAACTTCCGGCTTGTAGCCGTATTCGGGCTCTCGTGCTATTGTATGCGCTTCTCGCTGGCCAGATTTTTTTGGGCCCGGAGAAATTTGTCCCTCATATGCCGGTTTGGGGAAATATGATTACCCTGGGGAGATTAGTCACCGCAGTCGACCAGCCCTTGAATTAAGGCGATGTAGGTAGCCGCTGGCCGTGTCGTCAACCTATAGATACCTACTTCTTCGTGGACTATCAAGTAAGTCGTACGGTAGGTGGTGCAAGGTAGCCACCTGACCCAAGCAGCAGGGTCGTCTAATTGGGGCCAGAGAGGGCCAGAGAGGGCCAGTTCTGCGGCGTCAAGTAGTGTTAGGATAGGTGCTCCATACAAAGTGGTGATAACATGTCGAACAACTCAGCGTGTCCCCATATGGCTGCGGTATGCGACAGCGCGGTTGGAATCGAGCAGGAGACAATAACACGGCTATGCATAGAAGGGGCAGATCGGGCTAGGTCCCCCATCTTGCATGCCATGTAGCAACAACACCACGTTGGCCAACGTGAAAGGGCGAGAGAGGTGGGTTGGGACGGCACGGTTGAGCGCGCTGACAATGGTGCCATCGAATGCCATGTGCTGTAAATGAAAGATGCTGTGGGGGGGCCCAGGGCAGAGGGAAACAGGTGCGTGGTAGATATCTCCGGGAGGCTCTTTTTTGGCTTAGGCGATGCTATACATAGCATCCTGTAGATAGGATCGCAGAGCGTGGGCGTCAGCAGCAGCCAAACGCAGTGAAGCCCTTTGCACCTCGCTTGCTAGACTCGGCGGATTAGAAGGAAGCTAGCCAGCGATATCCCCCAGTGATTTGCTCGCGTGTAGAGGTCGAGCAAAGAGTCCTGGCGTCATGGGGGGCAGAGGCTCGGCGCTTGTCCGCGGCTCTTTTGGAGGTCCATGGCCGTTTTGTTTTGGCTTCGAAACAATTGCGCTGTTCCCAATCGCGCATGTACACTAAGGGAAAGCTAGTCCGCAGGCGCAATGACTTAGCAGCGTCCCAGAAGCAGGGGGAACGCATAGGAGGCGGGGCCCGTGGCCGTTGTCGTTGGGCGCAGGCCAATCACGCACCCGGCTGCATGGCTTTGGTAATGGGCGTCATAGGCGGCCCAAAAATAGCCTCCCATACCCCAAGCACGTGTGATGCCACGAGTTGGGCTGAATCCGAGCTCCTAGTGGTCAAGGTCTGGGACACCGCCAGCCGGCAGCGAGAGCCTCCGGTGAAGGCTGAGCCCAACCCAACCTCTACGTGCTGCCCTCTCAACTCAAATCCAAGGTCAACGGGTAGCCGCGCTCACACGCCCCCCCTTCCGAGATCCAGAGCTCGAGAGTTTTTAGCGGCGCTCCGTAAATAGAGGAGCATTCATGAAGAAGAGAGTCTAATACAGAGTTGAGATGGGAACTCGGAGCGGGCAGTGCTGCGCTTGGCGACAGCCGGGTGTTTGGTACTGGGAGCCATGCTAGCCGCCGCCCTACGAGGCTATCAAGCCTGTGTCGCCATTAATAACGTTTTGGCTAAGATTCGCCTATCATGGTGCGCCGTGGCTTTTGCCAAACGCTCATCTCATTTGACGTCGGCCGTTGTCTCGGGAGAAAGAGACGCCACGCCGCCAGGGGCGTTACCGTTTGCTTGATTACTCAGTTCCTTCTGCCGCTGTTGGGTGCCGGTACCGACAACCGTTCTGCCGCTGAGTTGTCGAGGTTGGAAATCATACGCCCGTTATCTCCACGTCCTCTTGTGTCGTCTGTCTGGTGCCGCAACCTAAAACTTACTTACGTCCGGCCAGTAGCTCGGTACTCGTCAGGATGGATTCGATCATGATGTGCCGCTGGGCCATTGGCCCTACGAGCGGAGTAGGATGAGCCCTACAGAAACGCCACCGCAAAGTAAGGTACGAATACATGCCGCCTGACAGATGCTATTGGCTTGTGGGATTTTGGGGAAACAAGCTCGCCCACTGCTACTAACACGGGAAAAAGGCTGACCGCAATACCGGAGCACGCTCGAGACCTTGGTACTTGTCTTTAGACTTGAGTGGATGGCGTTGGGAATATTTTGTAACGGGCAGCATTCTTGTAATTTTCCTGCCGAGATGCCCCTGCTGCCTTGGCATGAGCAAGGCATATGATAATAAAAAGCAAAAGTACCGTTCACCATGGCGGTCTTTGCAAACTTGCTACATGTTGAAACTATTCGTGCTGTCGCTGTACTGGGGACTCTATTGAGTCATGCTCTGGGAAAAGAGCGGGATGAGTACCTGTGTCCACAGCAGCACTACAGTAAGTACTAAAGGATGTATCAGATTGCAGGGGAGGGAGGGGCATCGGAGCCAAGTGGCCCCCCATTTGGGTGCCGATTCGAAGGCGTAGAGCTCCAAGAGCTCTGGATCGGAGTATACAGAGTTGCGATTCGAGCTCCGAAAAACACCAATCGCACTTGCCACAGCTTGAGAATCGGCGTTGCGAATCAGCCAGTGTGTGCGATTCGGAGTACTGTACTCCGGAATAGCGCTTGTTTTGACAGCTTGTCTGCCGGGTTTACCGACCCGGCCAAAGGCCACAAGTACACCAGGGCCGGCTCTGCTGCAACTATACGGAGTAAACAGCATGGCAGTTCGTGACGGTCAAGGTGACAGCAAATTGCCAGCTGTCCGTGCCTCAATGCTACTGTACTGTCCAGTGCTCTCCCGGCCGGGGGAGAGTCCGCTGGCAAAAGAACCCCCTTTCAAAAACATGTGGCGGCCATCCTCGTAGGGCGGAATGGCCAGTGCCAGCCCCGATGCGATTTCGTCCGAGAGATGCTTCTACGAAGCACAGCAGAAGGAATGGCGGGTGCCCTACCCGTTTTTCCCTCTGTTCCTTTCTGGGCGCAATGTTTCGAATGCAACGTCTCGACGTCTAGAAGCGCCTCCATACTAAGGGCTTGGCCTAGCATAAGGAGACTCCTGCAACTTGCAGCTTGACGCTTGACGCTTGTGCCTTAGCCGGCACCTTCAGGATCGAATGGCATTAGAGCGATGTCAGCGCAGCCCTATGACGACGACGGCTCTGCGTGTGAGTGCTGGGCTTAGCCATGCTAGCCCGGCCACTTGTACCTTACTTTGCCAGCAGACCGAATCCTAGCCCAGCAGCGTGCGTGCGTGCAGCACCGGTATCAGTAGGGATTGGCAGCAGATAGGCGGTCTCCCAGGAGCGAAAGCGAGGCATTCATTCCTGGCGCGGCCTGCCCAGTGCCAGCAATCCATCCAGGCCAGCCAGAGTCCAGTACAGTATACTCCAAGGCAGGCAGGCCCACTGCCTGGCATTGATGGGCAGCATGGCCGTTTTCGTGGTCGACGGATATTCGCCGGGAGTAGAGGCGGAGAGGGTCCAACAATTCCCCCGGGCGCACGGTCTCGAGGGCCGGCTGTCGCGTCCTGCTAATCATAGCACTTGTAAGGGGGGGGAGGGTTTGACGACGAGAGCGCTATTGTGCTGTGCTCTGGATATCGCGGGAAGAGAGGGTGGCAGCGCAAGGGACCGCCAGAGCCAGAGCCAGAAGCTAGAGGCAGATGAATGCCTGCCGGATGGGGCACTCGCCTGTGCAAGAGACAAAACCGGGCAAATTTGGCCCTTCATGACAAAAACAAAAACCGCTGCCACCAAGCCATGTGGGCTGCAAGAGACAGCTACAGTACGTACCTGGTAGCGGCATGGAGATGCTACATTTAGCAGACTTGTGATTTGGATGATTTGTATTGGGAGGGGGCACTTGGCTTGGCTCTCTGTCGCTCTTGCTCGCTGTGGCTCTGGCTCTGGCTCTGGCGCTGGCGCTGGCTCTTGCCTGGCACTAGAGAAAAGTACCTCTCCCGGGAGTCCCTGCCCCGTGTCTCTACACGACCTAGACTACTGTCACGCCTCCCGACTGCTGGCAGGCGCCACGCCCCCCCGGCCCCTTCTGGCTCCAGGCCCCGCCCCATCCGCTTCATCCCACTCGCAGCGCCCACACCATCGCCTACCTCCTACCTCCACGCCCGGCTGCTACAGCCACTCCGCCGCACCCCCTGTCGCTGCACTGCAGACACAGCCAGATCCGCTCCATGCAGCGACAGGGCCTGCGAGCCTCGCTACGTGCACGCCCGCGCAGCAGCCAAGAGGCGGGCCATGGGCACAGATCGGCCTCGCTGGGCGGTACGTACCTGGGCGGCATGCACTGGCCCTGTCACAGCTTCACGCCCGCACCCCTCCACCACCTCACCAAGCCTTGCTGGGCTTCACCAGCCAAAGCCCGGCCCCATGCAGCCCTGCAGAGGCCAGGGTCTGTCTGCATAGGTACTGAGCTTCGAAAGACACAGGCAGATAAGTCGAAGCATCCAGTATTTAACTCTCGTCGTCCTCCCATCTGGCCCAGCCTGTCATGACCATTCCGATCCAAAAATTGCTGAGACGCACATCATCTATATAATACCAATCGACATCTCATCCAAACCACCCATCAGTCACATCTTCCATCCTGATCTGATCAAGCAAGAGCCTCTTCTCTACTGAGCCAAGACCACACTGCCTTGCTTGCTCTTCACCCCTCCATCACCACATCATCAACTCTTCTTACAACAACAACAACAACACACACACACACAACATCACAATGGCCATGTTCGCCATCTCACAACAACACCCTTATGCCTACGCCGCAGTCCCGGCACCGGCTCCTCCTCCTCCTCGACACTGCTCAAACCACGGCACCAGCAGCGCCTTTAGCAGCTCTGCCCACCCTGATGAGGACTGGACCAAGATCTCAGATCTTGCCGAGCGCAGGAGAATACAGAACCGCATTGCTCAGCGCAACTACCGTATGTTTTAGCTACAAGACGTCATCTCTTCTGCAAAACCCCATCTAACACTCGACTGCAGGCAAGAAGCTTAAGCGCCGTCTGGAGGATCTTGAGCGCCGCGCTGGATCCGAAGAGGGCGATGCTGAGAAGCAGCCCTCGCCAGTCAGCCAGCCTGCCGCCAGCCCCAACAAGGTCGTCAAGCGTCAATCCATCTCCAAGGCTCACAAAGTGCACCAGGCACCAGCTCCTGTCCGCCTCCCGACGCCTCCCAAGACCATTGTTTCTCAGGGCCAATTCACTCCTCCCATGGAGTCTCACGACGAGCTGTCTTTTGTGCACCCCAGCTACCACCACCACGACGAGCGCGAGCGCTCCAACACGCCGCCCGTTCTCGCATACACCACATACCCAGCTCCCGACGAGCTGCTCATGAACCCCTATGGATCCGCTCACGCCTATCCTGCCATGACCACTGCTGAGGTCTACCCCAACTACCTCAGTGCTGCCATGCCCGCCTCGCTGCCTCCTCTGGGCCACTACAGCGAGCCCATCAAGCGAGACCTGTATCCCGACAACGTCATGAGCCCATACATTGGCTATGGCTTCATGCCGACTCACGACATGGGCATGTCCACTCCCTACGACCCTTCCAACAACCCTCTGGTGAGTGCGGCTAGGCATCAATTCTCTTACTCTCGGGAAATGCGTTGCTGATTCTGAATGCCAGACTCCTCCTCTGACGCATTCATACGACCACTCGGCTGCCTGCTCTGAGACGGGCTTCGAGTACCCTACCACCCCGCTGTCTATGCCTGGCTCTCCAGCCTTGATGCAGCACCAGCACTAAATCAATGAAGAAAAAAAAAAGAAAAATTTGAAAGGAAAAAAAAAAAAAGCCGGATTTCATACAATTCATCACCCTATCATCTACAAACCCGAAGTACATATATACATATTCTACCTTGTCGCAAAACAACAAGGCACTCGACATTACGGGGCAAAAAATGATTTCTGGTCTACGGCAAAGGGGGTGCACAACGGGATCTTTTCTACGAGGACAAATAGCATGGCGATTGTGTTGGGACTCCTTCATTCTTCTTGGAGAGCTTTGGATGAGCTCTTATTTTCTTGTGTTAACACCTCTTTTTTGTGATATCTTTTTTCATGAAGTGGACATTTGGGATGACTTGAAAGATGGGATTGGTTGGCAGGCGTTCCAAGGAGCAACGGACTGATATGCTTAAGCAAAGCACAGTTTATTGGTGTTTTCTCTGTTACTTCAATTTTTTTTTAATCTTATACTAGATATCCCCGCCGGAATACAAACGGAACGGGCACTAGAAGCGTGCTCCAAATTCAAAAAAATCAATTTACTTTACTCTACTTGCCAAATGGTTTTTGCCCAGTATTAGCACGTGTGATTTGCAATTCTTCCAGAGCTACGGACGAGTCGGTTGAGCTACTGGCCGTGGCTTGTGCTCTCCATGTGGACGAAGCCACACACGCCCGCCCTCTGCGGCCGCCATGGTGGAATACGCCAGCGCCACATGCGCCGGGCGCCTTGTAGGGCAAAAGCCAAGCTTCGCAGCTTTTTCGAAGTTGGACCTACGGGAAGTTTTGCGGGGAGAATATTTACCGGCGAGGCGGCGGCGGGCTTTTTTACCGTGTAAGTGCGCCCTTGTGTGTGTGTGTAAGAATCAGAAGCAGAGCAGAGCCTCGATTTCTAACGCCGCTAAAGCTTCGCCATCTCGGTACTTGTGGTGGCTTTTTTTGCATTTCGAGCACACCCATCGTTGCGCCGTCAAACACGTGGAAGACGAGGCGTCGGTGGGTGAGCCCATGGCGGCGCGGCGCTCTCTATTCTTAACAGCCGTTTCCATGTGTTCTTTTGTCAAGGTTTCGGTGGCTTGCGGTTCGGAGTTAACTTGGCGTATTGTGTCAACGCCGTACGCCTGCGTCTCTTATTATAGCAATTAGTCAGGCAGCGACTGATTAATCCATCGGAGCGAGAATACTCCGAACGCAGGCCTGGCGGCTTTCTTTCCGATCGGAAGTATCCGCCACAATCAAGCGATACACCCGAACCGCAACTTACTCGTACATTGACCCAACAAGGCTACTGCTGGCGAGCCCTTTTGCCAGCTTCTCTCGACCATCTGGACACTTCTCATGAGTGATTCCACACTGGCCTGATATCGCCGCTCGCGCCTGTTGCTGGTTTGAGCCCACGATGCACGCTACGACGAACCGGCAGAAGCTGCTCTATCTCTACGGCGGAGACCAGTAAGAGCCCCTCCTGCGTGTTTGATGCTTCGCTTGTCTGTCCATCACGCCCTGCGAACGCTGCGATGGCTTCTTTTTGTTTTTTGCCTCTTCGATTCAGTTCACCCCTCTGCCTCCAATGAATACCCACAATGAACGTGGACATTGCCTCGATCGGGGTAGACTCGGGTTTGGGTATGAGGATCCGAAATCTAGACTCTGGGGGTGGCTTCGTCTGGCTTGATACAGTTCGATATGTCTGTTTTTTTCCTTTCTTTATCTTCATCTTGGAGGCAAAGCACACACCCTTAGAGTTTACATGACTTGGAGGGGAGAAAAAAAAAGAAGCTATTGCAGGCACCAGCATAAATGAGCGGTCAAAATTAGAGCATCCAAGGCTAACTGAAACCCGCCCCTTTGGGTCTTGTTCAAAAGGCCCTGGGACTCCTCCTTATGGGTCACTTCTGATGATCGAGTTCGTGGAGGCGCCAGTCAGTCCCACCTGTTCGTGATAAATCCGGAAAAGGCCCGCTTCTATGGCCACCTTGATACCACGACGCTGGGCGGCGCCGGCTTTGCATCGCAGCATAGCTTGGGGGTCCTGGACTGGGACCTGTCCGACTACGAGGGGGGCATAGTCGTTGCGGTGGCCAAGGCGGATGGAAAACGCTACGCCCTGACGCTCAAGGACGAGATACCTCCGCGGAGAGGTGATGGACGCGCAGAAGCTGGAATTAGCTGGGAGGCCGAGTTCGAGGTCGTCCAAGACGGATCGAGCTTTGATTTCAAGAATGTCTATCTGCCGTGGAGTGCGTTTAAGCCAACGTATCGGGGGAGGCCGAAGCCGGATGCAGCACCGTTGGACTTGGCTCATGTGAAACGAGTCGGGCTGATGATGCGAAGGTGAGTGAAGAAGCCATCTATCTGCTTATAGTACTTTATTGAGCCCCTTGCTATATACGTGTGCCAAGACTTGGCGGCTAACGAGAGGTGGTTGCAGCTTCTTTGGAACGCAAGAGGGGGATTTCTCCATCGATATTCATGCTATTGCAGCCGTGAGCGAGGCGCCGGATGGTGGAGACGATGATGAGTTTGAAGACGACCCCAAGGCTGCTGTAGCTGAGGCTGCTGCGGCGAGGAATTCGCAGAGTCGTCAAAGTGGCTGGATGAGTCGGTTACTATGCGGCTTGATATAATTGAGAGAACTGACAAAGCGGGAGCGAGGAATACCCAGTGAAGGTGATTTGATACGCGGTTGTTCTATTATTCAATGACGTTGTCGACAATACAGCTACGGCAACTTATATATACTCAAAAAGCGCCGATTGGCTCAACTACTCAACCAATCAGCACAATTGAATTATTCCAACCACCAGTTCAATCTACAAGCTTAATGCAATGCGGAACCAGTCGTCTTTTACAACTGAGATTATGCATGCGGCAACAAGATGCGCGCGAATAGCTTCTTGGAGCTGGATCGGAGAAGCTTTGGCGTCGACGTCACCACGCTTCAGCTTCATTCCAGCCATCCAATCCTTTTGTTCATATGTATGCATGCAATGCTACCATATATTCTGCTGGATAAATTGATTGCATCCCATATCCTCGAAACAGAATATTCTTTTCTTTCTACCCCTCTTTTTCCATTTTTCATCTTGTGCGAGATTTACTTGATCCTATTCTCCGTCGGTCTTTTGAACTGAGTTCTTACACGAGTACAGCTTTCAATTAGCAGCCCAGCTCCAACGCAAGAGGCCATGACACTCCTCAACCATTTCCTCCACATCACCAACTTCCACTCCCCCCTCCTGCGATCCATCGTGCCTTGCTTCGCCACCGCCTTTGCCATCCAAAGCGCCGTCGCGATCCCCTCCATCCTCGCTGGTTCGGAGCGCTTCTACGATTTGTCGGGCTCAGTGACCTTCCTGGCTGTCGGAGCGCTAAGCTTATATCTCCCCGCGCTGCGAGCTCGCGCGGCTGCTTATGCCGCCAATGCCACAAATGTTCCTCGGTTGCCGAGCCTGATTGAGCTCCTGAAGGGGGGTGCGGGTGCGGGCGCGGGCTCAAGTGCGGGTGTCGCGGTACTGTTGAACTGGAGACAGCTCGTCTTGACGGGAATGACTGCGGTGTGGGCAATTCGACGTGAGTTTTCATTCTTGCAATGCTTTAAACCCGGGTTCCTTATGCCGAGGGGGAGCTTTAATCTTACATTCGGACGAAAACCGTACACTGTCTTGTCTTTTTTAAACTCGACTTACTAGTTGAGAATGAGAATGGGAGAAACTAACTAGTTGCTCATACACCACCAAAACAGTTGGCTCGTACCTATTTCACCGCATCCTTACCTCCGGCCATGATTCTCGATTCGATTCCATCCGCCACAATGCCGCCAAATTCTCTGGGGCCTTTTTCTTCCAGGCCCTCTGGGTATCGTTCCAGCTTATGCCTGTGATTATGCTCAACGCCGTCCCGGCAACTGTGCTGGCATCTGCGGCGATGCCCAAGCTCGTTGCCACGGACGTCATTGGCATATCGATTTGGCTGGCTGGCTTTGCGTACGAGGTCTTGGCCGATGTGCAGAAGAGCAGGTGGCAAAGGGAGAAGAAGCTCAAGCTGCATGATGAAGAGTTTATGACGAGGGGGCTTTTCTCCAAGAGGTAAGTTGTAAACAAAACCTTTTTTTCTTTTCTTCTGAGTTATCGTGTAGTGCGGTTTCATAACTTGTTTTTTTATTGAGTCTCAAAACTTGAAAGTTTATTGTACACCTAAGTTATCTGGATATTGTATTTGATCTGACGAGATTATCTGATAGTCGGTTCCCCAACTACTTTGGGGAAATATCCCTTTGGGCCGGAATTGCGACTGCCTCAGCTGGTGTCCTTGCCCGATTGCCCATCCAGCAAGCGTTGGGATTGTCTGGAGGCCCCTTGGGTGTGATGACGACTTCTGTCTTGTCGTTTGTTAGTCCTGCGTTTGCGGCCTTTTTGCTTGTCAAGGTATCTGGCATACCCCTCTCTGAGAGAAAGTATGATGAGCGATATGGAGATAGGAAGGCCTATCAGGAGTGGAAGAAGACTACGCCGAGGTTGGTTCCAAAGTTTTGGTGAAGACTAGGGAGTATGTTTTTTTCTTTCTTCACTCTTTTCTCTTGTGTTATATCTTATGGTTAATGAAATAAAATAATTTTAAACTTGGAGAATGTGAAATTTGTGTGTAATTATAGGTTTATATATATGTGTGCGTGTGGATTGATAGCTTCGTCCACGAACAAATGAAATCACCAAACCAGCTTTTTTGCTATATATGATGCAGGTTTTCTTTACGTTCCCGTGTCATGCATTCATTTCCTTTCATTCTCTTACCCACTTCCAATTTTTTTTTTATTTGTAGAATGACTTGACCTTTTCAATCTCATCATAGCTGCCCATGAAGATGCCTGACCTGTCGTGGATGTGCTCTGGTACAACCTCCAGCATTCTGTTCATGTTGCTATCGACGGCTTGGCCACCAGCTATCACACAAATGTTAGCATTTACATTGACACTCAATTCAGTTGAATATTGAGACAAAACACAATGGGAACTCACCATTTTCAAAAACCAAGGCCATGGGCGCACACTCATACAGAATACGAAGCTTGCCCTTGGGGCTCTTCTTATCGGCAGGATACGCAAAGATGCCGCCGTACAAGAGCGTGCGGTACGCATCGGCAACCATGCTGCCAATGTAACGCGCGCTGTAGGGCTTGCCGTCGGCCTGCGCCTGCTTGAGCGAGTTGAAGTAGTTGATGGTCTTGTCCTCCCAGTAGAGCGAGTTGCCCTCGTTGACGGAGTAGATGGAGCGCGCCTTGGGGATGCGCATGTCCGGGTGGGACAGGATGAACTCGCCAATGCCATTGTCGAGCGTGAAGCCGTTGACGGTGCTGCCGCGCATGGTCATGACGAGCTGGGCCGAGGCGCCGTACATTGTGAAGCCGGCGGCGACGAGCTCCGTGCCGGCCTTGAGGATGTCGGCTTTTGAGGCGACGTCGACGCCGTCGGGGATCTTGTGGACGGCGAAGATTGTGCCGACGGAGACGCCGGCGTCGAGGTTGGACGAGCCGTCGATGGGGTCGCAGGAGACGATGTAGCGCGCGCCGGTGGCGTGGGGGAAGTGAATCTCGGTCTCTTCCTCTTCGGAGACGAGCATGGCGACCTTGCCGCAGGAGCGCATGGCCTCGATGAAGAGGTCGTTTGAGATTACGTCGAGCTTCTTCTGCTCGTCGCCCGTGGTGTTGGAGGAGCCGGCGAGGCCGGTGAGGTTGACGAGGGTGGCGCGGCGGATGTAGTAGGCGATGGATTTGAAGGAGTATTGGAGGGCATGGCAGAGGAGTCTGTTGTGAGTCTCGTGTTAGTCGAGTTTTTTCAAAGTTTGTGACTGTTATTGGAATTATGTTGACAAGCGGTGCGATACAAAGTCAAACTATAGAGGGAAGAAAACGTACGTGAAATCACCGGTTGCTTCTCTGTGCTTGATCTGCTCCTCCGTGAGGAATCGCGTGAGGGTGATGATGTGGGTGTTGACTTTTTCGCCCGTGTCTGTCATCTTGGCGGTTTTGGTGGTTGATGATGTAATGTGGTGTTTTAGAGATTGGTTGGGATCAAAACGCAGTAGAGAGCTTTTCCTCTTGAACAATTGGATTCCGTGATTTCTCTTTATTACGGAAAAAAAGTTGTTCAATGGTAGAAAGAGGAAGTGGTGATTGGAGTTGAATTGAGCTCTCGGGATTGAAGCTCTTCGGCAGCGATGACGCGGGGTGGGTTATTCGTGGGGTTCGGCTAGTGGAGGGAACAGTGAGAAAGATGGAGAATTGGGAAATCAATAGAAGTCGATGTTTTTTTTTTTGGGGCTAAAATATATTCACGACAAAAACGACTGAATATATATAGACCACCAGAACAAATAGAAGAAGAAGGAAGAAGACGCCTCCTGACTAAGGGGGATGCTCGCTCTTTTTGATCACAAGACGCTGCCGAGATTTGACGATAACTCGCCCGCTGCCATCCGGCCGGGAAGACTAGCTACCAAAGCAGGAAAAAACGCAGGGTCCCGAACGCCCAGGCTCTTGTTTTTTTACTAAGTACTGACCTTGTATTACGTATAAAGCAAAAAAAGGCAAGTTCTGGCTACTCTAGGCTCTTTTTCCAGGGGGGGGCATTTCTTCAGCCAATCCGAAGCTGAATGGAAGAGCCCTTTTTTTTTCCATGTACATCATTACAAAGGAACTTTGCATAAGCTATGGGTGGTGTTCACGGCAAAGGGCGAGTAATAACGTTAACCGACTATACCGAAGCGTGGCCGTTGACTGGCTGTCTGGGTTCCCTTCCGGGGTGGGTTTTGACGGCATTTGCCGGATGAGAGGAGCTTTTTTTCTTCTTCTTCCTTGTTGGCTCTGTGCGTAATGTAGATGTACCTCTCTTATTGTGTGCTCCCCCTGAGAAACAGTTTCAGCTCAAGTGTTGGAGAGGCCCGGCTATGCCCCGTTGCCCGGGAAAGCTATTGTCTAAGAGGATTTCCCGGAAGAGGAGACGCGAAAGGCGCTGGTTGGAGCTAGCAAGTTCCCTCGTTCGGCGGGGCGCGGGGACTCACGTGAGTTGCGTCGCTGGGCGAGAGTACCGAGAGAGTACCGAGATGCGTTACATAATCTGCGCCGAGATTCGCTTTCTTTTGCTGCACGTGAAAGACACGAGCCCAGCTGCGGGTCTACTCCGGAATTTGCATCTCTGGGTCTCTCTTCTCCACACAGCACAACTCCAGAACAATGCTGAGCTAAGCTTCTCTCTCTCTCTCTCTCTTGATCTCTTCTCCAGCTGTGGGGGAATCTGGACCTCGGCATGTTTTTACACGCCACAAGTGCCGTCGGCTTTCTGCAACCATACGGTATGGGCTTGAAGCCTTTCCACGGCTAAACACGAGACACTTCTGACTCTCATTCACTTATTTTTTAATTCTTCTTTTGGCCCATTCCTCAACTTGTTCTTTTTCTTCACCTTTTTTTCTCTCTGTTACGACCTATACCCCCGTTGAAATTGACATAACCGTCTTTTCTTCTCTCTCGAGAAAAAGCAAAAAGACGTCATTTACGATAACTATCGATTGCCGAAGCCGATAAGCGTGCGCGTGCTCCTCGATCCGAAACATCACGACATCTACAACAACAACAAAAAACCACCAACAATGGTCGCCGACACCCTCGTCTACCACCCCTCGGTGGCTCACTACCTCCGCTTCGTCGCCACCACCGTCGGCCGTGACAAGATCCTCCGCACGCTCCAGTACTTTGCCCGCTTCTACGCCTGGTACCTCCTGCGCACCAACGGCACGCCCTCGCAAATGGCCCCCTGGAACGCCATCAAGAAGCAGTTTGGCCTCGCCCGCAAAATCATGCGCGTCGGCAAGAACCTCGAGCACGTAAAGGCCGCCGCCCAGGCCGCCGACGCCAAAACCCTCGAGCCCTTTTTGCGCTACGCCGCCGTCGGCCGCCAGATTGGCTACGCGGGCTACCTGTCGTTTGACATGCTGACCGTGGGCGACGCCGCCGGCATCCGCAAGTGGTCCGCCGCAAAGACGCTGACGCAGCATGCCTATCGCTTCTGGGCCATGGGGCTGGTCTTCAGCGTCGCGGCGCAGCTGTATACGCTGTACAGGCTGAAGGAGCGCGAGGCCAAGATTGACCGCAAGGATGGCGAGGGCGTTGTCGAGAGCAAGCAAATCCTAAAGTAGGTTTCTTTCTACCCTTTCTCTGTTCCCCCCATATATACTTCCGGGAGAAGAGGAGAAAGACTAACATGTGACATTTTTCCCAGGGAACGCTTCGCCAGCCGCCTCCAGCTCGTCTCCGACGTCTGCGACTTGACCGTCCCCTTCGCCGCCCTCAACTGGGTCGGCTTCGACGACGGCTTCGTCGGCCTGGCCGGAACAGTCAGCAGTGTAATCGGCGTTTACTCCCAGTGGAAGAAGACCGCCGCCTAAAAGGCAGTAATATGGTGTTTTCAAAAAGAACATGTCCGAAAGGAATCACATTGGGGAAGAAAACCTCCCCTTGATATACACATATTTGTCGGCTTCAGCAAACATCCTTTCATCAAATACTTTTGGTTTTCTTCCTGGAAATGAGCGACATGTTTCCTTGAACTGGTGGAGATATACACACATGTATATACATGTATGAGCCAAGAGGACGGTTTGTGTATAATACTAACAGCGACTACCTCTCGCGTTGTGACGGTCGCCAACGCTGAGCTGCTTGCAAGCAACTCTTTTAATGCCATATTCCTCATGTTGATGATGTTTTCTTGATTCATTTCGGTTCTTTGTTTCTTTCAGTTTCTTTCTGTTGCTGTTCGAATAGCACGTCGTATATGGGTTGAGAACGTTTGGATGCAAAAATGTTATGTATAACTAAGAAATAAAAAGCAGTAAATTAAAAAAAAAGCAAAATCAATGAACCATACATAAATCCCGTTAATCGTACAGCCTGACTCTTCTTGCCTCCCATGTGATATCATGTGTTCCCGGAGATCCCTTCCATTCTGTCAATGGCTGTCCCATATTCATTCTGATCGTCAAGAGCCTCATCGTCCGGTGTCCACTCGTATCGAAATAGCAAATAGCAAAGCTGCTCGTTGATAAGTCCAAACTCCCCAACCTTCCACACTAGATACAAGTCCCGTAATACCCAGCCTCTGCAAACCATACGCCCCAACTTTTCGAATTGATAAGTCCGTTTGTGGTAGGTCATCTATCACGTTTGGTCAAGGCCAATTTCGCCAAGAGAGCGAGCGTATAATATAGAAGACGTATAAAAACAGGCAGTGTGGGAAAGTAGAGCTATACAGCGTAGGCCCCAAGAGAGATGAGAGGTGAGAATAAGGAAGAATAAAATTTACCAGTAGCGCCCACCACGATCGTAGTCTCGCGCATATCCTTCTCGAGGGTATGCTGGCTCTCTGGGAGGAAAGTCTCTTGGTGGCCGGTCATAGGCAGGTCGACCGCCATTTGCATACGGATCGGCAGGAGGCGGGGGATAATCGCGGCGGTAAGGCTCATCGTAGCGACCTCGAGGGGGCGGGTAATCTTCCACGGGCCGGCGAGGAGGTGAACGATAGCGCGGAGCCCGGTCGTCATAGTATTCACGGCGAGGGCTTCTGTCACGGTAGCCATACGATGGTGCAGCGCCTTCGCGGTTGTAACCTCGGTGAGGACCGCCTCGGCGGTCATAGTTATCAAACTGCGGCGGTGGGTATGGCCTACGTCCAGGTGAACGAGATCGGGCACGGGGATCCCGCGGGGGCATGTCGGGTTGAGTCTAAGCATACAGAGTGAGCAAGCAGTCCGCCTGAAAGGATATGCATCGTGATGGGACTAATGTCGGAACTTACGTCAACAAGGCACTGGACACGGGCGCCCTTGAACTCACGGCCGTCAAGCTTTTCAACGGCTGTTCTCAGATCTGCAGCAGTCTCGAATTCGACAAAGCTACGGCCCTCTCGTTAGTCACAAACACACATGTAAGATTGGGTAGCCTAAAGTTTATAACAGCGCTTACCCTCGGCCATTGGAGTCGCGGCCTGTCTCAGAGTACACCACATCAAGGCTTGATTGACGGGCGAAATCTTTAAGGTCCTATTGGTAGAATCCACGTAAGTCGTTGCCAAGGAGGAGAGCAAAAGCCTGGAGAGAACAAAGTCCACGTATCGGCAAGCCAAAAAAAGAATAAATGATGATCCATCAAGTCAGGAACCAGGGATGCCAAGCCAGAGTCGCCAGTCCAGAACGAAAGGGCTGAGAGGGATAGTGCGGGGCGCACATGCCGACCCAATGCAAAGCATAGCAAACCAAAGCGCTCCAAGTATGTGATGAAAAGGGCATGCAAGTCCCGTGGAATCCAGGTGCAACAAACTGGGAGAGGGAACAGACCTGCCAGCTGGTATCATTGGGAAGTCCCGTGATCTGCATTCGGTGAGGAGTTCTACGCGGTCGCGGCGGCGCACGCTCGTGCCCCATGCCGCCCTCTCGGTGTCGAGCTCCACGGGCAAACTGGACGGTGAGGCGTTCTCCCATAAAGTCGGATCCATCTGTATTGTTCAATCGCGGGTTAGTCTCGAGCAAAGCGCAAGGCGACAGAGTATTGACGGGGAAGAGAGATGGAGATGAGGTAGAGATGGTAGGGCGATGGACATACGGAAAGCTGTAATATGGCGAAGAAGAACGCGCGATTGGTCAGTATAATAGATCCTGTAGCATATTAATACTGGGAACGAGGTAAGGCGAACCTGGAACGACGTCGCGAGCATCCATAGCATCCTTATACTCGATGAATCCGAAACCGTTCATAAGCTTCACTTCGGTAATCTCTCCGGTGCCGTGGGTCGCAAAGTGAGCCTCGACATCGGCCTTGGTAGCTGAGGGAAGCCAGTTAGTGGTAGCCACGGGAGCAGGAAGACAATGGAGATGGACCATTTCGAGGGAGGTTCCCCAGGTAGAGCCGGGTGGACGAAACCTCAGTCATGGTGGCGACGACCGTAAAGAGTCCGGGTATATCTTCTTTCTTTCTTCTTCTTCTGAGTCTCAGCAGTAGGGCCACCGGGCAGGGCACTGGGATTCTGTTCTTCTTTCGTTCAGCAGCGGTCCGGCGAATCGTCCACGGACCAGGAAGCGCGATGAAACAAACGAGCCCAGACGTCGAGCCAGACGAGAGTGAAGGACGAGAGAAGAGAGAAGAGCAAAAGATGGTGGCGGCTGGTGGGAGGAGAAAGCTGAAGCTGCTGTCCGCGAGCGAAAGAGGCTGGCGGCTGCAAGGTTGCACCAGGACGGTCAGCGGCGGCAGAATCGCCGAGACGGGCTTAGTCGGCCCCGCGTTTCGAGCCTGCAAAGCCCTGCTAGCAAAGCCGGGATCCTCTTTTCCTGCTCGTTGCTCTTTCTTCTCTGTCCGCGTGTACATTTGCATACAAGCAGATAACGCAGGTGACCTCTGCCGCTTCGCTTGTGAAGTTGAGACCCGCCTTTTTGCTCTCCGCCCGCCTTTTTTTGCCTTTCCGCTTGCTGTATGCGGATGACCCAAGACCCAAATTACGTAGTTGTCGGCAGATGGTACTTGTACGCGCCCCGATGGTGTGCATGGCGTGCAGAGCAAGGTATGGGGTACCTACATATGTATGTACTTAAGATACGCGCATTAGAGGAGGGCTGCTAGTACGAAATGGCCCTAGAGGTTCTGCTTCGAGATAGCTTCAGATACCGTGGCATGTGAAGAAAACTATACGTCAAAGTTTGTATTCAGCACTATACAAATCATACGAATCATGCAATAACCAGGCTGCAGGGAGCAACTAGCCGCAGCGATTTGCCTCTCAGAGGGCTTCACAGCCATCTTTCTCTGCCTCCATCTACCCTGCCGTTGCCGTTCCCATTCCGTGTGATTGACATGGTCGACCTGCATGATGCCTCGACCGACTTGGAAAAGCTCGCCACTGTTCCCGTGCCGCATGTGCTTAATACTACTCGATGTACATGTATGCAAGTCATGACGCAAACTCTTTCAGGGTGCTCCGTAAAGACAACTGAGTATTGGACATAAACGTTTGTCTCGCAAAGTGAAACAAGGACTTCACCAGGTGAATCAGATCCTACTAGTAGGTAGTCATGGTTATCAACTCATTGAAATCGGTCAAAGAAAAACAAAGAAAAGAGAGAGAAAGGGTCCCATATTGCGAATCATATTGCTATTTATTAATACGTAATCTAAGCGTGGATAAGTAACCAAGATATATGCCTCATGCGCTCTCCATAGTGGTAAACCGCCACTCCCCAAACAAGTTCTCATTACTTACTTGGCCGGTGTTCTAATATCCACCTGCCAGTCCCAAGTACTCACACCATCAAAAGTAGCAAAAAAAAAAAAAAAAAAGTTGACAAAAGCAAAGAGAAAAGAAAAGGGAAAGGAACAGGAAAGAAAACTCCGGCTACGTACGTGAAATGCCGCAACATGCCATATACAAACGCGCCCTCTGCTTCTATTTTCAAATGATCGTCGTAACTTGCCCAGTCAACCAGTATAGGCGATAAAGCCTTCTCCCTTCGTACCAATAGCACAATTTTTTTTCCTCTGCGACTTGTCTCGTAAATCGGCAGTTTCACACACCCATCGATGCTCTCGCTAACCCAGAATATGCACCTTTTTTGTATTATTGCCCGGAGATATTTTATGCTTTAGAGTTTCAGCTCCTTGAGAATTTGCTCCGCCATGTTCTTGTACTGCCATGTGTTTCCAGTCATTCTCTTGAATTGGATGCCGTGCAGGGAAAGCAGTGGAACCTTGACGATGAAAATCTCAAACTCCATCACCATGCTACCACCAAGATCGCTTTGCACTTGCGTCGTCGTCTCTCCAGGCACGCGCCTCGATACTCCTCCACTTCTTCGGGGGATGCTATCCACCGACTCTTCAGAGTTGGAGTAGCTGCGGTCGCGGTCTCGATTGCGGTCGCGGTCCTGCCGTCCAGGGGTCCTTGGGGTCATGGGGGATCGATCCATATCGCGAATGTCGTCGCGATCACGGTCCTCGCCTCGCATAAGGCCGCCAAAGCTAAAGCGGCGGCGATGGCCACCTCCTTGATTTTGAGCAGGCGGGCTGCTCGGTGTATCGTGCACCCTGTTGAGGTCGATACTTGGTGTATACTTGCAGCTAAAGCCTCCTCGGATCTCGACATAGTCGACGTTAAGCTGTTTCAGCACCCTCCGGATATCGGCACGAATAGTCGGAACCGTCTTGCCGGAAGTGGTGGAAACGCTGAAGAGACCCTTGAGGTATACGGGTTTCGCCAACTCAGCGCTGTCCAGTCGATCAGTGGAGACGCCGCTTGCTTCCTGCTCCAAATCGGTTTCTTCTGGCACATTGGCCTCTTGAGCGGCTTCTCTTCGCAGACGACGCTGTTGAACGCTCTCGCGACGCGCGTGTCCCAGAGACTTGGCCCTCATTGCCACTGATTGTGAATGCGTGTGGCTCCTCTGTACAGTCGAAGACTGGTCGTTTGTGACAGATTGGTCCGAGCCGCTCGTCAAAGGTGGCTCTCTCGATGACATGGCATTATCTCGTCGGCGAATATCCGCTGAATTTACACTGGTTGACCGTCCAAGTCCCGACTTTCGCGATCCGCGAATGCCACCGGCAGACATTGGGGGGCTCAGCAGCTCGCTATGTTGACTGCCGCCAGATGGCAGCGCAATATTGGCATGATCGTCACGGTCTCGCCGTCCACGTCGGATGCTGAAGCTCTTTCTAGGGGCTGTAGGGGCTCCTTCGGGTGGTGAGTGGACATGTACCATGGGAGGGTAGGAACGGTCTCTCTCCTTGTCTGATCGATCAGGCTCCCTGCGTTTCCGAGTGCTGAAGCGCCGGAGTAGGCTGGCAGTAGTGCCCTCCTTCTTCTGAAGTTGATCGGCTTTGGATTCAGGCTGTACAGGTACGTTTTGCTGTTTCACCAAGTCTGGCGCATCGTCTTCTCCGTGAGTACGAGCTCTAGGTCGAGTGCGTCCGCCTGTAGGTCTCTCGCCCGGCATTTCAAACGCCGCAGCATTGGTATGAGCCGCTTGAGGAGGTGCCAAATCAGGTACGGTCTCTGGAAGCTTTTCACGCTCACGCTCGCGTTCGCGTTCGCGTTCACGCTCTGCACGTTCTTTTTCCTTCTCCTTTTCACGCTCTCTTTCCTTTTCTTTCTCTCTCTCACGTTCACGCTCTGCGCGTTCTCGCTCCCTAAGTTCTCGCTCCCTAAGTTCTCGCTCCTTTTCTTTTTCCTTTTCGCGAGAAGTGCTTGCTGGCGGGCTCATCTCCGCATGCTCGCGGTCTTGCTTCTCTTTGACGAGATAGTAGATGGAAGTGAGGGGATTGAAGGCGTTCAGGGGGTCGGCACCAATCTGCAACGCCTCGGAGCTGGGCCCGCTAAGGGTGTCGCGGCTGTTGGAGTTTCTCCTCTTGTAGAAATCAAAGCCAAATCCACGCTTCTTCTCGCTGTCCTTGGTAGGTTGTGGCAGCTCCTTCTCACGTTGGTAGGCCTTGACAGCCTGCTGGTAATCCTCTGATTCGATAACCTTTGTAAGTTGAGTACGAATGGACTCGGGAGAGCCAAAGTTGAAGCCTTGCATGGCGTGGATGACTTCTGGCTCCAGGTTGGCGCTAAGCGGCTCTCGGACGGGAAGGTAATTATCTGGAGGTCCGCTGAATCCCTTGAGCATCCAAGGGTGGTTCATAACCTCTTGCATGGTTGCTCGTTGCTTGGGATCAGTGACAAGCATTCGGGACATTAGGTGTTTGCATTCTATATTGTAAAAAAAGTAACATGTCAGTACTCGGTTGATGACATCATTGGTCGCATAGGAGTAAGGCGGTAGGTGCTCACCATTTGAAAGCCAACTCGGGTAGTCGACGAGACCCTTCTTGATCTTTGCATGAAGAGCAGGCATGCTCTGATCGTCGAAAGGCACCTTACCACAAACGAGAACGTAGAGGACGATGCCAAAGCTCCACACATCAACTTCCGGACCAGTGTATGCCCTTGCTTGTAGCAGCTCGGGGGCGGCAAAGTAGAGACTTCCGCAGAAGGTCTTGAGATGGCCGCGAGGAGAAAACAGGTTACTGAGGCCGAAATCAATAATCTTGATGTCGCCAGTTTTGCTGATGAGAATGTTTTCGATTTTCAGATCGCGATGGACGATGCTGTTTCGGTGACAGTAGTCTAGAGCACTGGCAATCTGACGACTAAACTTGCGGGCTTGCTTCTCCTTGAGCTTGCCATGTGAAATGATGTAGTCGAGCATCTGGCCTCCGTTGACGTACTCGAAAAGCATATACCAATGATAGTTTGTGCGAACCACATCTCGCATGCCGCAGATGTGGGGGTGATGGAGAAGGGTGACAATGGCAGCCTCGCGAGCGGTTCGGATCTCCTTTGACTGATCGGCGCGCTCCTTCTCTGCCCGGCTCTGATGACCATCATCAGTAGAACCGCGAGGGATGATTTTGCAAGCAACCTTTTTGATAAACAGAGTTAGCAACGCAATGGATTATCACAGCACAGGTGCAAGCAAAGGGGGTACGTACCTGTTCAGACCCGTCTTCTTTGCGAGCCAGCTTCACCTTGCCCATGCTGCCGGCGCCGATGGTCTTGCCCAAGATCCATTTGCCCGACTGCGTAGGGATGGTGGTGCGCGATCTGGATTGTTTGGCGCTTGCGTGCGTCGCGTCGGCGCCGCCATGGGAAGTGTGGTGCGACGCAGCGGCCGAGCTGCCATTGTTGGCGACGGCTGAGGGAGGCATTTCGGCGTGGCCCTGACGAGTATGCGTGGAGCGGGTGCTGGTGCTCCGTCGATGGGATCGAGAGGCGTCGGCCGCTCTGTTGTTAGAAGAGAGCGGCGGGCGGTCTCGGCTGGAGCTGCGCTTGGACTGGGATGCGGCTAGATGTGAGGTTTCGTAGTCATTTTGTGACGACGTAGGCTGGCTGTGGGCGTGGGTCGGGCGAGACGACGACGAGCTGCGGCGACGGTGACGGGCCTGCGGCTGCTGCTGCTGCTGCTGCTGCTGCTGTTGCTGAGATGAGGCCGTTGCCGAAGTGGTTGCGTACTGCTGCTGCGGCACTCCGGGCGGTTGCTGCTGCTGGGCTGCTTGGTGGCTGCTGTGGTGATAGTACGAGTGCGAGTTGGCGTTGGTGTTGGCGCTGGCGCTGGCGCTGGAAATGGAGGACGCAGGTGGCCCAGCCGCGCCGCCAGCAGAGCCTGAGGGTACGGGAGGGGGGCGGGAGGAGCGTGTGGAATAGGACCGGGATGGGGCAGCTCGCGAGGGGGAGGTGTGGGAGAAGTCGGAGCCTTGGGACGCTGCGGCGGTTGTCATGGCGGTCAATTTCAATGCTCAAAGAGTCCCGTGGCACGTAGGTAAGGTATGCTCGCTTTGTCGCCGCTGCCAGGGCCCTGAGAAGCCGTCAGGCGTAGATTGGAGCAAGGCCCGCGGGTGCGTCACAGAGGCATCAAAGGCCCTCCTCTCTGCTGCGAGATAAAAAAGGAGAAGATCCACGCGTGGTCGGGGGGGCAAAAGAGCTGGGCCTGCTGGGGGGAAGAACAAGAGAGAGAGCGTGTGAGAGGAGAGAGAGCAGGGTGACAGTGGCTGGGACGGCTTCCAGGTAACGCAGCGCTGGGGCCCGGGTGCATGTGCTGGGCTGGGCTAGTACAGGTACTACGACGTCGATAGTACGGAGCACAGGTGCGCGATGCTATCAAGCCACGGGCTGCCCTCTGGGCTCCAGTTTCTGATGGAGAAATGGATATTACTACGGAGTACTGGTATCCGTTCACGTCGAGCTAGCAATCGGCGAGCGCCCACCTCGCAGCGCAGCACTTGTGCCGTCTGTCATACGAAGCGGACGGCTACAGAGGAGAGGCCGGGAGGGGGGAGACGAGGCCGGAATCGAGCGAGATGCCATCACTCGAATGTCTCCAGCTCTGGCTCAGCTGTCGCCAAGCCGGTGCGGATAGCATGGTAGGGGTACCACCTCGTACCTGGGGGCCTCACTTCAGCGGAGTGCTAAACCTGGCTCGCTGGGCTAGTGCCTTCCAGGGGCCGCGCGCTGCTCAGTGGTTGGACGGGGGCCTGGTACAGCTCATCTAGCATTGCGGCATCCCCCTCAGGCGTCATTACAGCTGCAGGCTCCACAGCGCATGTTCCCAGATGCTGGATGCACCAATGGACGGGACTCTATTGCCTGGATACGTCTGTCTGGTGCTGCTGTATTTGTTGTTTGCGCGCAGAGGCCTGAGCTGGCAGTCTAGTTGCTGCTGGTGTGGAGGTGCTGCAGCGCAATTTCATGCGTGCAGTATCCAGCGCATGGCGGTAGTAGCTTTGGGCATCATTGACGTGCTGTGCTGCAATTGAGCTCCGCGCCCCAGCTCGCGGAGAGGGGGACCGACCAACGACTCTCATCGCTTGGGTAGAGAAATAGAAAATTCCAGATGCTGTATTTTTGAAACGCCCATGCCCCAGCACAATGATTTCTCTCAGTCTTTTTCTAGACTTGTCCTATTCCGTCCTTGTGTCTTTGTCTTTCCATGCTTTCTTTGTTCTATTTCGTCATTGTGTCTGCTGTGGCTGGATACGTCAAATTCCTGACGTTTTCAGGCACCTATGTATACAGGTAAAATGCCCGTAGCTGTCAGCATCGCACGCTTCCTTTGACAGCACGGGCAGCCAAGAAACGCCATTGGCTGCTGACTACGGTACCATCGGGCTCAGCTTTTAATAGCACTTGATCCTATGCGTGAAGGAACATGAAGCGTCAATAGCTCCCTTTCGGCGATAAACAGCCTCTCCAGATTACCAAAGAATTGCTAAGCTATTGATCAAATTCCAAATTCTCGCGAGTAGATGACTATTAGACGGGTACCTAAATTAGGAGGCCCAACTCCGTATTACCGCACTTTTTGTGCTATGGACCTATATGCTGCGATGCAATGATAGCTCCGCCTTCTGGTGTCAGTAATAACATTATTGGAACATCTTCTCTAGATCATGGCATCTTAAGTCCTAAAGGAAAATAATTCTTGAACCACGTGGGACGCTGGAGATCAGGCCATGTTGAGATCGACTCCTCCCTCTCAAGCCAAGTAAAGGTGTAAGCTGACGATTGGAGCACGTCACGACGGTTGAAGTGTCCGATTGAGAGCTTGGCAGCGCCATCTTGAAAGCATTTCAGCCTTGAAAGTTTTATAGCAGTTCAAAATTAGTTCGGATTTGGTAGTCATCTCACGAGCCCAATTCTTTGTTCAGTTTAACGGCAGAAGCCATGGAAACACCACATGTATTCACAGCGCAGATGATTTATTTCAATGGCACTGCCGACGCTGGGGCTGCATTATAGCTGTTAGTGGGTCAAAGACCGGCAGGGCGGGCGGGCCAGTACCGAGGAGGCTACAGACAGACCGCTGCAAAGAGTGCATGTAGCACTGCAAGGCACTTTATGCTTTATCGATAGCGCATCTACAACCACAACTGTTCCTGGCTTGTGCCGACCTGCTTCATTCCTCTATAGGCCACGACAGTTATTTCTACGACTTTATTGCACACCCGTCAATTAGCCCAACGCCATGCTCTGATACCTCGCATCACCCCTATACGCCACGAATCTTTGCCTGCTAATTTTCCCGAATACGAAAGCACATGTCCTACAAGCGAACTCGGGCGACATTCGAGGCCGACCTCCATGCGCCGTATGCCATCTTCGGCACCCCTTTGCCAGAGGACGGCGAGCGCGACGATGGATCATATCTTCCCTTGTGGAAACAGGAGGTGAGGGATGAAAAGGGCAGGCGGAGATTACATGGAGCCTTTACAGGCGGCTGGAGCGCAGGGTAGGTTTATAGCTCTATCGCCCCATTCTGGATCACTACGTCTGACCGCCAACATAGCTATTTCAACACCGTGGGATCCAAAGAGGGATGGACGCCGGCCACCTTTGTATCGAGTCGCACGAACCGCCGCAAAGATGAACCTGCCAGTACTCAACAGCGCGCCGAGGATTATATGGACGACGAGGACCTGGCGGATGCTGCGGAAGCACAGACGCTCAAGACCACCCAGGCATTTGCCGGCCTGGGATCGTCCACCCAAGATGAGCTCCACGCCGGGGGGCTAATAGGCCTATTTAGAGCCGACGGAGATACAATGGGCCTGAAGCTGTTGCGGAGAATGGGCTGGAAAGATGGCCAGGGTATTGGTCCCAAGGTTCGACGGGGAGCACGCCTGGACTTGGCCGCAAAGCCTAACTTGACCGATGGCGAAACTCATCTTTTTGCACCCGACAATGTCGAGGTAATGCGATTTGTCCACAAGACCGATCGCAAAGGCCTGGGGCATAGTGGACAAGAAAAGCTTTCGTCGCTGCGCCATGAAAGCAAAGCTGATAGTGACGAAGAGGGCCAAGGTCGGGACGGCGTGCTCTCGATATTGTCTCGAGGAGGCACCAAGAAGAAACCACAACGAGGTGGCATTGGCATTGGCATCCTCAACGACACTGGGTCTGATGACGAAGACCCTTACGAAATTGGGCCCAAGATCAGGTACAACCGCGTTGTTGGAGGCGACAAGAAGAAGAAGGGAAAGAAGTTATCAGCGGCAGCAAACCCATCGCTGAAGAATGCTCCAGTGTTTATACCAAAGACTTCTAGGATCGGTGGTAGCTTGCGAAGATGTCAGGATGGAAGACTTCCTCTCGATGGGTTTGCCCTAGCCACAGCCATGGAAGATTTGACAATTGCCTTGTCCAAATATGCACCTCCGCCAGTCCCACCCGACTGGAAATCGTCCAAGAATACCGGCGATACCGAAAGCAAAGCCGGTGCGTATGTTTCAGCTGCTGAAGCTGCCAAATCATCCACTCTCAATGCGAAATCTCGAGCCGCCATCCTTGGAGAAAAGGCCCTCCCCGGAAAATCTGTTTTTGATTTCATATCAGCCGCTTCCAGAGAGAGGCTTGCTACGGCGTCAGGAAGAGCAGACTTACCCCCTGGCCTAGGCGAAGTGCCAGAAGGATATGCCATGTCGAAAGAAGAAAAGCAGACAATGCTCTGGGAGCAAGTTCCTAAACTTGACCGAGAGACGGCAATCGCAGCGATTGCACGGGGCTTACGAGGGCCATACGCAGACAACGAGGCTAAAAGAGCGCGCTACAAACGGTACCTGGAGCATCATACGAATCCTAAATTGTCGCTCCCGGAGAGGATCAGCGGCACGTCAGATGACGAATTTCTTCAAGAAATGACCGAGTTCTACAACTGCGCGAGGATATTCAAGCCCATGACTGGTTTCATGGCGTCAAGATTTACAACGGCCAAGGCGCCGCACGTTATTGGAGCTGACCCAACACAAGAGAAGGAACTGATTTCTGTGCCTGAGCCAAAGACCTTGGACCCGGCAGAAGAGGCTGCTAAGATGGGAATGTTTGGAAATCTGACGAGGTCGGTCGAAGACTTTTACCCTACGCGGTTACTCTGTAAGCGATTCAACGTCAAGCCGCCTGCGCACTCTCGTCGAGATGATGAGCCTGATGCCAGCAACGCACCTCCGGGTCCAAGCGCGCGACAAGCCTACGGCAGTCCAATGGAAGATGTACAGATGCCCTTGCTCTCTGCGTCTCGGACCCGGGATGAATCTCCTGCAGCTGGTGACACGACTACCACTCCAATGGCAGCAACGGCAGCATCTCTGCGGGAAACTCCAGCGATAGAAGGCCAGGTGAACCCTGAGCGGAACGAGGCTGTTGAAGGGAAGAGCGCAAACGCCGAAGTGCTGCGAGCAATCTTTGGCGACAGTGACAGCGAATGAATGTGAAGAGCATTGCCATGGGTTTAGATTTAGGGCGTATGGAGTATGGAGCACGTCGCATTATGCGTACGAGAAGTCTAGTGCCTTAGATATACCAGTACCAACCCGTTGCTTGACGAGGGCTATTTCTTCTTATGCTTCTCATCTCGGCGGATCAGGTAATCTATAAGACGTAAAACTGGCGTCGGTTCTGGATGTACAAGCATCATTCTTTCACGTTTACCTTGAGCCATTATTGATTTCTCGTTGCTTTATTCGCAGCTCGGCAAGCGCTCGTGGTCTTTTTCCCCAGGCCACTCAAGTCAAGATTGGCTCTGGCGGCTAATGTGAAGCTTGGTGCGGCTGGAGCTCAGTCATTGGCCAGCGAGTGTGCCCAATTTAGCTACCCGTTCCATCTGCAGTGGGGCTTATTAGAGGCCAGCCCGCCTGAGCGAAGCAACTGCCTGTGGAATCCCCCCTAAAAGCGCTGGAAAACGGAGGTACTTGACAGGTTCAGCGGGCAACCGATGGCAGCAGCTAGCATTCTTGTTCTCCACCCTCATCAACTCAACTCATCAGCGGCACTCCATCGCCAACCAGATCAATTGACCAGACCAATCCGCATCATCATCAATCAGCTGGCCACGGTGCTTTCGCTGACCCCAGCAACAAGAGTCGGAAGATCCATCGTTGGACGCTGGACCAGACCGTCGCAAAAGGCTCTTTTTGCGCTCGCTGCCCCAAGACTCTCGCCTCCTTTCCGCACGCCGTACTGTACTGTAGCATTTCCACAGCCAGATGCCCGCGCTGCACTGACCCGCCCAAATCAATCTCAATCTCAATCCAATCTCCCTTATTAGCCCCCATCACCGCTCCCTCGCCGACCCGAGCTCCTGAGCCGCGAACCGCAATCCGCCACATTGTCTGAGACGCACGAGCCTGGAACCGGACCGTCAGAGTCCCTGGAGTTGACTGAGGCCAAGGTGCATCACCGCCGCGAGCACGCAGCCACCGCCGCCGATCCCCAGCAGCTGGGCCGTGAGCTCGATCGCGACGACAGCGACGACAACGACATCGACGCCGCCCAAGACATCCCAGGCGCCGTCCACGAGGCCGAGCAGTCCCCGCCGCCGCAGTACCCCGTCTCGGAAGCCTCTTCCTCGCGCCCTCCGCCATTCTCGTCGCTCTTCTCGTCGGTTGAAGACCGTCCCGGTGGTGGCAAGTTCCCTGCTGTTCTCGTCGCCGAAGGAAGCGCCGCTGCCAGATCAATCGCCGCGCCCGCCTACGGCTCCGACTCTCGTGCCCCGGGGCCTTTTGATACCGATCAGCCTGCTACCACTGCCTCGCGCGCCTTTCAGGACCCTGTCGCCGAGACCAAGCGTGCGCTCCCCAGAGACACCAAGGGAGAATCGAGCCGCAAAGACGACGACGCCGAACCACCGCCTGCGTACTCGGAGGGGGATAGTCCTCTCTTTGCATTCTCATTCGTAATGGCGGCAGCCGGAGGAGCGTCGAGTATTATTACTCAGGTGCAGCAGGGTGGTCCACCCATTAATGCTATTGGAGGTGAGTTGCCTGCAGAGCCTCCAACCCATATGTTTGTAATTCTGGAAGAGACGACGGATAAGACGAAAACAAGATAAAATATATATACAAAGATGCAAAAAGGAGAGCGTATGGCTAATTAGATTCTAGATGTTGGCGCCGATGAGACAATCACGATGGACCTTAGGTATGTTAGCGAAATATCCTGCTGGAGAAGACACCTGCAACAGATGGCTAACCGAAAAAATGAAAACAGGGGTACCAGATTTGTCCTTTCGCGTGACGAACTACTCACTCTACCTGAATTTGTTCTGTTATCTCTCTTTCCGAATGGGCTCTTCCCGGAAGGCCATATGAGCGGGTTTCCCGATAGCGATGCTGTGCAAGTTGATGTTTGTAAACCACAAGCCTCAGAGTTACTCAAACATGCTAACGGCCACATACAGTATGATCCTGCTTCGTTGCAATACATGCTAGACTTTTTCCGCAATGTTGCTCAGTCAATCCCCACCGAATCATCGCCCGGCGCTTCGCAGGATGGCGAGATTGTTCCCTTGGATCCGATGGGGGGGCGAGATGATGGCTCAAAACGAGCCGGCATCATTGTGCTGCGGGAGGATCTTGACTTTTATGCAATCCCGCCCAAGTCGGACATCAGCCAGCCCGATATGATCGAGGTCAAGCGGGCTGCGGCACGTGCGCTGCTGAAGCAAGACGGAATCTTTTCTGGACTGAAGCGCAGCGATGAGCCGGGAACGACTGAGGCTCATTTGATTGAGATGCTGACGGCAGGGTAAGTTGTCTTTACCTTTGATTCCTATGCTTATATCCCACTCTCGCCATGCCATCTTGCAATAGGATCCGAAAAGAGATCAAAATTGGCTAACAATTCTTGTGTAGTGGCTTCAACCACGACGACCAATGGGGCCACCGAGCTGGCGAGCCTAACAAGGCCGTCATCTGCAGTCTGGCCCTCGCCCGGCTGCGCAGCGACATTCGAGGCAACGAAATGGGCAGCAACGCCGTCGGCATGGCGCAAAAGCTGCTCCTCTTCTGGCGGAAACCCGCTCGACGATGCTGGTGGGAGGGCATCGAGCTGGACAATGTCGAAGGCGTCGAGGGCAAGCTCAAGGTCTGGATCCGCCGAGTGTGGACGCTGGAGATGAGTGTGATTGGGCTCCGTTGAGGCGAGATTGATAAAGAAGAAAAGCCTATGTGACAAAAAAACTCAAAAAAGAAGCGACTGCCAACTGCTAGCATTTTCTTTTTTCTTTTCTTTTTTCTTTTTTTCTTTCCTTGCTTTCTTTTTCTTGTTGAAGGGCGTCAGGGTATATATCAGATTCGGATTGGTGTTGATTCTCTTGATTCTCCAGAGCAGAAACAGCTGGATTACATACATGTTACTCTTTTTTTTTTTATAGTTACCCTTAAAGTTTTTTTTTTTTTTTTTTGTTGGTGCTTGCCTGTTTGCAGGAGGTTATGAAGATTTTGCATTGCCCCTTGTTCTTCTGTCTCGTTTTATTCTTGGCATGCCGTTTGCTTGTTTCACATCTGCCCGGCTTCTCTAATGAGCTTTTACCTCTGTTGATGTATATATAGTGGATAGCCATACAATACATTGCCTGCGTTGGACAGATAGCAATTGAATGGTGAAGGGTCAGAGAAATTCAGCTACCAGCTGCCTAGGTACGTAAAGGACATCTGTGACTCTTTCAGTGCTGGTAAGTTGGTGCAGGGGTTACATGACTCTTTCACAGCATTCTTAACTCTCTTGAAGGACTTGGTGTAACAAGCTTATGATTCGCTATCTGATAGAATTATTCAAGGTACCATGTATCTTTTCACAGCAATTTCCATTCTCCCCAAGGCCATACTGTGGGGCCCGTAAATCGATCCGCACTCTTTCGCAGCATTTTAATCGTCTCTACTTCTTCTGTCTATGCAGCACAAATGCCCAATAGTAGCTGGGTAGATACAGACAATGTCTCTGTATATTCCCATACAGGGTTCTCCTCTCGGGTCCGCCCGCAGTATTAATTCAGGCTGTATGCCTAGGGACTTGCCCAATTCGCTGTTTTTCCAAAAATCAATTCGATTATCGTAGGCCAATTAACAAACGGGCTATTGACAGCACACTGTAAAGCACCAGCAGCACTGTCTGGGGCTGCCCCTCTTCTATGGCGCTGCGCCGGCTGGATCCCACCCCTGGAGCCATGTGGAATCGGCGCCGTGGCCAAGACCCTGGACGGTGGCTGTCCTTTTACGGCAGCAATTGGCTTGCGGTGGCCATTCTTTATTTTCCGCCATCCAAAACTATAATCTCTTGGTTTGTTTACTTTTATTCTTTGTTTGTGTGTTGATTTGCGGTTTTTTTTTTTTTGGCTACGTTACACAGACGAGATGAAGAGTCGGATTGGTGTATCATGGGGATAAACAATGGGATCAGCCTGCCGCGGAGGGTCGCCCGTCTGGTCATCTTCAGCGGCATTCTGCTTGCCGCCTTCACCATCTACTACCTGTCCTCGGGCACTTCCCTGGGCCTGTCGCCAACCAAGCCCGCAGAGCCCGTCTTCATTGCGAGCAAATTCGACTGGACAACCGTCAAGCAGCATCACGGCGTCGACGACATCAAGCCGCTGCCCACGGGCAAGCCCAATGCGCTCCCGCGAATCCAGGCCGGCGCCAGCGCCTTCAAGCACCGGGCGATCAACGAGAAGCGCCGCACGACTGTGCGCGACGTCTTCCAGCGCAGCTACAGTGCCTACAAGAAGCTCGCATGGATGAGAGACGAGCTCACGCCGGTGTCTGGATCGGCCAAGGACCCGTTTGGCGGCTGGGCCGCGACGCTGGTGGACGCCTTGGACACGATGTGGATTATGGGCTTCAAGGACGAGTTTGCCGAGGCTGCCGCCGCCGTGGGCGCCCTGGACTGGTCGGTGACGGACTCGACGGCGGCAAACATGTTTGAGACGACGATCCGCCACCTGGGAGGGCTGCTAAGCGCCTACGACCTCAGCGGCGAGCGGGTGCTGCTGCACAAGGCGGTTGAGCTGGGCGAGATGCTGTACATGGGATTCGACACGCCCAACCGAATGCCCGGCTTCTGGCTCGACTTTGAAAAGGCCAAAAAGGGCAAGCTGATTGCCGGCACAAACGACCCGTCGGCGTCGCCAGCCTCGCTGAGCATGGAGTTTACGAGGCTGTCGCAGCTGACGGGCGACAGCAAGTTCTACGATGCGGCGGATCGCGTGACTCGCTTTCTGGAGAGGACGCAGAACGACACGAAGCTGCCGGGCATGTGGCCGGTGACGATCAACTTCCAGTCGCAGACGGTTGGCGACAGCAGCTTCACCCTCGGCGCGCTGGCGGATTCGCTGTACGAGTATCTGCCCAAGATGCACGCGCTGCTGGGAGGCGTGGACGAGTCCTACGAGAAGATGTACCGCGGGGCCATGGACGCGGCGGTGCAGAACCTCTTATTCAGGCCCATGGTGCCGGACCTCGACGACATTCTCTTCAGCGGCGAGTTTCGAGCCGGCAGGGCCAACGGCGGCCTCGACACCGACAGCCAGCACCTCACGTGCTTCGTTGGGGGCATGTTCGCCGTCGGCGGCAGGCTTTTCGAAATTGACGAGCACGTCAGCATCGGCGAGCGCCTGGCGCGCGGGTGCGGCTGGGCGTACGGCCAGTTCCCGACGGGCATCATGCCCGAGATCTTTGGCATGGTGCCGTGCAAGTCGCTGGACTCGTGCGAGTGGGACGAGGAGCGCTGGGAGAAGCTGGGGAGCAAAACCTTGCCCAAGGGGTTCACGCACGCGCGGGACAAGCGCTACATTCTACGGCCGGAGGCGATTGAGAGCTTGTTTGTGCTGTACCGCGTGACGGGCAAGACGGACTTGCAGGACATTGCGTGGAGCATGTTTGAGTCGATAATGAAGGCGACGTATACGGATCTCGCGAATTCGGCGATTGAGGATGTTACTGTTTTGGGGCCGACGAAGAAGCTTGATTCGATGGAGGTGAGTTACCAACACATCATTTTTTTGGATGAAGAGCTAATGACTTTTTTTTTCTTTGGCCAGAGTTTCTGGTTGGCCGAGACGCTCAAGTACTTTTATCTCATCTTCTCGGAGCCGGATGTGATTAGTTTGGATGAGTATGTGTTGAATACGGAGGCGCATCCTTTGAAAAGGCCGGGGGTAGGGTTGCGATGAGGGAGATGGAGGGTTTGAAATGAAAAGAGGGCAGCATCAATGCTACGTCTTTGAAGAGAGGGGTTTATGGTTGAGGAGGCGTCTTGGATATTTCTCGGCATTCTGTTGCCTTTTTATACCATCTTGATATGGCATGAGCAAATGGATATCACATGTGTCTTTAACGAGGCTGGCCTTTGACATTGTCTATATGAAGCGAGCTATGTCAGCCAATAGTTGGATTTTCTCATCGTATAAGCCACATGGGCCAGAGACGGTACGTGATTCGAGGAACATGAGCATTCCATCATTATCAAAAGGTTATAGCCATGCTGCAACTCTATTTAGCCCAAATCTGGGGTAAGATCCCCCCACTAACTCGATCAGCGGCTATTCATCGATCCTCCAAGCTTCGTCTCCCTGCGTTTGGCCACCCCAACAATGACCTCACTTGGCATGCCTGTCTGCTCATGTGCTATACATTGATGCAACACTATTAGGCGTAAAGGGAGGCCTTTTGGAATTAACTCCGTAGCTGCCTCTTTTGGTCTGAGGGGCTCTCTATCTGGACATGTCTGCATCTAAAGTTTATGGCCATGACCATAAGCTTAAAACTCTATTTCCCACTGTAGCTTCGATCAAAACGCCCCCATCTTACTTCTAGACAAATTACATACGTCTCACACGTTAGATACGGAATTTAGCCCATGATGACGGGCCTCGCTTCTCTCATCGTGACACTATCGTCGCTGTTATTCCGGATTGCTTCCGCGCAGCAGCAGTCGTGCTCCAACAACCTCACCGTCACGTACCCCGCGCCAGTGGCGGCGAGCGGCTGGCAGTTCCGCCTCGTTGCGAATGGCTTCACGAGGCCGCGCGGCATTGCGTTTGACAGCGACGGGGGGCTTCTGGTGGTGGAGTCGGGCGCGGGGGTGACGCATTTGACGCTGGACGATGAGGGCGGGACGTGTCTGACGGCGAGGAGCAAGAAGAGGCTGATAGCGGATGAGAATGTGAGTCTTGTTGTCGTTGTGAAGCTGCGATATGGAAGTGATGAAGTTGTAAAGATGTAATGCAAACTGACAGATGAGTTGATGACAGCTCAACCATGGACTCGCTCTCTCGGGCGACGGCAAGACCATCTACGTCTCGTCGCCTGAAAGCGTCTTCTCCTTTGCCTACGACAGCCAGGCCGTCTCGGTCGATCTCTCCTCCAACCTCACCCTCGTCACTAAGATGAGCAACTCGGACCACACCACCCGCACGCTTCTCGTCTCCAAGAAACAGCCAGACACGCTCCTCGTCTCCCGCGGCAGCAACTCCAACCAGGACTCAGACGCCGCCAACATCGACAGTGGACACTCGCAGATTCGCAGCTACAACATCTCACGCATAAGCAAAGGGGATTCGCCGTTTGACTTTCTCGATGGCCATGTTCTTGGCTGGGGCTTGAGGAACTCGGTCGGTGTCGTTGAGCATCCTTCCACGGGGGGTATCTGGTCTGTAGAGAACTCTGTCGACCAGCTGCAGCGTCAAGGAAAGGACATACACCAGAATAATCCTGGGGAAGAGCTCAACTACCACGGCATCTTGGGCTCTGGCGATCATCAGGGGGGCAACTATGGCTATCCGTACTGCTACACCGTCTGGTCGACGTCGGGGTTTCCTGATTTGGGCGATCTCGAGATTGGAGACCAGTTTGCTCTTGATGACGCACCGTCTAATGTTACAGACTCGAGCTGTAATACCGATCGTGTAGCTCCTCGTGTTGCTTTCCAGGCTCATTCGGCTCCTTTGGACATCAAGTTCAATTCTAATGCCTCGGAGGCTTTTATTACTTTCCATGGCAGTTGTAAGTCTTACCTCAAAATTGTCTTTGAATCACATGAGAAACGCCAACACAACGAAAGGGAATCGGGATGACCCCACGGGGTATCGCATCGTCTCCATCGCCTTTGACTCCAACGGCCAGCCTACCGCTCCGCAGAATAGCACTAACGCCGTCACCGACATCATCACCAATGCCAATCTCACCAATTGCCCCGACAAGTGTTTCCGTCCGGTGGGCCTGGCATGGGACTCGGCTGGTCGACTGTGGTTCTCGTCGGACACCACCGGAGAGGTGTTTGTCCTGGAGCGGACAAACAGCAGCAGTAATGGGACTACCAGTGGCGGCTCGGGTGGTTCTTCTGGTGAAGGCGGTAACGATAATGCAGGCAATAGTTTGATCTTGGAGAAGCCTGGTGTAGTGGCAGTTGCTCAAGCGGCGGCTGTGGCTGGGCTGCTGCTTGTCTGAAGAGCCAGCTTATGAAGACTTTGATGTATCTACGTCTTATTGTACTTATTTATGGAGTTATTTGATCATCAAACCTGGGGAAACTGAATCATGTGCCAGCTGAATCTGACTCGACATCTCAATCCGGCCTCCAAAAAGGACCGGATAGCAGACACCGGCCCGGCTGCAGCAGATCCGGCCCCGCCTCCGCAGCGCCCATATGTCATCCTGCACCGGTTTTCGGTGGTCATTTCCGGGGGACTGAGGGGAAAAGTTGGGGCTCGATCGGGGACGCGCATATATAACGTTACCTTTTATCTAACTGAAAGGAATTCAAATTGCTATTCTTCTCTTTGTAAATATACTGCAGCATTATTATTAGCATATCATTTTTCTTCTTCCTTGTTTTTTTACTCTCACAGACAAAATGGCGTCAAATATAAAAATTGCGCTTATTCAGCTCTACTCCAAGGTGAGTCTCTCCCGCCTTTTCTTCACCTTGGCCACTACCAACAACCCCTGCTCCTCTTAGCCTTCAGCACTTCAGCACCTCTTATACATGAGACACAGAGACTGACTCTTGAAACCTTTCCAATGGGCTGAAATAGCCGCTCGACATTGCCGGCAACTTTGCCCGCGCAGAGTCCTACATCCGCAAAGCCGCCGCCCAGGGCGCAAACCTCGCCGTCCTGCCCGAATACCATCTCTCCTCGTGGAAGCCCGACTCCGACGTCCTCCTCGCCGAGGCCAAGAAGCAGACGCCGTACCTGAAGCGGTACCAGGCCCTCGCCAAGGAGCTCGGCATCTCCATCGTCCCCGGCACAATCCTCGAGCCGCTGCCCGCTGCCGAGGGCGGAGAGGCATCGACCGAGGGCGTCGCCAACGCCGCGTACTTTATCGGGCCCGATGGCGCTGTGCTGGGCCGCTATCAGAAGAAGAACCTGTGGCATCCCGAGAGGCCGCACCTGACGGCCGATGCGCTGACGCCTCACACGGCGTTTGACACGCCCTTTGGCCGAGTTGGGCTAATCATCTGCTGGGACTTGGCTTTTCCCGAGGCGTGCCGCGCGCTGGCCGCCGACGGGGCCAAGTTTGTCATCTGCCCGACGTTCTGGCTCAACAGCGACGGAGGCGACATTGGCGCCGAAGTGAACCCCGACTGCGAGCGGCTCTTCCTGGAGAACGTGGCCGTGGCGCGGGCCTTTGAGAACACGTGCGCCTTTGTCTTCAACAACACGGGCTCGCCGCTGGGCTCGGCGGCAACGGGCAAGGACGACGAGGGCACCGAGTTTATCGGCCTGTCGCAGGTGGCGATGCCGCTGCAGGGCGCGCTGGGCAAGCTGGGCGTGGAGGAGGGCATGAGCCTTGTGGACGTGGAGGGGCGGGTGCTGGAGATTGCCGAGGAGGTGTACAAGGTGAGGGCGGATATTGCGTTGGAGGAGTGGCATTATGCGCATACGTTGAAGAATCTTGCAAAGTGAGGGATTTGTGATGATGCCTGTGGCTTTTGTATATAACGAGGTTGATGTATTTTATGTGGCATCGTATGACAATCGAAAGAAAAGTAAAAGAGAAATTTTATTTTCACATTTTGTGAATACTTTTTTGCTGCTTGCTTGGCCGGGCTTTTCCCTCTCCATCTGTACAGTATTGAAGCGGTTTTTTTTTTTTTCCACTCCTCTCTCTGGCAAGAGAAATACAAGTCAGCGTTCCATCAGTGTACTCATGACAATAATATATATAAGAAAAGAAAAAAAGAGGCAAGGGGCGCATTATCATCATGCCATACAGGTTACTTTACAAACACACAAATACAGCGCTCCTCTCGCTCCAACACTTCACCTATCTTCTCATCTTCTTCCCCCCTTGCTTGGCAATCTCTTCATGAATCTCCGACCGAAGCTCAACCCCCGACTTGGTATGCTTGTACAAGAGCTGCTCCAACATTCTTGCCGCCTTTGCTCTGCGCCGTTGCATTTCACTCGAGTCTCCGGCCACGGGCTCCAGGGTCTCAAATTGGCCTATGTAGTCAAGCTTGTCGTCGTCACGGTACGTCCATATGCCCTGTACGTTTTTGGGTACCTCGTCTCCTTTCTGGAGACTCTTGAGGACCTGTTCCATGCGGGCGCCGGGGATCCAGCTCGTCCGGTACATGGCTTCGGAGATGTGTTCGTCGGAATAGCCCGCTTCGCGATAGTGCTTTGTCCATTTGTGGAATTCCTTTGTTTTCCAATTCTCATCTTCGGTTTGCTGCTGCTCTTCTGGAGCCTGTGCTTCTTGCGTGCCTTCTTCCTGGTGTTGCTCTTGTTCCACTAGACGTCTCCTTTCGTGAGGAGGTATCGTCTGGGGCTGCTGAAACGATGATGGTAGTGACCGCTTCTTCGATTTGGGTTTGGTCGGAGTAGATGCAGATGGCTCCTCTTCCATGATAGTTTCGAGTCCTCTATCGTTGAAATGGTAGCCAGAGCTTCGAGGTTGATTGTGGCGAGTATCACCGAGTTCAGGGCTCGCAACCGAGTTGCTCTCGCTCCGTAGTTGTTGAGAAGGAGTGTTATCAGGCTCCTCCGGTGACCACTGTCTTTGACCGTCTCTCATCGGTATGCTATGCGGGGAGTTGTCCGCCTGAACTCGGCCGTCGTCCACGATACTACCCAACTGCCCTGGCGCCGGTGCGGATTGTCGTCTCCTGGTCTTCTCCCTGGCCTCGGGTGTTACTGGAATCGTAGCACCTATTGTGCGCCTCCGTTTGGATCTTTGTTCTGGCGTTGGGGATTGCACATCTGGCAACCTTTTTGTCGCTTTTGCTGTGCCATTTCCATTTCGTGAAGGCGTTGTTGGCTCTGCCGCAGCTTCTGCAGTTTGTGGGATAGTCTCTTCGTCTTCTTCGCTGTCCTCGTCGAGATCGTGTTCGAAGCTCAACATTGCCTCTACAAACCCTGCGAGGTGGCGATGGTAGCTCGTCTGCAATAAAGTGGCGATAATCTCTTTGCTTTGAGCCCGGTCGAAGCCCACATACCGCGCTACCCGTCTCCAGTCCACCTCCTCCAGCGGTAGATTTTGCGTACTTACTGCCTGAAGCAAGTCCCATAGGTCAATCCTCTTATCCCTAATGACGCACTGCTTTTGAAGCTCCCTGCCGTTTGCTTCGCAATAGTCTTGAAGATCACTGTAGAACTGGTCTCTTTCCGTAAAGGAAGGCAAACTTCTGTCAACGCCGGTATCATCTTCAGCGCCGCCGCCTTCTTCGTCTTCCTCTTCTGGCTCTTCTCCCTCCTCTACGTTCTCTCCTCCACCGTCTTCTTCAGCATTTTCTTTACTTTTCTCTCCTTGGCTGCCTTCTGATTCTGCCTCGCTGTCTTCAATTCGCTCTTGCCCTTGCGCTTGCTCTTCACCGGTAGGTGCATCGTGGTAAGGGGTTGAATCGTTTTCAGTACCATCGCCGTTCTGTTCAGAGGTAGCCTCGGCCGTAGTACTCTTCCTATCCAGATTCTCAGATGGTGTCGTCTGTTGGCGTCGAGTTGGATCGCGTGGAGCGGTTCTAGACGAAGCCTCAGTTCGAGACCGAGCATTTTGGTCGGTTCTACCAGTAACGGTAGGGGCATGTTGTGGCGCTTGTGGCCAATCCTCTCTTTCATGCCTCCTTACAATGTGCCTGGCAGTTATCGGTGCATTGTCTACGTCCAAGTTGGCCATCCTCGCTAACCGATCAATATCATGGTTAGATCTCAGCGATAATATTTTTACCCATCGATGTCTCCATGATTGATAAGTATGATGGGGGTACTATAGTCAGTTAGAATCTGTTTCTTTACAGATTTGTTAAAGAAAAGGTGCAAGCATACCAGGGCCTCCAACTCCATATACATTTTATTCCCAGCCGTGTCGATTGCTTTTTGAAGGACATGCTTGGCCAAGATAGCATCATCCTGCTCTGAAAAAGGTGTACGAGTTTTCTTGGCGCGAGAACCCGCGAGTATTGGTCGGGGCTGGCCAGGAGGAGGTCCGTTCAAGTACTTGTCTTCAACTTGAACAAAACCTGCCTTGACCGACTCGGTAATGTATTTCCAAGAGTAGGATCCCAGGGGCACGTCTTTCCTTGCGTGATCTGCGATGAGCATATCTGCATCCTTCTCCTGAACGACGACAGTCCCTGAATTTGTCTAGGAAGAATTAGCACCTACTAGATAGCATTATGCAGCACTCAGCGTACCTGGATCTGATCGATAATCCAATCCCTTGAAGGAACCAGGCGGGAAACCCAAAACTTCATCCCCTGAAAGATGTTACCGCCTCCAACAGTACTTGGCACCCCATTGTACGTAATACTAGACGCCATCGTTCTGGATTGCTCTGTAACAGCTCTTTTCGCGCGTAATTATTGTGTTAAAAAATCAAGAGGCCCTGGTTCTTTGCCGTATCAACCGCATCCGCAAGAATCACATCAATTCGCCGTGAAATATCGGTTTTCGTCGCGGTAACAACAAACGTTGTTCGAGGGCGAAATAGGCGAGTGAGACGGAAAATCTGTTGAAGAAAGCAAAAGGTGAAACGCGGTCGAAGTATGCTGTTACTATCACTTTGTAGGCGTGAATTCAGTGCCAGTATCCGCCATAAATGATATCCACGCCTGCTTTCCCTATTTTCTTAGGTCATTTCGCTCATTCGTGGCCTCAAAACTCATTCACACAACTTGCATAAGATGAAGACGCGCGTGGTGAAGGTCGCGGGATCACGTGACTCTGATTCCAGTTGCAGCCATTTGCTCGCAGCTGCTATCGGGGAGGCAAAGGCGAATTCGGGATATAAGAATAATCCTGGCTAGCAAAGACGCCGGCCTTGAGATGACATCAGCTTCTGCAGGTGGTGACAGCTGTCTCAGCCACATTTTTCTTCTGTTTCTTCATTTCGGCTATTCAGCGCGCGCAGCAGTATACGAGCTTCGCGCGCCTTCCTTTTCTTCGTCTTTTTTTTGTTTCTCAATTCTTTGGATGCAGCTTCACATACATCAGCGAGTTTAATCATTCGACAATATATTCTAACCCATATATACGGAAACGGGTTTTCTGCTCTGTCACGAGATATATTTCTCCGTTGGGTCATGATAAACGCAAAGTGCATGATCCGTCCGTCAAAATGGACGCTTTGAAGAAGGTTATTCTTATAATCTTGGCGATATCCTTTATGGTATTTGTGACATTTTTCGGTAGACTACCAGCTCTAAGGTAAGTACATCGTACAACACCGAGATGTCTCACCGCAAAAGGACTTTATATCAACAGGGGTATCTCATAGGAAAACACCCATCGCTTGGTTATATCGACTGATATGGATTCATTTCCCCAACCTGGTGACCAGTGTCGACCAGAAGCTCACCTCTGGGAGAGTAACCGGATCACTTGTATGGTTATTCAATCGTCTCATGTATGATCGTCATCCCACGATCGTGGTACGTTGTTGCAGAATTCCCCTTCAATATGCTCCGTGGCTTACACAGACTTTCAAGATCTTCTTCATTTTGATCATGACCGTCTCCGAGTACTTGTATCTTCCTCAGATCTGGCCCAAGATCAGCCTCTTCACCAAGTCCACCGTTCTCGTCACAGTCGTCGTGCCGTACGTGTTGCTTTACCTCGCTTGCGCCGCAGATCCAGGCTACATCACTCGTGAGAATCATGCCTACCACATGTCTCTCTACCCCTACGACCACGCTCTCTTTCACCCCGGCAACGAATGCCGCACCTGTCGGTTCATCAAACCTCCACGGTCTAAGCACTGCGATATATGTAAGCGCTGCATCGCCAGGGCCGATCACCACTGCGTTTTCATCAACTCTTGTGTCGGGTACGGTAACCACCACTGGTTCCTTCTCCTCCTTTTGTCGGAATGTGTCTTGAGCACTTACGGTGGCGTCCTCGGGCTCTTCATCCTAAAGGCGAAAATCAAGGCAATGTACCCGATGTGGTCTCTCTGGCCTCCCAAAGAAATGGACTGGAACAAGTACCTTGGCATCTGGGGCGTGGGTCTCCACGGCGATATCCGCGTTGGTGCTTCCACTCTCCTTGCGATCCTCATATCTCCTCTGATTTGGGGTCTTACCCTCTATACCATCTTCCTCATCTACTGCGGCACCACGACCAACGAGTCGATGAAGTGGACCGATCTCAAGGAAGATATGCGCGATGGCTACGCCTTTCGCCGCCCTTTGGCCCCCAGTCGACTTCTGAGCAAGCAATGGGAGCCTCCGACTCCTCGGTGGCCCTCTTCTCCGGAGTCCATCATCATGACGACCCTGGACGGACAACCACCGAACATTGAAAAGAGATTTCCCGGCGAGGGCCCGTGGGAACATGTATGGGACTTGAAAGATGTCGAAAACATATATGACCTCGGCTTCTGGCACAACATGGGCGATCTGTTCGTATCCAACTACGAGCCTGGCGTAGAAGCAAGTGAGCCTCTTGCTGAGCGCCGGCCGCGAGGGAGGAGTATATCTACAAAGCTTGGACGCCCTCAGTGAATAAATATGTATGCTACATATGCACACACCCACCATTTTAGATGTATTTAGCAATAGCTTCACAAGAAAAAATCATAACTCTTGGGGATTTTCTAGTAGCACGTGATGTTTTGGGCCTTTTGAACGAGATGGAAAGATTTTAGATTTTGTTTATCATCATTCATGTTCGTCGTATCTACACCTATCTAGGGCTTGCGTAGACCCTGCAAGACTAGTAAAATATGTACTCGTGGCAGACACGCCGACCCCGTGTCTTGCCCTCATCTAAAGCGCTTCAATTGATAGAGAAATATTATAGAAAACCATTTCCAATGTGTGCATTTCGGCGATTACAGAATGGTGCCAAATCTATTCAGACACATTAGCACACTGCGTAAGACACTTGCATAGCACGTCGCACTTACCCAAAAGTTTGCTTGATGCTTCGGACGTAATACTCGCCCCAGTTTCTCTTGGTGACGTCTTCCTGGCCGACGGGGACACCATCCCAGGTGACACGCATGACAGTGACGTGGTCGATGTCGTTCTGGTCAAACTCAATGTTGAGCTTTGAGTAGTGACCAGCTGGCCATTGGTTCAGCCGCCAGCTTTGGACGATCTTCTTGGGCTTTTCCAGCTCAAGGTACTCTCCGGAAACGTTGCCATCAAACAGCTCAAACTTGCCTCCCTTCTTTGCACCCTCGAACAGCTTTGGTGGTGCGCGAGTGAAGGCAGCCAACCGCTGGGGGTCGACAAAGGTCTCATACATTTCTTCAGCAGTAGTACGGAACTCCTGGTCGTCACGCACTGTTACCGTGTTGACAGCACCAGAGCTGCTTACTTGAGAAGTTGTGGTTTGAGCTGCAGGCTTTGCAGAGGGTTGGTTGAGTGTTCTAGGGGTAGAGAAACCACTGGATGGGTTGGACCCAGGAGCGTGTTGAATGTCCTTTCCGTGCTCGGCAATCAATGCACCAGCAAGCTTCTGAAATTCTTTTCGCAGCTGGGGAACGAGCTTTGATCGAACAAGATCTTTGACAGGTTGCTTCTCCTTTGATTCTGAGAAGATGTCAATCTCGAACTAAGCACACGGTTAGATATCTAAGGGGACAAGAAATATTCATGAAGGACATCTACACGTACCACATATTCGTCCTCTTCAGTATCGTGAGCAATCTCGGGGACAGTAATGTTACCTGAGACTTCTTCGATCTCGGCAGTGGATCCTGTGGGGAGAATCAGCCCCAGACGCTCTCATCCTGAACGTTGAGGTCTACCATACCGGAATACTCCAGCACTAGCTTCACGTCAAAGATTGTGATGACTTTTCCCTTGCGCTGGCTAACGTCGACATCGCCGGACATGCTCTGGATCTTGGTGATCTTGGCCTTGACGTCTCCATTTTCAGCTTCAACCTTGGTCAGGTTTTCGTTGAACCAATCTTTCGCCCAGCCAGAGGCATCCTTGTTCACCCAGTGCCAGTTGTTGGGGTTGTGCAAGACCATTTTGAAGAGATTATTCGGAAATTAAAAATTTTAAACTGGTCGTCCGCGCAGCAGATACAGTCCTGTTCAGTCCAATGGTTAGCATCAGTGGTAGCCACGGTCTGAGCAGAAGAACAAGCAAATCAATTGGTAAGAAAATAATCAGAATTGGTCATAGACCTAAGCATTATGGTCATCAATGAAGGGAGTACAAGTCACTCTATGACTGGTGCCAGCTGGTATCTCATCATATGGGGGAATACGCAATAGTGGTGGGTAGTAGGGTGAGAAAGCTTGGGTCTAACATACCGTAATGAAAAGAATAGATGTGATACTGGGAAAAGTTGAGGAGATGGTTTGATTTGAAGCAGAGAAAGAAGGAAAGAATTGGCGGGCTGCTTGAGGAGAAGGAAGAGATGGAAGAAACAAAAGCTCAGAATGCTCTAGAATTTTTGATGAGCCTTGTCCCCACAAAGTGGACTAAGTAGCCTCATAGAGATTACATAATGCGCACAAAGTATGTTGAAACCTCAGGCACAGACAACGGCCTCAAAAATCCAGAGCAGAAGCCCTAGTAACGCATGAAAGATTTGATAATAAGAGACGTGGTCAAGATCATCAAGTCGGTTCAGAGAAATGAAGTCCAATGCTCCATGCGCTTCAACAGATTTAGTTACTGGAAGCTGTTAATTTGCCATCTTCAAAGGGATCAGCTCCGATTGGCGCAAGAGCTTCAGTGTGAAGCACGGACGCGTAAATGTTATCCGAAATATCCGCCATAAACCCGCAGCTTTGCCAGACGAGTCGACCAGGGAGCTGTCTCCTTCTGACAGGAAGCCTTCGATCAAAGTCATGATAATCAGCGTAATATTTAGCTTCTAGCGAACCAGTATGGTACAAGTAAAATATTTTTGATCCAAGCTAGTGGCGTGCTATCAGTTAGCCTCAGCAGTAGTTATACGATCTATATGGATGCTGTAGCCACATGGAGGTAGATATTCATCACATGCACTCTCTTGCCGCTTATAGTGTTTTTGCTACTTCTTGGTACAGGCTGCCATCAGCTCGAGTTGCGCCCTCTCTAGGTAGGTACGTAAGCGGAACATTGCATATAGATATTTTGGCAGGTCACATCAAGACTACCACCGGCGCTCCCTACTGATCCTCTGCCTACCCTGTGATGGCAGCAGTGCCCCGAACGCAACTTGTATGAGCAAGTCAGTAGAATTTAATTTTGAAACTCTATGATTTCATTATTTACTGCTTATGTCAATCCCAAGCTTAGATGAGTTGTGCCCTCTGCCTCTAATAACACAGGTATCTTAGATGTGTGCCCGCCTCGCCTTACTATTAGTGCTAGTAAGCTCAGCAAGAGGCGGGGCTGGCGTCAATAAGCTGAATATGGGCAAGGCATGATACTGCAAGTAGTAATCACAAAGTCAGATTAGTAGCCGCCGAGTGCCGAATCGTCAATACTTTGCTGACCTCCACCATCGATCGATTAAGTCGAGCGCTACCACCAGAGGCCTAGGACAGAGACACGCACATCGAGATACTATTACAATAACTCTCTGCAGGCCATCAACGAGAAATGCCTGTAAGGAGTAAAGGCTGACAGCAACTCATTATCAGATTCCAAATGGCGGGTGCGCGGTTATTGCCATTGCTCAATAGCCAAGGGCTTCGCAAGATCACCGACGGCGTTCTATGCTGTTATGGGAGGGTCTTTAGCATTTTGCGCCCACAAATCACCAGCGCAAGGCTACGGGAAATTGTACTGCGTGAACAGCCAATCAGTGCGGATAGGGCGTATAGGAAAATACAACTCAAATACAAAATACCATCATGAGCAAAAGAGAGAGCCGAGGAAGCAGTCGTGTGGAGTAATATCGATTGTGCTCTCGGTCACAGATTTTTTTTCTTCACTTCATTGTTACTCAACGATCCAGAGTCTGGGGTGGTGAGAGAGCCGATCTATTCTGGGAGATGGATCCTTAGCAGCACCTCTGATTGGCAGCTATATTAAGAACACGCGTGGTTCGAATGGCTGCCGGCGCTTAGTAGCGCATTGCAGCTTCTGGCCAACCGGAGGCTGTTCTCGTCAATAAACTCGCATCGAAGCAGAGGAGAAAAAAAAGCGCGATCCACGCAGGGGGCGGGTCGCATGTTTTAGCAGCAGGTACCGAGTACAAGGCCGGATGCACGAAAGATGCAACCGACAGCTGAACTGTTTCTTTGACAGACTTCTCGACAGCCTCGATAATGATCAGGGCATGTCACATGTCTTGTAACACAACCTGACACGCGATGCATGCCTCCGGCTCCCTGTTCTAGATTTCTTCTCTCGGCCGAATGATGGGTGCACAATGGAGGGAGGAATACAAGTTTCATCCCTTGAAGAATCCCTAATCTACTCGTAACTAACAGCCGATGCAACAGACAGGCATGTCTGATAAGAAACAGGAGCCAGCCAGTGCACATCGGTTCTTGTTGAAGACGCGGCCCACTTTGCTGTCACATTGCATCGCACTACTCCAGACCTGGCATCTCCCGGAGTATTTTCTATTTTTTCTTGGTCTTTGATTGTGGTGATTCGGATGCTACCATGCTTGGAAGCGCTTGTGGTAGCAGCAGCCGGCACTCGGAATCGTATGAGCTTTGAAAATGCTTCAGTGAGCTGCTGGTACTCCCTTTGGCTTTTGAACATGCCCTGCAAGGCACGGCCATGCCTGTAAAAGTATCAATCTCTTCCTGTAGGCTGAGGTCCATGGCTGCTTGGGTGGTGATAATCCTCCGTATACCCAGTCTACAGCACCGGCACAAAGTCCCAGGTACAAGGGATTGCATGCAGGCGCCACTAAGGCGCTTTAGGTGCCTTGGCCTCTGCTCGCTTTCTGGTCGCCTCGTCCTAGCGGGGTTTAGCACACGCCGCTCCGACAGGGATCCTCCACCAAGGTTCGCGCTTTCGGCCAAGCAGGGCTCGCCATCACCATCAACGGCCCGCCTCTTCAGCATCGCTTTTTCCCCTCCAGGCGCGCCTCTTGATGGTAGCTTGTGCCTAGCGGCTCGAGCAGGTACGAAGTATGCACTACAAGCGGCCAGCGCTCGACGACGCCTCGGCCGCGCGACAGCCATGTACCTGTACCCCTGGCATGGCCTGCTCCCGCTTCGGGATGCCGTGCGACTCGCCATGCCATGCCATGCCTGATGGCCTGGAATCCTCTCGCGCAAATCCTGCCCTCCCACCTGTCGATGCAGAGCACAGGTACAGGGCGTCTGCGTCTGTATGGTGACAGCCAGCCTCCTTGTCTCGCTAGCCCGCCGGCCGTTCCCCCTCCTCTGCGTGTCTCGCCAATCCGAGGGCTCAGGCTGTTGACCGGCCTCTGTCCGCCTGAAGTCGATGCTCTGGGTGGACCCCGAGCATGGGCAGACAAACCTCCAAAATAGCAGCAGGACATCGAGACACAGACCTCATCTGGCATACCGCCTCCTGGCTCACTAACGCAGCGGACAGGGCGCGGAGAGCGCTTCCACCGATAGTTCTGACATCCGGCCTGGTTCGGGGGTCCATCGCCAGATCCAACCTTCCACCTGCCGTCCAGGTTGCACCCCTCGGCTGTCTCAGACATTCTCTGCAAGCCCCTAGCTCCAGGGCCGCCACCGACGTTGGCGAACACGGGCGGCTGGGTCCCGGAAGCTCGAGCCAATATGTCTTCCACCTCTCCCCGTGATTCTACGCGTCTTCGCCATGCTCTTCATCCGCTCTCGACGACGTCCTTAGCGGGCTACGGCAACCAGCTCGTCTCGCCCATCTCGGCTGTGTCCATGGCCTCATCTCATGTCCAGTCCATGCACACGCCAGCCAGCGCCATCATGCCGTACAACCCACAAGAATGGGTGGCATCGCCAGCGGCCATGCCGACGACAGAACGGCCTCTGACGTTTGTGGGAAGCGATGCTCAGGGTGGGGATCTCTTTCTTCTTTCTGTTCTTTTTATAGACTCTTCTTAAAACTTTCTTAAATCTCTTCTTTGGATCATTATAGGTCTTCGATGAGCCAACTGCAAATAGGAGATGATTATATGCTGACCAGATTTGAAATGACAGCTTCTCTAGCAGCCCCCCCCCCACCTCCGCCTTATAGCCCTCCAAGGAGGAACATACAGCAGCAGCCTCGACCTCTCACCATGGCGTTCGACTACTCACCAGCGCAAATAGCTAGCGCTCCCCCTTCAAGGTTTTCTACCCTGCTGGGCCAGCGACCCTCTCCTGAGCCACCAGTTGCTGCTACGCGCCCATTCCCTCCGCCACCGGGTTTGAGCGGTAGGGGAAGCTCTCGAGAGCGTCTTCTTGCGCTGGCATCCTTGGGACGACGAAGAGACCCTGGACCATCGCAATCTCCAGAGCCAGCTCATCCTGTATCTGCTTCTAGACGGACCGGTGGGCCCTCCGTGTTCCATTCACCAGAACATGAACGAGTTATATCAGCAACCGCCATGAACCCTGATACGTTTCCCCCGGCGGCTCGAAGGGCTGCCTCCACAGGCGCCCTCGATACGCCGACGTCTGAACGCTCACGGTCTTCTTCTCAGACAAGATGGGAGCCTGGTATGCCCCTTCCTCCGCCTCCGCCTGGACCACCGCCTTCGTCGAGCAGATCGCAAAGCGTACAAAGCATGGACAGAAACAATGTACCCATTATTTCTCCGCCAACTCGCAGACCACCGCCGTCCGGCGTGTCATCTCTGGGGCCCGTGCCTCCAACGCCAGCCGACTGGCTAGATAGCGACACGCCACCCACTACTCGACCTCAGCCTCCAGCAACTCCGGGACACCTACAGCCTACTGCGCCTGCGAGGAATGGGGAGCCGTCACAATCACTGCAGTCACCACAATCCATTCAACAAGTAGGAGGGCGATCTCCCAATCTGACGATCGATACAGCAACTGCGAGCAATCCGAGCGAGCCCATAGAGCCGGCCTTGAATTCTTCTGGCAGCTTGAATCGTGCCAAAGCCGTGCGTCATGACAAGACAATCTTACAGCGAAGAACTGAGAGCCGCACTCGACATGAGCCCCGGGGGTCCCTTGATAGTTCGTTGGACGCACGACAGATTGCCGATATTGTTGTTGTTCCTGCGCCCATCAGCGGCCTAACACGCAAAATGACCACCGGCAAAGCAACTCCTCGGAGCAGTGGGAAAGCGCCTATGGACCAACCCCTGACCGGAGAATCTAATCTATCTGGACAGCATGACTCTCGGAACTCGACTCCCCGTGCACCAGATTCGGCCACATTACTGCACCGTGAAGTAGCTACACCTCCTTTTTCGCCAACACCAGCCAAGACCTACCGGCAATCTAGCGGAAACCAAGCTGCGGTGCCGAAATCTCTACCTACTCCGCCACCCCAGGCCAGGTCTAGTTCTGGATCAGCGGTTGCTGAGGCATCACGCTTGGCTTCGTCCATAGCGGCGTCTCCATCAAAGGAAGCCATTGTGAGCCAGAGCGCTGCAGAGTTTGCAACTGCATCAATCGAGAGATTTCGGTCGTTTGCCGTTAAAGAAGCGTCGGCCACAACAGACGCAGATCGAGTCCGCCTCTTTTCCGACTTTATAGTTGCCGAGTCTAGAATCCGACGAGAGAGATACTCCTCAGCTATTGGGGCCATGGGATCCGAAATCTTCGACTTGAGTCGGGATCTATTCCGTCCAATGAGCTCCACGCGACGAGAGTCGGTGAACTCTCCATCTGTTGGCGACTGGACTCCAGAGTCTTCGGAACCAAATCGGTCTCATAGAGGCTCTGTTAGCTCCGTCTATCAAGCCGAGGACTCATCAAGCTCAGCTCCGGCGTCTGGGAGTCTCCCGCCATCCCCCGGGATCAAGCAACCTCTCAACTGGGGCGGCGCTGCAAACTATATGCCCTCATTGTCTCCTATTCTCAGTATGAGCGTCAGCGACAACTACGAAAACGGAAGCTCGCGTGGCAGACCACCTAGTCGATGGTGGGAGACGGATTCAAATAACGATCCAAACCGGGGTGGGTTTGAAAGATCTAAGCGCGAGTCCAAATATATGGGCGTTCTTCCCAAGGACCAGTGGATCGAAGAGGAGCAAACTACACCGCATTATGCGTCTGCAGGCGAACAAAGCTCCATGTCGGACTATCCTCCAGAGAAGACTGGCTGGCATGACGAGGGAGAGGCAGTATGGACTCCTCAACCGTCGAATACCTCTGTAGCATCTACTCCGTCTACAGCAACAAATCGGCAGAGGCTTTTAGATGTGTCTAGACTGGTCACCATGCCGCCCCCTTACCCGAGACACCACCCCGCAGTGAATAACAGCCACCCCAAGCTAACATCAATTCGTGCTTCCGTACGATCTTTGAGCGAGCTGGGTGAGATTGACGGGTCAAAAGAGAGATTTGCCTCAAGCAGTCATCGACGCAGAGAAGAGGCTTCCAAAGCAGCAGGAGAGCGCCGCGTGGCTTTGAGATCTAACTTGCAGAAAGAAATCAATTCGGGAAATTTGGGATATGCTGATGCCGCAGCTATTGAATCTGACTTTAATGAACAAGAAAAGGATAAAAAGAAGGAGGTGGAAAAAGTGGAATATGAACATTTCCAGAACCAAGTAGTGTTGCCGCTGAATGATATTCTTATGGAGCGAATCACTCGAGCGACAGAGCTATTTGACGACTTGGCCCGACATCTATTCGACAGCAGCGAGATCGATGCCGACATGCCGCAAGAAGAAGGCGATGACAAACCGGAGCTGCTGGAGAAGTTGACTCTCCTCAAGTGGATATTTGAGCAGCGCGAGTCTCTGCACCGGGCCATTTACGACTTGCTATCAGACCGCAATGCTCGTTATCGCGACGTTGTGTTGACGCCGTACCGGCTTTCCAAGAATTCAGAGAAACTCAAATCGGCCGAGGCATTCTTCAAAGAAGACGCAGACAAGCGGGAGTACGCATTCGCAAATGAGGTACTGGACCGAGCACGCGAATTTAGGTCCGTGATGGATGAGGCGGTTGCACGCGGCATCGAGCTGCAGCTTTCTGCCTTTTGGGATATTGCCCCTCCGCTTTGCGGACTTTTGGAGACTATTCCATTGGATCTGGAGGGATTTTGCGTCCATATTCCAGCGTTGGAATACGAAGAGAACCCGGCGTATCATGACCACCCGCTGCAGTACTTGTATAGCTTGTTACTCCATGCTGAGAAGAGTACATATCAGTTCATTGAGGCACACACAAACCAGTTGTGTCTTCTTCACGAGGTCAAAGAGGCAGTGGTCAACGCCAAGGCTCGAGTGCTTGCCACACAGCTCACTGAAGTAGACGGCACACCTATCCAGCCTGAAGATCGACAGCTGCGAGCCAAGCAGATGCGAGAGATTGAAAACCGGCGGTTGACAGAGGATCTCAAGGAAAAAGTGCGAGTTGTACAGGACCAGTGGAACAGCTCACTGGGAACAGCCATGACGGCAGTGAAGGAGCGGGCCGGCGAGTGGCTGCTGCAGACGGGAGGATGGGACGAGTCACTGGAGGACAATGGGGTTGGAGTGGTGTAGGCGTGCGTTGTTGACATTGGCGGCTTACTTTTATTTTATTTTCCTACTTTTCTCCTATTTTTCTTTTTTCACGACAATGATGATGCGAGGAGGAGACGCAAAAGATGAATTTTGATGACATCTGACAATTGGCAAGCGAACCGTTGGAATTGGCGTACATAGATATACATACGTATGTATTTGCCTGACTTTTGATACCCCCATCGAGGCAATTTATACCTGGCCTGGAGCTTTGGCATTTTCGGATATTTCATTGTATATATATATATATATATATATATATGTACCTATTTGTACACTAGGTGAATATGTATAGCCGAATATGGCGCATATTACATATAAAACACGAGCACATATGATATATGGCTTTAAATCCCAGTGCCTTCTGATCTTGGACACATAATAAGCGGCCATTCGGCTGCCATTGCATTTAGAGGAGTGTGTAGCTGCACATGTAAAGCCTTCCGTCTCTTGTGTGTGTCTTGGTGGTCCTCTCTTGGCATGTATACATCTGCCTTGCCGTCCTTGTCGCGTAGTCCAAGATGAATAGACTTTGCCTCCAGTCCGTGGGTATATACTAATATTCCCCGTTCAACGCCGTGTTGCCGAGAGCTCCGAGAAAGGAAACGAAGAAAGAGAAGAAAAGAAGAGGGAGAAGGGTAGTGTATGACATGGCCCATTCCTCGAAGGGTGCATGTCGTTCTTTGCTATGTCGTGGTAGGTCACACGACAGGCGCCTCCTCCCTTGAAATCATGTACAAGAAAAAGTATTTCCTAAAAAGAGGACGGATCGTAGAAGAAGAAGAAGAATATATCATCGGCTCTCACTCAAATTCTCATATTTTCTTTAGAAAAGAATCACTTCTCCTCCTTCTTAGCCTTAGCCGCAGGAAGATCCATCCCGACTCTCCGGGCCGTCAGGCGAATGCGCTCGTCCTGCGGCATCTCCATGCCGGGATTATATCGCTCGACGAGGGTGACGTACATGCGCTGGGCGCGCAGGTAGGTGACGGCCTGGTGGGCGAGCTGGGCTTGGTGCTCTGCGTCGTGCAGTGACGGTGACGAGGAGTTTGAGGTTTCGGTAAAGGACGAGCGGATGCGGTTGTGGATGGGAGTTCGGGGAGAGGCGAGGATGGGGCGGGGCGGGAGTTCGCGGAGGAGGGAGCGGTAGAGGGAGCGGAGGTTGGCGGGCGAGGAGGCCATTTTGTTGGATTTGTAGCTGCTTCTTGCGACAATTTGGGGTGTTGTTGTTTACTGGTGGGACGAGGCAAAGGGATCGGCTCGGCAAAGTCGCAAGAAAGTTGAAGCTCGGCTCTAATAATTTTCTCTCCCGCGTCTCTGCTCGGAAAATTTGGCTGGCCGGAGCGCCGACACGGAAGGGCTCCAGCTCCAACCAGCCCCGCCGTGAAATGCGCGGGACGTCGGGGCGGTTGATGGCGGGGTAGCAGCAGCGCTTTTGGCGACGGACCGAATGATGTGATTGACGGGAGGCTTTGCCGGTGATGTTGCCTTTGATTTTTTGCATTGTTCCCTCGCTCTGTTTATTGGCTTGAGGAATCATTCAATTGAGGCTTTGGCTGTTGGCATTCTTTGCGCCTGTATCTGTTCTATTACACGCGGCTGCGTAAAACATAAGCGCCGTCTTCAGTCCTCGAATGTCGACATCCCACTCTTCCTCTTCATCTCCACATAAACTCAACCGATCGACATCCTCTGCGCCCAGATCTCGTCTAATCCTCCTTTTCTCTCTCTCCGTCATCGTCCTTCTCTTCTCGCTCCTCCTCCCCATCGCAGGCATCACGACGGCTTCCCTATCTCTCGCCTCCATCTCGCGCCTCGTCCACCAAGCCGGACATTGCTCCCTCTCCTCGATCCTCCGACCCAGTCGCTTCTCCTTTCCACACTCAGCAGCCGTAGCCATGAGCGCACCAAAGTACGAAAAGGAGCTCCAGATTGCTCAGCTCGCCGTCCAGCGCGCTTCCATCCTCACAAAGCGAGTCTTTCACGAAAAGGCCAAGGGCACTGTCGACAAGAATGACAAGTCACCAGTCACGATTGGCGACTTTGGAGCGCAGGCACTCATCATTGCGGCTCTGCAGCACAATTTCCCAAACGATGCCATTGTCGCCGAGGAGGAGTCTGCGAAGCTGAAGGAGGATGCCAATCTGAGGACCACAATCTGGGACTTGGTGAAAGATATAAAGTTGGACGATGCCGCTGCTGAAGCTCTGCTGGGCGGACCTATCAAGGATGTTGATGCCATGGTTGAGTTTATCGACAAGGGAAACAGTGCTGGTGGCTCCCAGGGACGCATCTGGGCCATTGACCCCATCGACGGAACAAAGGGCTTCCTCCGTGGAGGCCAGTACGCCGTATGCCTCGCCCTCATGATTGACGGCGACGTCAAAGTTGGCGCTCTGGGATGCCCCAACCTCCCCATTGACGATTCTGCCCGCCTCACCACCGACATTGGCGCAAACCAGACCGACAAGGGCCACGGAGTCTTGTTCTCCGCCGTCCAAGGCCACGGCGCCAAGAGCCGCGCGCTCGCGACTGTGAACCTCGACGCCGAGGATGGCAAACCCATTTCCATGCGCGCCATTGACGATCTGACAAAGGCCAACTTCTGCGAGAGTGTGGAAGCCGGTCACTCCTCCCACGGCGATCAGGCCGCCATCTCACAGAAGCTGGGCATTACCGAGCCGAGCGTCCGCATGGACAGCCAGGCCAAGTACGGCTCTATTGCTCGTGGCGCTGGAGACATTTACTTGCGCCTGCCCGTGAGCGCTACATATCAGGAGAAGATCTGGGACCACGCTGCTGGCGATCTTATTGTCAGGGAAGCAGGCGGACAGGTCACCGACATTCACGGCAAAAGACTAGATTTTAGCATTGGACGGACACTTGCAAACAACAAGGGCGTGGTGGCAGCGCCCGCGGCGGTGCATGGCAAAGTCCTGGAAGTAGTGCAGGAAGTTTTGAGCGCCAAGCTGTAAGAGGGATATTTATATATATATAAAGCATGGGAAATACGGGCAAAAAAAAGCAGGCATAGATTCATGTCTGCATGTTAATTTTGGATTTGTCGTTTAATATATACATGTAAGATGTATAAATATGTCTAAACACCTCTCGCCAAAAAGGCAGGCCCTGATGATGATACAAGTCTCCGTTGAAAAAACACCCTTGTCCAAAGCCAACTTACTGTACACTTTTCTTTCCCTCGCTCTTTTCTTTGCTTCTGTTTCTTCTCTTCTCTCTTCACCTCATTTATTTAATCTTCTTCTGCTTCAGCTTAATCGTCTCATCGTTAATAAACACTCCCTTGCCCTTGTACGGCTCTGGCTTCCTCCAATTCCGCACCACGCCCGCAAAGCTCATGAGCACCTCCCGATTAGGGCCCTCGAGCAGAATGCGCGTCAGCGACGGCGTCGTCACCGTGACGCCCTTGGGGATGCCCACCTCCACGGGGTGCGTGAAGCCGAGCTTGAGGCAGAGGAACTTTTGGCCCGGGTACTGCTCCTTTGCGCCGCGCTGCTCGACGCTGGCGCGGTAGCCGACGCCGACGAGGCGGATGATGGCTGTGTGGCCTTCGGAGACGCCGGTGATGTGGTTGTTGAGGTAGGACCATGATGTTCCTGGAGAGATTTCAGACGGCTTTTGTTAGTCCAAATGTCAAGGGTACTGTGGTATATGCCAACCCGATTTTGGTTGAAGCATCAAGGATAGTAGTTGGAGGAAACATACCCCACATGGCTTTCTGCTCTTTCGCATTCGGATCTCTCACGCTGAGCGTCGCAGTCTTTTCTTCGGCGTTTTGAACCAGGTCCACAAACTCGGGCACATCCATATCCAGAGTTCCTAATCGCACAACGCACCACTTGTCAGCCCACAGGTCCATATAATGAAATGATTCTCCCCTCCATCTCAAGACTAAATGCAGGCAAGAGAAAACCCACCCAATGGTCCCTTTACGGTAATCTTCTTCTTCACAACCGGCTTATACGACGTCGCCGACCGAAACGCCTTTGGCTCTCCCATGACAACCTCCACGCCCGGAGGGATCGAAAGCGGCGTGATGCCCAGTTTTGACGGTCGGCCTTGCGTCGTTGAGAATTGTCGTCGCGCAGAAGCGAATCTGCTCGGGGAGGCAATCGTTGTCGTCGTCGAGGCCGGTAGTATTGAGGGTAGTGAGGAGGGCGAGGCTGCGGCCGTGGAAAAGGCCTTGCTCAGGGCCTTGCCCCGGCTAGGAGCTAGAATTGATGCCATTGGGGGTGATTTTGAGACAAGTTGAGCCGGGGGTCGGTCAACTGGTGAGGGTTGTCGCAATCAAGGCTTGATTGTGGTGGTGCAATAGGTGGTTGATGCTGGAGCTTCGTTTGAACTTTTTGCTGAGTCATCATAGGGGTGTCGATATATTTTGCGCACTGTGTTATCTTTTTAACTTACCGGCTTGTCCTGTCTTGTGTGAGGATTATTATATGTTAAAAGTGATTTGAAAAGTCGATAATTACTTTTGGCAGAAGTTATACAGCACCTAAAGCCAATTATACAATACTCCAGCCGCAGCTCAACAAGGTAGCCAGCCCATATATTTAGATACACAACTGCCAAATATGACATTAAGAACAGCAGTAGCAGCAGTAGCAGCAGTAGCCTAGGTATACTATAGCTAGAGCGCTAGAGAACAGAATTGGGGTGCTGGATCACTTTTCTCTCATTTGCTGAATTAACATTAAACCTGAGCTCAGTATCAGATCCTTCGAATCCGACGTATCAATGATACACTTTAAATAGAACGGCGACATGAAATGCCTTGAGCTCTCTACCCAGGGACCTAAGTACATGCTGCAGCTACAAAAGGACAGAGAGTTGTTACGAAAGCACAAAGACTTCTCCCGAAAGGACAAAGATTTAATTGCGAAAGAATAAAGACTTATTGCCAAAGGACAAAGAGTTTTTATAAAAGGAGAAAGAGTGCCAAGACAAAGCCATTTCCTCTCCATATGTGTTCTTGTTGAGACACCGAGTTATACCGCTTGCATACGACTCTTGGAATTCAAGTACATGGCTTTGACTATCGGAATGAAAGTTCCCATGTGCTTCTGGAAACAAGTGAGTTTGGGGAGCAACAATTCAGCCCTTGTATTGAGCGCATGAAAAAATCGATAACCTCACTCATTGTTTGCAAAGTGGTTCTAAGTGTCTATCATAGTGTAAAGTGATGCCACTGAGCGTGGCCAACTCCTCCTGGTTCCCTCGTGTCCTCCCATTTCTCAAACTGCTCTATTGTTCTCTTGCCTCTATGCCAATTCAACTCCATTTCAGACAGCAGGCCGAAGAGCTGTCCTTGCTAACTTTTTCAAAGGGTAGGGTTGCCATTATTTCCCAAACAAACCGCCAAACTGCGGACTTGAACCTGTGTCTGTGTTTTGTCCAACCAGATCCAATCCTTTGACGTATTTTCGGATGTCTTCCTCGTATCCTACAAAGTTGAGAAATGATGCAATTTCTTGGACGTCTGGTGCTGTCAAGTCGTCGGAGTGGTAGAACATGGTTCGAAGCATCCGAGTAGCAACCAGGGCTATGCTGGCTGCTCCCGATGCGTTGTCAAAATAACACCCTCCTTGCTTCCATCTGAGGTGTCCTGGAGCTCCCTCCAAGCAGTTGGGCCGTTTCATTTCTCCCTCCAAGGTTAAAGGTAATTGCTCCACCTCTGGTTCCTCCGATTCTGGTTCCTCACAGTCTGATTCATACCACTCTGGTATTTCCTCTTCCGGTTCCTCCCAGTCTGATTCATACCACTCTGGTATTTCCTCTTCCGGTTCTTCCCACTCTGGCATTTCCTCTTCTAGTTCTTCCCACTCTGGTTCTTCCCACCCCGGTTCCCTCACTGACTGTGCCCCTGGCATCATGTCGCTCCTACGTAGTTATTCGGAGTGATAGTAGTTTCTGTGAAAGAAGTCAATGTGAATATGGATGGTAATACTCATGAAGCTGGAATAGTTTCCTTACTTGGAGGCGACGCGTCTTTCCCAAGTGCCGAGTGCTTCTTCTGCAAGAGGGTCTTTTTGATGACTGCTCAGGTTGTGTGTGGATGTTGATGAGAGAAGAAGAAAGATAGAAAAAACTTTAGAGAGGACTGCAATAAATACTAGATAGGCTGCCATTGAACACACTAGAGTTCTGCCAGCTGTGGACACTGATGGCGATTGTTCACCCCTTTGATGCTTTCAAAGGTTCAATCCTCTTGTCTCTGTTACCTTTCTATGCACTTAATGTTCCTTCTCTTTCAACATATTTCTTTCTTTCCACCTCCCAAAACTTCCTATACCTCTCCACAGCCATCTTACCATCCTCCTTCTCAATCCTAGCAAGCCATTTCTCGTCCGGGTTATCCCGTCCATGGCAATCGGGCGTCGCCCCGAGATCAAGCAACTTCCTGGCAGTATGCCAAAATCCCCTGACAACAGCGGCATTCAGCGCATTGTTATACCTCCCGCCAGACGCGTTAACATCAGCTCCGTTGTCGAGTAGAACCTGGACAGTTTCCTCCAAGTCGCAAAACACCGCCGCCTGCAGAGCCGAGCCATACCGTCCGCTCTGCGCATTTACATCAAGCTGCGGGCAAAGTTCGAAAAGAAGGGCCGCTGCTCGGTGAGGAGGATACTTGTTGGAATCGTAAACCGGGTTTGCGCACAAGTGATGCAGCGGCGAGCCGAATCCAAACATGGGAATGTCAAAGTTGACGTCTGCGCCGTGCTCGATGAGAAACCGGATCCTGCTGGGATTCATGCTGTTGTCCTCGAATAATTTTCGCAGTACAGCGTGAAGCGGCGTGCCACGGTTCATGTCCACCTCGTTGATATCGGCACCGAGATCCAGAAGCCGCTTCAACACGGTATTGTCTTTAATTCCATCCGATATGGCGGCCATGTGAAAAAGCGGGACGTATGTGAAGCCGGTAAGACGAATATCAGCGCCGTGATCGAGCAGCAAATGAATCATTTCGTCATTACTGCGCCCACTCCAGCACGCAGTCTGGATAATCACCCCAGCATTGCGACCACCTGCATTCACATCGGCACCGTGGTCGAGAAGCAAACGTGCAATCTCGTTATTACCATGGGCACAGGCCGCTTTGAGCGCGGTTCCGCTATTCGCGAATTCCAAGTCTATTTCTGCGCCGTGATCAAGCAAGAAGCGGACAAGCTTCAAGTTTCCAGCAGTGGTTGCAGCCTGTAGCGCGCATCCAAACACGTTGCTGCCTGTCTGGTTGATATCAGCACCATGTTCAAGCAGCATTTGTACCATTTCAATGTCCCCCTCATATCCCTCTTTGGGTCTGGTAAAAGAAGCAGATATTATCGCATGGACGTACGCATGCACATAATCTTCGCCTCCGGGATTGACAACAGCTCCCCAGTCCAAGAGCAGCCGTACGATATCAACATGTCCCACATGGCACGCGACTTGTAAAGCGGTATCGTACGAGCCCCCCTTTTCATTGACATCTGCGCCGTTTTGAAGCAGAAATTCCACCAGGGAATACCAAGAGACACCATCCTTGCCTTTCGATCCACATGCGTTTTTCAGAGCGCTGCCAAGCTCTCCTCCTGTCCTGTTGATACCAGCGCCGCGGGCCATGAGGAGCTTCGCAACCCTGATGGCAGTTTTCTCATCTTTGCCAGCATAAGAATAACAGACAGCCTGCAAGGGTGTTCCGTGCTGCCCTGCTCTGGTCTTGGGATTTGCGCCCAGACTCAACAGATATTCGACTCGGGATTCGTCTAAATCCTGGGCCGCACACACCTGGTGAAGCGGAGTACCATAGCGTCCATCAAGGCCATTTATATCCGCGCCTCTGCTGAGCAGCATCTCAAATGCCTTCCAGCACTCTCCGTAGGCTGCCTTGCAGAGCGCCCCTTGTAGCTTCATGCCCTTGCTGTTATCAAGCAAAAGCTTTAAGCACTCTAAAGATTCAGGTGAATCTCCAAAACACCCAGCTACAGTTTTGAGAGCGAATTTAGTGACCGGTGTCTTGTTGAGAACAAGGAATTCCACGATTTCGAAATTGCCCTCTCTCGCTGCCTCATCCAAAGCCTTGCTGAAAACGTTGATGGCAAATTTCTCTTCGACTAGGAATCGCACGATTTCCAAATGACTATTTCCTGCGGCCTCTACAAGAGGATTCAGATTGCGTTCCGTTTTGACGTCGACGCTGGCGCCTTTTTCGAGGAGAAGTTGGACAACTTCATAGCTTCCGGCCGAGGCAGCACTCAGCAGCGCAGCATTTAAATCGCTTTGGGTGATGTACTCGTGAGTACCGAGCCCTTCTGAAATTAGCATATCGGTAAGCCGGTATGCGTTTATGTGAGCAGTGTATATCAGTGGATTGAGCCATGCTTCGTCAAGGATAAAAGGACGATCAGTAACCGAGTTTATCATGCTGTAGAGACTTCGGCTGCGGATATTAAGTGCAAGATTTGCGGCCTGAACAATCTCAGGCGGCCAAGACGAAGGAGGCACGCTCTCCAGATGCAGAGCCCAGTTCTTAGTTGCGTAAGATTTCAATTTTGACACATCTTCTTCACCTTGTTGTTCCACAATAGCAGAATCGGTTGAATTGTCCGAGGGATTGCATTGTAGGTGAAGGTCCAAGCAAGACTTTGCAATGTGTATCTGGGCATCGTTCGCTGTGAACGAGAAGGCAGACACAGGGCTATTGCGGATCCTGCTAGAGGTTAAATATTCCTTGATGTATGGGCGATCAAACTGGACGCAGCCATCCTTTTCAATCAGCAACCCAGAAAAATATTTCAAGACATCATCAGCGGAGAACGCAACCGCCTCACCCAAGGTCTGGGCCCGATCCAGATGCAGAGTGAAGACTTCTGACAATAGACCAACATCCAAAGTGTCGATTGCAAATGCTACCCATTTCAGAGAGCTTATGATTTGAGGCTGTAGCCTTTTGTCGGTACTTAGCAGCATCCTATCATAAATGGCGTCAATATTATGAGGGAGGTCTCTCAGAGCTTCAAGGATATATTTGGAGTCTGTGTATCTTTTTAGCTGGTCGAGCTGATCACCGGCATATTGGGGCCTAAGATGGTCAGAAATCGGGTTGTGATATAAATAGAGCCTAGATGATCGTACATGCCATCTGCATTCTTCACCAGCTGCTCCTTGACTTCCGGCTTAACATCCTCTGACCAAAAGGCAAAGTCCTCTCCCGCGAGGACTGAATCAATGTATCGTTCCACGGCAGCCCTGTTATCGTGAAGCTTGGTTTCATTTTCCGCGGCGGACTCACCGCGAATTGAAACACCGCCAGGCTCGGACGCCAAAGACTTCTCTAAAGGATCCGACTGCCACCATGGTTAGATGATATAAGTGGCTGACAATTCATTCAAATCGCTTACGACAACAACCCAAGAGGCATCGTCACTACCAAGCGACACTCTGGACTCAGTCATTTCCCGACTCTCATGACTGTGCGAATCCCGCTCAGCGTTGCCACTAGGATCCTCGAGTTTCTTATCTGCGCCTTCAATTGAATCCATTATGCCATATGCCTCAGTATTGCTCGGGACAATTGTGAAGATGATATCATCCGCAGAATCCGGGTCAATTGGGGCAACTATACGGCGACGCCGTCAGAGTGGATGCTGCAGCCTAAAGTTAGCAAACGTGCAGGCATCAGCGTGCTAGCAGAGACTTCGCTACAAGTGAGCAGTAATCAAGAATCTACAGACGGTTTTATAGAATGATATCTGCATCAACGTATGGATTAGGAAAAGTGAAAGAAATTTGGTCACTTGGAAGAGCCCTCATTCAAAGTCCGAAGAAGTGGGTGGAGGAAAGCCTAGAGGCACGCTGCAACGCCAAATTTTGAGCCCTCTAAGCTGGATGTCTTTAGTAGATGCTAGCGCAACCACAAGCCAACTAACTCTGTACGTGATAGGTTGACAGGAGAGAGCAGCTTTCATCATACGAACTATCTGAATTTATTGTAGATGGCATTAGACAAACATCACCAAACACTCAATGTAAAAGTAATTGTTCAAAAGTGTTACGATAGTACAATAATTGTACTCGTTTATTTTCATTAGTTATAAACACTTGCTACTCTGACAGACCGTCATATCGCGCATGGATATCAAAATAGTCGTCCAGTCATCTCAACAAGCTCTGCAAGGCAAGTCCTACAGTGCTGATCAGGGCTACACACACAAACTTATGCGCCCAAAGAATAATAAGTTGGAGCAACACAGTCAGCTCGCTTTTTACTCCTCGGCCTCCATGGGAGCCTCATCCTCGTACTCCTCCTCCTCGTCAATACCAGCCTCCTGGTATTGCTGGTACTCAGACACCAAGTCGTTCATGTTGGACTCGGCCTCGGTGAACTCCATCTCGTCCATACCCTCGCCAGTGTACCAATGCAAGAAAGCCTTGCGACGGAACATAGCGCTGAACTGCTCGCCGACACGCTTGAATAGCTCCTGGATGGAGGTGGAGTTACCAATGAAGGTGGATGACATCTTCAGGCCACGAGGGGGGATGGCGCAAAGGGCAGTCTGGATGTTGTTGGGGATCCACTCAACAAAGTAGGTGGAGTTCTTGTTCTGCACGTTTCGCATCTGGTCCTCAACCTCCTTCATGGCGACCTTGCCACGGCTACAAATGTCTGTTAGCACTGCATCTCATCATACCAAGGCATCATTCGTCACTTACAAGATGGAGCAGCAGGTCAGGTAGCGACCGTTGCGGAAGTCAGAAGCAGCCATCATGTTCTTGGGGTCGAACATCTGCTGGGTGAGCTCGGGCACGGTGACGGCACGGAAAGAGTGAGCACCGGGGCTGGTCAGGGGAGCGAAGCCGACCATGAAGAAGTGGAGACGAGGGAAAGGAACCATGTTAACGGCCAGCTTGCGGAGATCAGAGTTGAGCTGACCGGGGAATCGCAAGCAGGTGGTGATGCCTGACATGACGGCAGAGACGAGGTAGTTCAGGTCACCGTAGGCAGGGTTGTTCAGCTTAAGGGTGCGCATGCAGATGTCATAGAGAGCCTCGTTATCAATGCAAAAGGTCTCGTCGGAGTTCTCGACCAGCTGGTGGACGGAGAGAGTGGCGTTGTAGGGCTCAACGACGGTGTCGGACACCTTAGGGGATGGGACAACGGAGAAGGTGGCCATCATTCGGTCGGGGAATTCCTCGCGGATCTTGGAAAGCAGGAGAGTTCCCATACCAGATCCGGTACCACCACCGAGAGAGTGGGTGATCTGGAAGCCCTGGAGGCAGTCGCAGCCTTCGGCCTCACGGCGGACAACGTCGAGGACTTGGTCGACGAGCTCAGCACCCTCGGTGTAGTGGCCCTTGGCCCAGTTGTTTCCGGCACTGGACTGGCCAAAGATGAAGTTGTCGGGACGGAAGAGCTGACCGAAAGGACCGGCACGGACGGCGTCCATGGTGCCGGGCTCGAGATCGACGAGGACAGCGCGAGGAACATACTTGTTGTTGGAGGCCTGCACCATCAGGGTCAGAGTGAAAAGTCCTCCAGGTGTCCTCTTTTGCGCGGATCAAAACATACCTCGTTGAAGTAGACGTTCATGCGCTCCAGCTGGAGCTCGGAAGAGCCGTTGTAGATACCATTGCTGTCGAGACCGTGCTCGCCGGAAATGGTTTGCCAGAAGGCGGCACCGATTTGGTTACCCTGTTGAGTCTGGTGAGCTCCTGGACACCGCTTCCATGGCGGATCTTCAAAGGTTGTTGACTTACGCACTGACCGGTCTGGATGTGAACCTATTTGGCCGGAAAAAATATCAATAATTAGCAAATGCCATTTTCCTCATCATATCGCGCTCCAATCGGATCGAATTGGGCGTGAAAAAAATTCGAGACGTTCATGTGTCGAGTTTGGCGGGGTATAAATTCAGGGGTTCCAACGCGTTTGCAGAGAGGGACCAAAGTAAACAAAAAAGAAAGGGGGGCGGGGGAGGGGAAACATACAATCTCACGCATTTTGAATGGAGGCGACGCTGTGGTGATAAATTAAAAAAAAATCTCGGATATCGAGTCCGGTGAAGGAGAGAGAAAGGCAGAGAAGGAGAGGATCTCGAGAGCTATGGAGAGCTTCGCGGGTTTGCAGGACAAAGAGCTTGGGCTTGGAGGAGCTGGTGGTTTTTGTTTGAAGGTTGGGACGCCGCGGGTGGAGATGGTTCACCGCCATGGGCCCCATCGCCAGGCGGGGCCCAGCCGGGGAAGGAGAGCCAGTGGCTGCTTAGCACGTTTAGCACCGGGCTCAGGGCCACCTGGCGCCTGAAGAAGGGGGAGAAGGCAGTAAACCCGATGGACCCTTTGCTCTACTGTTTGATGTTGCTGCAGCAGAAGATGGACCTACATCCGTGCCTTGATACCTTGACACCTGTCTACATGGAGGCATAGTAGACATCACGCAACGGTGTGAATCGTGACTGAAGAAAAGAATCCACACGATTTGATTCGCTACCGTACTCTCATGATCCCTGGAGACAATCGCCAGGTGGCTGCATCGCTGCTGGAAACTTTCGGCAAAGGCATGTCACTGCATACTACACGTACTCGTACACAGGCTCGAAAAAAAAGGGGTGTAGGCACTCATGCAGCTTCAATGCCAGCGAGAAGATACAAGCACGCTAAGCCGATGCGGCCTTGCCTGGTCGTTGGGCGAGGATCATCGCTTCAGTTGCTTCCAACACGCTCTCCTGTGCTCTTTACCGCAACGTTGCCCAAGCCTTTGCCTGATCGTGTCTCCTGCAACGCCAGCTCATGAGCCGAGATGAGAGTTGGCGCCCCCCACCACGTTTTCCCCGCTAGCACTGAATTGGCGCGAACACGGAGACTGGCATCACTCTGGCAGAGCAAAGATGGGAATACAGTCTACAGAGCAACGAGGCTGGTTCACGTATTTATAGTTACAAGTAGCAGCAGTATATCATAACAATTTGTAGTATATGCCACAAGGAAAATTAGTAAACTAATGCGCCTTGACAACGCCCGCAGCGTCTGCTTGAGCCGCAATCTTCTTCTTGTACTGCTGCACGTTGCCGTCAAACTTCTCAACCGTGCCTCCGTCGCACACCCACAGGGATGTACAGACGTTCTGCAGCATCGTCACGTCGTGGGAAACCATGAGCACGCCTCCCTCGAATGCGTTCAGTGCCTCGGCCAGGGCATCCATGGCCTCGATATCCAAGTGGTTGGACGGTTCGTCCAGCACGAGAATGTGGGGTTGTGTCAATGCCAAGCAAGCAAATGCTACTCTTGATTTTTGACCTCCAGAAAGCTGTTCCATCTTCTGTAGCCCTGTTGTGCCAGTGATACCGAAAGCGCCTAGTTGACGACGGTATTCTTCGTCGGTCTTTCCAGGGTACGCCTTTGCCATGAAGCTGACAGCACTCATGGTGAGGTCGAGTGAGTCCACATGGTGCTGCGCAAAGAACCCAATGCGAAGTCGTGGATGTGCCGTGACGAGACCCTTTGACGGAGAGAGTTTTCCGATAAGAAGTTGCAAGACTGTTGTCTTACCAGCTCCGTTGGGTCCAACAATACCGATTCGAGAATCCAACTGAACATCGAGATCCACGTTCCGCAACAAGGGCTTGTCAGCAGTGTATCCAAAGCTGACTTCTGACATTTGGATGATGGGTGGTGACAGCTTTTCGACTTCGGGGAACTGGAATTTGACATCGTATTCCTTCTCCGGCGGCTCCAAAACAGGCATTTTCTCGAGCTTCTTGATACGGGACTGAGCTTCTGACGACTTGGCCGCGTTGTAACGGAACTTGTCGATAAAGGCCTGCAAGTGAGCTCGCTCTGCCATTTGCTTTTCGTATTCTCTCTTGGCTGTCTTCTTTCGCTCCTCGCGCGTAGCGTAGAAAGACTCAAAGTTGGCACCGCGGTAGTAATCGAGGCGCTGAGAGTGCTGGTGGATAATGTCCGTAGCGACTTCGTTGAGGAATGCTCTGTCGTGAGAGACGACGAGAACTGTGCTTGGGTAGTCTTGGAGATAATTGGAAAGGAAAGTAATGGAGGGAACGTCCAACATGTTGGACGGTTCGTCAAGAAGCAGCAGATCAGGTTCACAGAACAGAGCACGCGCCAGGGCCAAACGCATACGCCAACCTCCAGAGAAGGTCTTGGTTGCGTATTGTTGTCTCTCAGGAGAGAAACCGAGACCAGCAAGAATACTGGCAGCGCGTGACTCTGCCTTGTCAGACTCCATTTCAGACAGCTTAGCTTGAACGTCACCAAGCTTAGTGTCCATGGTCTCCTTCTCAAGATCCAGCCTGGCAGCATCCGCTGATGTGTCGGCCAAGGGAGCTCGCTGGACTTCCAGTTCTGCCAGTTTGGCCGTGAGTTCCTAATAGATAAAGTCAGAAAACAAGATCTGGATATCGCCATTGCCGGTGTTGTCTTACATCCTGTTCTCTGAGGAGAACCTTTCGCCAGACATCGGCATCAAGAACTGCTTGTATAGCAGGGGTATCGTCACCCATGATCTAGCATCATCCATTTAGCAGCAATACCTTTGTACGCAAAGGGGAAAAGCATATTTTACCTCCTGTTCGACGTGGAGAATAGAGATGTGTGTCGGAATGGCGACTTCTCTCCTGGAGAGAGCTCGGAGCAACGTGGATTTACCCACACCGTTGTTACCAACGAGACCGTAGCGGCGACCATATGCGAGCGTAAGAGTGGTATCAGTGAGAATGCGGTTTGCACCGATAGACACATCAATACTATCCAGCTTGATGTCCTTGGTTTTGTTGGTTCCCGACGAACCGATCTGCAGCGGGTTGACGGCCATGTAGAACTCTTCATAGGACTGTGCATCCTCGGGCAGCTCGAGCAGTCTCGAGGCCTCGTACTCGACAGTCTTGAACGTCTTCTTCTGCTGCTTGGCGGCAATCTTTCGCTCAGCCTTTTCGAGCTTCTTGCGATCAACCTTGGACTCGACCTTTCTAGCATTGGCGGATTCCAAATCGACAGCGCCACCGGCGACAGCCAAAGTAGAAGACATGTTCCGCTGAGAGCTGACTTGGATCGTTTGGTCTAATCTCCTGATAGCCATAGGGCCCAGTCTCTGACCTCCGTTGACTTCGGCATACTTGGTGACCCATTTCTCCACCAGCTGCTTGATCTTTTCTTCGAGAGCGGCATCTTTGCCACCAGAGGCAGAGAGAAGCAGCTCGGTGACTGTAGCAGCGGCTTCGTTGAGAGGATCTTGGACCTCGCCCTCCTCATCTGCCCAGGCAGTGGATGCATGGGTCAGGTATCCAACGGAGTAGTCAGATACGACCGGGTCGATGTTGGGGAGAACAGCCCTGATCTCGGCCTCCATGTCTGCTATCTGTATGCGGTCACAGCCCGAGAGAGCGTCTGGTACCTGGTTCCAAGCGAGTAACTGGTAGCTTCGTTCAGACTCTACGTTTAGAAGCTCCGGCCAATTACCTGTGAAGCTCGCCCGATATGGAGATTGATCTTTGCATCAACCAGCTTCGCCTTTGGAAATTCTTTGGGCGGCGGCGTGCCCCGCCATGGCTGGATGCCGTGGGATGGACGGGCCGAAACGGTCCGGCGAAAGCTGCAACAGCTGGCAGCAAATGACCGACAGTGTCAGCCGCGATAAACCGACACTGTATGCGAAGAAATATCTACGAGATGTAGACGCAAGAAACTCTATTCTGGAGATGGATGCCATCAGAGAATGCATAAGTCAAAGGTGGAGCAAACGACATTTGCAATTACTCTTCTTATATCCCGTTCCGTCCACCTGAGCTCCCAGGATAGCCATAGCCTCTCGCTCAGGTTGACAATTGCAGAAATAACTTTCAAGCCGTCAAACCATGTCGCCCGCGGCTCGGGGTGCTGCTCAGTTGCACCGTTTCCAGAAGCTCCAAATAGAACATGATAGCTCTCAAGAGGACCAAAGCTTAGCTTCAGGCCCTCGTGCTCACATGATAAAACTCTAAGCTAACAGATAATACACGTTTGTTTACATATGAGCGACGGACATCTGTACCAAATCGAGCACGAAGCTTCAGCTAATACAGGCACGATTACCACCGCGGGAGGCCAGTAAGCTTTTGCATAAACCCTAAACCCGACAAACCCCTGGCTAGGATCACCACGTTGTCACGCGCAAACGCGTGATGGTGATGATTGCCAAAGCAAGATTCCGGGACGGGCTACCCGATCCCATCCAGGGGGCGGGTCTCGGGAGCTCAGTCTGCCAGCGCCAAGTTCCCCATTGTTGTTCGTGTAAGAGGCACCGCTGTCGCTGGAGAACATGGTCGGGGGGTTTTCTTTTGCCCTATGCGAAGTTCTCGTACCGGTTGTGCTGTATACGCGCTCCGTGTATTATGGCGGTCCAGTGGCGGTGCAGCCTTGAGATAATCATCCAAATCTCGGTGTGCTTGTTCCCGACCTGGTGTTACAGGTAGATAGATACACGGCACCTGGATGCTGTCACCGCCATTGCTAATTTCGCCTTGCAGGAAGGGCGGCTGCCCTTTTTTGAGTGTCCCATTGTTCGTAACCATAGATACGTTCTGCAAATCTGTAGATGCTGTGCTATACTGATACGACGCATGTGTTACCCTGTGTTACTTTGCAATATCAGCATCTGAGAACTGGTGCCTCCCTGCTTATTGTGCTCACGCCGCATATCGTGCATCAGATTGTTAGTGGACGGTACAGTAAGGACAGCAACAGCGGCAGGGCAGCTCTCAAGATGTCTTGCCCAACATGTGTGAGACATGTTCGACATGGGGACGGAGTTGACAATGCAACTCATCACTGCAGCTGGTCCATGGTGGAAAATCGCATCGCATGGAGATTTGCAGCGAGCAGGGATATCCACATGCACTCAAGTGCTCTTTTCGACACTGCCACTGCCACTGCCTCCGTAACAAACTGGGACCGCGGGGCCGTCTCCGCAAGGCGCAAGGAGCCCAGATCTTAGCAGTCTCAATAGTGAAGCCCTGCAGCGAGTCAGCGAGGCCAGATGAACTCACCTACTAGCGAAATTACGTTGCTACGGTGAGAATACAGTACGTGTGAGCAAAAGCGGTCGGTAATTGTGATGGGCTCTGTGCAACATGATGAGGTATTATCTTTCAATGTTTATAATAATGGACCTGAAACGCTAGAGATGGACATGAGAAATTGCCGAGTGGGTGTAGTTGCATTTAGCTGAATACGAGTATTGCTACAAGTTCGCGGTAGTACGACGAGGAGCTGTGCTCTGTACCATATACCTCATCAATGTTGTTGATTAGAAAGGTAAGCTGGTGATGAGACGGAGAAAAGACTTGAATCATCCGTTAAACGCAGCATTGCTAGCAGCAGACTCGCTCGTCTTTGGGGTAAATTCAACAAACGTTGTTGTCGCGAATACTGTCGCGGCCTCATTGCCAAATATGACAGAAATTCTAATGGCTCTATGATACTGACGGAAAGGGTGCATGCAATTCGCACAGGCGTCAAGTTTTTCTGCTCTCGCGCGCGAGAATCTTCCATGGTAGCCTCGTAGGGCAAAGAGGAGACGGAGAGCTGTCATCAATTGTCTCGCCATCGTGTGATTAATCAATCAATTGAGACTCCATCTTACTGTAGCAGAGCCATCGGGTTAGTAGCATTCGGCCTTTCACACTAGTGCTAAGAATAGCCGGCCAAGGCCATCGGAGGAGATCGAAAACTCGAAGGATGATGCAAACGACTTTGCACGTAGCAGTCGCTAGTTAAATCAATGCTGTTTCAGGTCCTCGGAGGGGCAAGCTAGCATCTATGCAGGCAGGCAATTGGTCCAATTCATTGGCCGGTCAAAGAAGCAGCTCGACAACCATCACAGGCTACACGCAATTGGCTCTCAGACAGCTGGATATTTGTCCAATCTGGGCATGAGTCCTGCTGCTCCGTCCCGTCTATTCGCTGTTCGCCTCCACACTGCCAGATTGATCGTAGATTCGGATTGAATCTCAGAGCGAGTCAAGGCTATAGCTGTAGTTACAAGTAGTTGGCTGGATCGTGACCGAGTCTGGAGGAACAGCGAGCGGCCAATCGCCCCAAATATCAATCCAGCCCGTGATCGGCATGATCACCGCGACAATAGCCTCGTCAGTTGAATAAACTTTCGCATTGGACGCTATCCAGAAATGAGCTGATTGTCTCGAGCTGACTCTTGGAACGAGCCCGGGCTAAGCTAGCAGCCAAGGTGCCAGCTGAAGGTTGTGCAGGCGCCGGCCCAGCGGTTAGCACACAATCGCGATCCATTTATTGCAGGATAGCGCTCGTTGGCGCCGAGGAATTGCATGGGATGGGTGGACTGCGCCCAATAGCGGCAGCGAAGACGCCGAAACAGACGAGCAACGATGAAGGAATAGAGAGTCCCGAGCATCTGAGCCTCACTATTGGCCAATGGGTGTATTGGATGGATTGAGCATTGCAGGGGATGCCCTGTGCCGCCATGGCGGCTGAATGCACTGATTCCAACGTATCTATGTCGTAAGGCACGAACAGTTAGTTCCAGAGCTCGGATGGAATACCTGCTGCTCGTTACTTTTCAATTCCTCGGACTCCATTCGTAGCCAATCGTCCGGGACACACACACACACATACCAGGGCGGTGGGACGCAAGACCAACGTCAGAGGGAGGGAAATTTGTCACAGACAAGACGGAAAAGCTTGGGTCATGCACTGAGCCTTTGGCAATCTGAAAGAACAAAGAACTGAGACTAAAGATACCGCTATACCTGGCCGTGCGGCACACAGACATGCCTCTCGAACATGTGGTCGCGGCTCCGTTGGCGAGGGCGCCAGGCACGAAGCGAGTTGTCTCACAGATCTGTCGAGTTGGGCGATGCCATCCACAGGACGCAAGATTTCGAGATGCAGTGGACACAAGGGGGACGCAGGTGAGACAGCAGCGCTCTGTGCTCGCCGTGACTGGTGCCACGTTCAACTTGCAAAGAGGGCGGCTGTGCCTCGTATCATGTAGGGCTAGTGGTGATCTCTTCGGAGCACTTGATGCTGATCGTACCTGAGTCGCAAGATCAACTACCTACACGTATTCTATACACCACTAGAGATTGGGACAAAAGTCAAAAACATGCAAGCGACCGAGCTCGTGACGGGTTTATACGCAAGTTGGAGAAACCATGACACCCCTTTGTTCCCGTTGGCCTCGAGCTTCGTGTCTGCGGTGGTGGTCGTTAATTTCAGACTGGGTAACACGGCGTCGTCGAGGGCAGGGAAAGAGTTTGACTTTGACCAAATGTGTGATTCGACACATGCAGATTGCGCTGCTCTTTTTGGCCGTCGCCGTCTTACTGCGAGCTGCTGGAATTGATGCTTACACCAGCACCAGCGGCAGCGGCAGGCCTAAAGCGGACGGAGAGCACCACCTAGTGCAGGTATTGAGTTTGGTCGTGCAGGACTTTTGCGGCCTAAACAGAAATGATGTCGAACTTTGTGGTCCGGATGTGCGATACTACTGCGGACTATTGGCAAATGCATGTGCATGTGTGTAGCGCTGGTAAGTTCAGGACCGCTCAGTCTTGAAGCCCAAAAGCAAACACCAGAGCGACAACACAAGACCCAGTGTTGGCCGTGGTGGGTTTGGGGTGGACTGCGAAAGAGCCGGGCGATAGGCATTGATGGGACAGGCACAAGAGAAATAAAGCTCCGTATATCCATGGCCAGGCGCATTAGACCCGCCCCCACAGCCGGGATGCGACATTCTTGTGCGTGATGTGCCGGTGCCCAAAACGACCGCGGCCACAGCGTGAGACCCGCAAGTAAACAAAACATGCGTGGCTGTTGTTGTTGTTGTTGACGTTGGTCCATGTTGTCGACTGGTAGCAAAGGACCTGTTGCAAAGGCACTGACAGCAATTGAACGCCTATTTTTGGCGTTGCAGCATACACTTAATGCACACGCAGTGCCCCCTGGAAGTCAACAGCCTCCGTGCCTCCTAATCCGTCTGCTCGGTGTAGCCCGAAGTGGCTTTGCTGCCGTTTTGGGGTATAACAGTAGTAATTAACTTCGTAATTGACATGAGCATCAGCATTAGCAGCAGGCGGGATGGCGTAAGACTTTGTGCAGTCAAAAACGGAGCACGCACCAGAATAGAGTAGCGGTGCCACGTCTGGCGGGCACAAACAAGCATCGAAGCTCTGACAAGCGCCGCCGTCATGTCATTCCTCTGCGCTCTTCTCAGGGCCCCCCCGTACAAAACGGGAGACCTTCCAGCGCCACCACCAGCCCGTTTCAGCGGGGGGTTCCAGCTGGCGTGTTTCGGCCCAGGCCCCAGCTCCGTGCTCCCTACAGCTCCAGGGCCCGGAGGCGCCCATCAGCAGGCTCCGCCCACTAACGACCCATGACGGCGCCGCTAAAATTGGCCCTCTCCAGTGGCCCAGGCAATGGTGCGGGTGCCGGAATGCGGTATGTGGCAGGCCTGGTGCTGTTTACACTTTGGTGCTGTGTCACCCGCTGTGCGCTGCGCTGCTCACCTGCAGCTCTGCGGCTCTGGCCTCGAGAAGCAGGGACCATACGCAGGAAATAGCTTCCTCATTTCCTGTCCCCTTCGTCTCGTTTTCGAGATCTTCTCATTTCGTTTTCTGCCACTCCCCTTCTCCCTTCTCACCTCCCTCTCCCTCCTGCTCGCGCCGGATATCTACCCTCTCGTGCCCCCTGGGCTGTGGGCTCTGCGTCCCAAGCAAATCAGGTCGCCTTTTCCTCTTTTGCGTTTGCCTGCAGCGCGTCTCGCAGTTGCGTTCCAGCCACAGCGACGTTTCATACGGCCAAAAACAGACACCCTTTCGCTCCACCCCGGGTGAGAGACTCTCTCTCTCTCTTCAACAGCGCCCGCGCGGCTGTCCATTGAATTCGACGATGCTCCTGCTGCCCAGCTCTGCTCAGCTCTGCCGGCTCGTCTGTTCAACTCGAGCGCAACGCTCGCAGTGGTCGCTCTGCCGCCAGTAACCATGCAGACGGTTCCCAGTGTAAGTTTGTTGACCTTTCCAGACGGCACTCGCCACACCTGAGCCCAACCATGGTGCGGACGTCCAACCAGGCCGCCACTGCACAACCCAATGCTGGAATGGGGGAAAATTGGGGGGTGATGGACATGTTTGGCCTGGACACATGCAGGAGCATCAGCAGAATCGTCCCTTTTCGCAGCCTTGGATCTCTGTCTAACCGTGTGTTTCTTCTGTAGCTTATTGGGACCGGGACTGCCATTGCTGCAGCGGCCAACGGCTTGGTGTTTGGCCAGCCCGAAGAGCCTCCTCCACCCAACAAGAAGCGACTCAGCCAGCTCCGCAAGGAAATCTCATTCGACCGCGATCTGCCAGTGACGGCCCCCGCGGCTATCTCGTCTCCTCTACGATACGAAGCCAGTCTGGATGCGCCGTCAATAGAAGTCGAGTATCCGCCGCAGAGTGCCGTGGCCAGCCCAATCACAGTGTCTCGACCTCCGTTGTCGCGCTACCAGAGGCCGTCGCATCAACCTGCCTCATCACCCAGGCCAATCCCCGAGAGACGGTCAATGTTGAGGCAGCGTGAGAGTTCAGCATCGCCGACGCCAGAGGGACCTAGAGATTCCACCTCGTCGAGCGGATCTTGGATTAGAAGGCTCTCGATCCGCCGCCCTCCGTTGTCGCGCCAGGGAAGCGTAAAGTCAAAATCCAGCATTGGACCAGATTCGCCCTCGATTTCTCAGTCGTACACTTCATCAGCCCCGATTCTATCGAGGCCAAACACTGCCGCCAACCCCCTGGCGCCGAACAAGCTTGTGAAACGATCTCCGTCAGTCACATCCAGCGACGCTCCTCCTACACCCACACACACTCGACCGAAATCACATCTGTCTATCCTGCGGCGACCAGCGACGAGCCACCAGAGATCCGCCACCCTGCATCATTTCCGCCAGAGCACCGAATTGACCAATCTGCCCTCACCGGCGTTTTCTTTTGATCAGTCACCAAAGAAGCAAGAAAGCCTCCTAACGGCGGCGCTTTCTGCGCAATCTCGAGGAAGTCGGAGGACGAGGTGGACATCTTTTTTCCATTCGCGCACAAGCAACATAGGCGGCGGTGGGATTTCAGCCCGCCTGGGAGAGGGTGTCTCGCGTGGTCGCACAGTCTCAGGAAAACGCATCTCCCCCGGCGGCTATGATCGTCAAGAGGTACATCTTGTTACGCCCAGGATGGTGTCGCCCGCCTCAGCGCCTCTAATTGCGCCATCCCCCTTGGATCGACGAGATGAAATTCGCCAAGCCCGACCTGAGACAGGCGTTCACGTGGACGATCGATCGACTTCCCCCGAGAATGCGACTGAAAGAAAAGCGATGCGGCCTCACTCAATGCCGTTCCCTCCCGTGGTCAACTGGCTCTCGAGGACATCGGGAAGCCTTCGACAGCCAAAACGGGAGACTGAAGCGGATGGTGTGAACGACCGGCGGCACGTGTCAGCCCCAAGCAATAGTGGCGCCCAAACCGCCGTGGAGCACGACTTGAAAGCGCCGGCGCAATCACCAATCCCACCCAGTCCTCTAGGACGGCAGGGGCCGACGCTGGATTCAGCGGCCGACTCTCAGCTAACAATGCATAAAAGAAGCCATTCCTCCCCACTTCTCCCCGCCCCTCGTAAATCGAATTTTCAAATCGACGGACCACGCCTGGGATCGCCTAGCGGGGCGGCCTCTCATTCAGCACGGCAGCACCAGCCCTCCGGGAGCTCGACCAGCTCCGCTGCCATGTCGCAACTCAGAGCCTCGCCATTACATGAGAGCTTCTCTGCCAACGAAGGCTTTGAAGGCGACGCTCGCGGCTTCATATCGGCCGATGAGGACGACGCCGACTACAAGAGTGACACTGTGTTCGACTCACTGCGCACCGCAGCTTCCAGTCGCACAAGGGCTGTGGAGACGCCATTGGATTCTATTTATGACGACTCCCCCCCGAGCACCGCAGGAAATAATGGTAAGACCAAGCGCCTCTCGATACAGGAGATACTGGGTCATAACTGGGGCGGTGACACCAATATCATGGAAGAAGACGAGAGTACGATGATGCCCATGGGGGAAACTAGCGGAGCCAGGCTGAGGTACTCCAGCCGCCACATTCTTACTTTGCCTCGCATCAGCTCAGAGTCGTCGCAAAATGGTGTTTCCATTTACACAAAAGAGTTTGGTCGCATTTCATTAGACGACGATTTTGACGAGGACTGGGACGTTGATGACGACGCGCACTTCAATCCCTTGTCTCCTCCCTCCAAAGGCAGCTCAATGAATTCTCGCGTCATTAATCCAAACGTCAGGGTTGCGCTGGCGAGTATGAGCCTGGACCAAGCGTCCGATATGGATTCGGACGATCGGCCGCTGAATAACTTGTTTGATTGGAGTGAAACTTCTTTTCATGAGAAGAGCAGTTCAGACGGTGTCCCGCTGCGACCAAAGACATCTTACGAAAAGCAGGAGCTTGATGCTAGGGGCGGACGCCCTGTCATTCGCAGCCCTATACCAACACATATCCGGAGCCAAAGTGTTCCTCTTTCGCACGCCTTGGATGAGGGCAAGTCATCTACTGGTGCCAAGTATGGTACCTGGGGACTAAGCTCGAAGACAGTGAGCGAGGATTGGGATGAAGACTTTGAGTTTGGTGGCAGCGCCAATGGCTTTGGTGATAAAGCCGATAACAATCTGTTCTCGGTGCCTGAATCTATCCAGGCGTCGCAGCCCAGTGTGAAGGCGCATTCGGGGCAGATCCGCGAACTGTCTTTGCTCGTCAACGACCTCAAGCGACTGTGCCGCCACGGGCGCGATATGGACATGCTCGATGGCCCACAGAAGACTTTGTGGAAAGAGGCCGAGGGCGTCATTGCATTGGCTTCGCCCGACGAAGAGGATTCTATAGACGAGGAGAACGATGCCAACTTTTTGGATGCCATGGAGGAGTTTGATAACAATGACGGATTCTCCGAAGAAGACTTTGACGATCTCTCTTTCAGCAAGCTAGACATGGCTTTCGATATCAAGGAGCCCATGTCAAAGACGGCTGTAGTTCGTGAACGCCATTCTCCGAAACGACGATCTGTTTTCTCCCCCGACGACGACATCTTTGGTGGCAATTGGCCGTTGGTCGATGAAAGCCCGCCATCCAATCAGTCCAGTCGCTCTCGAACGCCCGAATTACGTGCTGATAGGCAAGAAGAGGCTGCCAAAGGTGCTCGCTCGGTAATGGAGGCAATGAGCCGTTCCATCCCCGACCAGGACACCCCGTCTCGTCCAGATAACAAGATGACTTTCGACACGAACAGTTTGAGGGTATTGGTGAAGAGAGCTGGAGAGCTTCGAGATTCCTTGTCAGACGTCATCCGCCGGGCTGAGCAAATAACGCAGAGCCCTGCGGTTACTCCAAGGCGCGAACGTCAAACCGACTCTAGTCCAGCTTTCACACGCATGTTTGACGATCCAGGATCGAGTCAGTCTCGTCGAACCATTCGGCATCGTGGCAACCTGTCTACCTTGCTTGATTCGCCATCGCCAAAAACTTCGGCATCATCATCTGCTTCTTCTTCGCCAATGACCAGACGCTTACAGACTATGATTGCTAGCTAGTGCACCGCCGCTCTGGTGTGGATTTACAACGGTCCGCGCTTCCAGGTCCATCACTCTTCCATCGTACAGGTTCATGGGAAACTCTGTACAGAAATAATGATCTTGTGTGTTTTTATTCTGTTTGCATAGCGACGGTTTCGGGTTTACACATTTATTCGATTAATACTCCCATGATAATGCTCCAGCACATTCATCATATTTCGACGACTCTCTCCCAGCTTAGATCAGCACGATCAGCGATGCCTTTCTACCAAAATCATTTGGCTTGCTGTACGATTCAGCTTCTTGCTGTGGGATTATCAGCAATTATAAGGCAGTTCGATTGCATTTGCTCGCGCTTTTCCACTGATAACGCGGACATCCGATTCTACGAATTCATATGAGTCGGAATTATACGAAAATTCATCGCGTACATAATAGTCCGAATGAGGACACTTTCGACATATCGCCCGTCTGTTCTTAGGACAGCAAGTAGGGCTATGCAACAGCTTCATGCTGTTGAGGGGATGTGGTGTTGTTTTTCCTTTGTCTTTCATGACCTTTTAGTATGAAGTGTCGGTGACGTCTCATTCGACAAACCGGCTTGCTACGAAAAGAAAATGAACTTTTTGGGTAGAGAGAGAGGAGGGACTTGCCTCCTTTCTCTTCCACCCACCTAAAAAAATCCTAATGACTCTAATGAGCTCCGAAACAATCAGGAGAGAGCAAGCCGATACTGAAGCTCTTTCCTTTCATGAGAAGAGGATACTATCTGCAGCTTATTTGCTCGCGAGACAACGATATGTACCTCAACGTCAACTTATAAATTATAAAAAAGAAACCAAAAAAAAAAAAAGGCCAAAGGAGCTCTGAGTGATAAAAAACAGAAAAATAACAGGGACGGACGGACACTCGGATCGGAATTACACAGGATATACACAGTGGTCGGCAAACGAAGCATTGGTATGGTGTTTGAATCTTTTGCAAAAGCGTCGGCGCAATTTTGACAAAACTTTGCGCATTTGGTGATGCTTTTCTTCTTTTTCTTCTTTTCTTTTTCCCTTCTTAGCCCCTGTTTCCCTCCCTCAATTACTTTTTAGCTTAACGAGATGCATGGATAGAGAGCTCTGAATGGCCATGACATGAACAATGACTTGATACATGAAGGTTTCTTGGTTTTTTGTGTCTCGTTCAATTGCGTGAAAGCTTTGGTGCGAGTGAAATGTATATGTTTGATGTGTTTGTGGTGACTTTTAGTACATACTTTTTTTCATCTTTTGTCTTTTCTTTACTCTACTGGACTTGGGACTCGGATACTGATAGATGCTGATACCTGTTGTTATATTGACTTGCTTTTTAAATATATACTTTCGACAAACTACTCTTCCATATTATCAACATCCTTCCCTAAGCTTCCAAATACCATCCATCTCCAACAAATAAAAAGAAAAAATATTTCCACTTTCCAATACACCAAACTCGATTATCCAATCATAAGGGTATATATCCCCTCTTCATCACAAACATAACCATTCTGTCTTTCACACAATCTACAACACAGTAATATCCATCTCTACTCCTCCTTTTGCACACACATCATAAAAAAGAACAATCCTTTACTCCTGTCATCTCGATTGATAGCACCGCATTAGGAATGACTCCAGATTTCTATACCCCTGCTCCTTGTATCTTCCCAAATCTCACAATCTTATTTGCTCGGCACCCCTCCACAAACCCTGTCCGGACCTGAAACTAGTGGGGATTGCAATATCCGTCTTCCTGCCAGCGGTTCGTCGCGGACTGGGGAGGAGGAGGATGCTGAATGAGGGCGGGAGCTGCACGTCAGCGTGGCTGCGGCGGGGGGGCTGCCACATGGGAGAGGAAGCCTTGTCGGACGCTGAAGCGGGTTTAGTCCAGAGGAACGCGGCTGGCTGAGGCTCCACGATTGACGCCTTGCTGCTGTTGCTGCGGCTTAGCGTTCTGCGGCTGGACGGCAGGGCCGAGATGCTCTTTGATCGCCCGAGGCCCTTGCGTGATGAAGAAGTGGAGGAGGAAGAGGTGGTGGCGGAAGGGTATTCGGAGATGAGGGCCATGACGGAAGGATCGAAGACTGGGCGGCTTTTGACGGACTGGGAGCGGTTCAGCCTGGTGACATTTTTCGAGGATGATGATGATGGGAGAGCCCATTGGTTCAGGCTGGAATCATCTCTCTTCACGTCCTGGGAGATTCTCTTGAATGCGGAATTCCACTGCTCTTGCGTCATGAGGACAGGCACGGATTTACGAACACTGGTCTTGCGTGCCTCTGAAGAAACGGAGCTTTCGGCTGCAACAGAGGTGGGCGTGGCAGTAGCAGGTGAGCTGGAAACCGTCACGGCACGAACAACGGTTTGTGTAACTGGGCGCTTAGTTTCAGCTGGGCACCAGAGGGAACCGGCCGCGGCCTCCGTTTTAGACGGGAGAGACCAGAGAGCCTGGCTTTCGATTGAAGTAGTCTCCGAGACGAAAACTCTGCGAGAAGTAGACATGGCGCTGGTCAAGGGCGAGATGTACGCGTTCCAGATGTCAGAGATTGGCTGGGGCAGGCCGACGGACGGCTTTGCGGTGGACAGTTGAGTCCACAGTGATGAACTAATCTTCTTCGTCTTGATAGATGTGCGAGAAGGCTGCTTTGCCGGAACGTTGACGGGTATGGACTTTGGCTGCCAGACTCCAGTTGATGGAACTTTGGTGCTCAAGGTAGGGGTCCATAGAGATGTGCTTGTAATGGTAACCACAGTCTTGGGAACATGCGCAACTCGCTGACGACGACCCGCAGGGACGAGGTAGGCATTCCAGAATTCAGCATCTGGCTGAGGCAGGCCGAATGAAGCTGCCTTGGCGGGAGATGAAGACCATAGTAGGTCCTCCACCACTGCCAAAGCGGGCTTGACAAGAGATGACTTGGCTGTCAGTGGTGCTGACTTGGCCTTCCATACTCCGCCAGAGGGTGTCTCGACGCTTGGTGTAGGCGCCCACAACGACGTGCTTGTAATCATGCTGGGCCGGGGCAGGTAGGCTTTGCGATATTCGCGTGCTGGGAGAAGGAGATACATGTCCCAGACCTGAGCATCTGGCTGTGACAGCCCGACAGAGCGTGTCTTTTCAGGAGATGGAGACCATAGAGCCTTGGCCATCTGAGAGGTCTTGGCAGGCGATGGCTTTGCAATCAGTGACTTTGGTGCCCAAACGGCCCCCGAGTAAGGAATAGCAGCCGGTAGAGGTCGCCACAATGATGTACTTGTAATCATACCGGGTCTGGGCAAGTACGCTTTGCGATAGTCGCGTGCTGGGAGAAGAAGATACATGTCCCAGACCTTTGCGTCTGGCTGTGGCAGCCCGACGGAGTGCGCCTGTTCAGGAGATGAAGCCCACAGAGCCTTTGCCACCTTCAGAGAAGTCTCAGCGTGAGATTCATGTGATGTCTTCGCAACCAGAGACTTTGGTGCCCAGACGCCTCCTGAGTAGGGAACAGCAGTTGGCAGAGGCTGCCACAAAGACGTGCTTGTGATGTTCTCAGCTTCGGACACGTTGACCGCCCGGTGAGTAGAGCGGCTCGGCAGAGCAATGTAAGCGTTCCAGACCTTTGCATCCGGCTGGGAGAGACCAACGCCGGCATCTTTAGACACAGCCGGTGCCCAGAGCAGGGTGGTAATCTTCAAGCTCCACATGTTTGCACTAGAGAACATCTCAATGGTTCTTGAAGGCTCAATGGACCACATTGAAGACGTCTGAATGGTAACTTGCTGTTGCTGCTGGGCTTGAGGAGCACGGCGAGCTACACGGCTATCAGTAGAGATGTATGCGGCCCAAGCCTGGATATCTGGCTGAGGAAGGCTCCATGGGTTACCGCGAGGAGCAGAAATCGGCAACCATAGCGAAGAAGCAACGGAAGATGCCTCAGGGGTGATGATGGCCTCTTCCTCCTTGAGAGCCGGACTCCATACACCTTGTGATACGCTAGATTTTGTAACTGAGCTCAGCTTCCACAAAGATGTCGTCTCAATTACTGCAGGAGGAAGCATTCGTGCTGCCTTGGGAGCAGGGCGTGCGACCACAGGGATATATGACTTCCAGACACTTGGCTCTGGCTGCGGCAGTCCCACAGTGGTACGAGCGCGAGAGGAAAGAGACCACAGTGAAGCAGCAGTCGTTGTCAGCACCTCAGTCTCAATCTTTTCCACCAGACTCCATACGCCGTTTGATGCGCTGTGCTTGACAGCTGGGCTCTGCTTCCACAGAGATGTGGTCTCAATCGTTGCGGGGGGAAGCATCCGTGCTGCCTTGGGGGAAGAGCGCGTCAAAGGTGAAATGTAAAGATCCCATACGCTGAGCTCCGGCTGTGGAAGTCCCACAGTCGCAACACGAGCGCGAGAAAGCGGTGTCCATACTGAAGCGGTAGCGGCAGTCAGCTGTTCAGCCTCAACTTCATTCGCATGAGTCCATACACCGGCCGAGGCGCTAGATTTGACGCTTCTCTTGAGAGACCACAGTGATGTAGATGTAATCACTGGAGGCTGTGGCATCTGAGTAGTCTTGCGGGCGACGCGGGTTGCTTCCGGGATATACGCGGTCCAGAGACTGTCAACTGGTTGAGGCAGGCCCAGGCTGGAGATGTTTGTAGGCTTCAGCGGCGACCACACCAGGCTGACAATCTTTGAGGCAGACTTGACAGCCTTGGTCTCAGGAGCACGCCAGACTCCAGATGTGTACATCGAGGCATCAGTCGCGGTAGCTGTCCACAGAGAAACACTGGACAGCTGAGTAGGCTCGTCAACCACCCGACGAACAGTGCGGGCTTGTCTGGGAGCAATGGCAAAGTACGATTGCCATTCCCCCTCACTAGGCTGCGGCAAGCCCAATCCCATCCGAGAGTCCTTCATATCGGCTGTCCAGAGAGTGGGGACTTGTAAAGAAATGTCAGAAGAGCTTTCAGATGATGCTAGCGTACCAGGGACGAAATCATATACTTCTTCCTTTACACTCTCGACAACAACATCTCGAACCGGGGATGAAGCGGGGGACAGCTCATCCTCAGCAGGCGCTTGATCCGCCCAGTCCTCCTCGCCAACCATGAAGAGGTCATCTCGGGAGGTGTCCAGGTCGCTCTCCAGCAAGCTGGCAATTTCCCAAAGAGTAGCCTCGTCAAAGCCATCGTCATATTCCTCGTTCTCGTAATCGTCCAAGCCATTCTCGAATTCGTCGTCATCAAGGAAAGTCTGAGGGGCTGGGGGAAGCTTCTTCTCTTGGATCGAGTTCATGGGGGCACGGCCGCTGGTCATGGTGCCGGAAATGCCAACCATGCGGGGAGGGATCCTGGCCAAGTCTGACTTCTCACCCCATGGGAACTGGAAGATGCCAAGATTTCCGGATTTGCCGACTAGCGGCTGTGGGTTCTCGACGATGTCTGGGAGCGTAGAGATGCGCTTGCTCTGGCGGGGAGGTCGTCGGATGACTTGTCGTGGTCGTGGCGCGGGTGCGGGTACGGGTGCAGATACAGGTGAGGACTCCTCCAGGTCTGCCAAGCTGAACTTGATAGTCTCAGCTTCGGCAATCGCAACGTTGGCGACCATGGTCTCCTCGGGCTGTGCGACAATAGGGGCGGGTAGGGCCTTGGGGGTCATCAATGAGACGTCCTCGAACTCAACAGGAGCGTTTGACTTGTTTTGGACATCTTCAAATGGGCTCAAAACTTCATCCAAAGCCAAAAAGCTTGTGGCTCTTGGCATCAATGCCGTAGAGCCGTCTTTAGCTGCGCCGAGGCCTTCCACCATGCTATCATTGTCGCTCTCCGCGCCTGACTCGTCAGTATCAGGAGGAGTAGGGCTACCAATCTGCGACATTGTTCTGGTGTTCACGGAGAGCAGGTTCATTTTACCTGAAGCCGACAGAGATCGGCGGTTGAGCTTCTCATCTCCAGAGTCGAGTGTCTCCTCCTTGGACAGCTGGTCGGAAGAAGTTGACAGGCGGTTTTCAGCATGCTCTTTGAGTGCTACGAGCAAATCACCAGCGCTTGCGTTGAGCTTAGTGATGGGCATAATCTCAAACTTGCTAATATCAACGCTGCTGCGTAATGAGTTGATCTCTGACGCGGAGACAGTGGTAGAAGGCGAGCCTTGGGAGTAGTCAACCCTAAGCATCTGCCATTGGTCCTCTTGAGCACCCATTTCAGACTCCAAGTTGGCCAAGATAGCCTGTCGCTGCTTCTCGCTAATAGTAGCGCGAGCATCTCCATTCTCAAGATCAAGGTGCTTGAGTTGCTCGTGGATCTTGTCGAGAGCTTCCTGGGCTGGTTCTTCAGGTGACGGCTCGGCTTCGATGACGACAGTGACGTTGGCTGGCCTGTACAAGGCCAGGGGCTTGGGCACCAAGAGCTTGCGCGACCTCCTGATCTTTAGCTGAGAAGAGAATGAAGGCAGCTCCTCGCCAACGCGGTGGTGCCATGATGGCAATTGGTCGACAGTCAACTGAACATCACTCTCCATTGATCTGGGCGATTCGGGCGTGGGGATATCAATGATAAAAGGAACATCCTCCGCTTCGCTCTCATCTTGAGCAACAGACCGTTTCTCGCCTGGCATATTCTTGGGCGGCACGGGGGCCATCCTCAGCATCAGAGATAGCTCAGAATCAACACTCTCGTGACGTGTAAGACGCTCGCTAAAGGAATTGAGCACCGTTGAGACTCTAGCAGGTTTTGGATCTGAAGAAAAGGCAACCGTGGAGTTGCGGCCTATGGTTTCCTCATAAGATGACTGAGTGTTTACCGACAACCGACTCTGGTAGGGCGATTGTGGTTCTTGAGCAGTCAGCGCAGTGTCGACGCTGAACTTTGAAACGCAAAGCGCACGTGTCTTCTTGTCTGTGCTGGGCATCCGAGCCAATCCCTCGTTTGGCACAACCGTCCATACATTTGTAGTCGTCTCCTCAGTAAATGGATCCTGAGAAACTTTCGACTGTTGGCTCTGGTACTCTACAGGAACAACCGGCAGATCAGGAACAAAGGACGTTCTTCGAACAGTCTTGACTCTTGTGAGGGATCCGGGCGAAGTTGCTCCGTAAGTGCTCTGCGATAGGCTTTTCACACTCACGGGAGAGATCAAAGGCATGTTTGGTGTTGGGAGGAGCGCAAGGTCATCTTGAGCAGGGTCGATGGAGAGTCCCAAGAGTTCAGAAGCTGACGCCGTAGACTTGCGTGGAATTGGCCTTGGTCGGTGGATCATCGATTTTCGGGTTGGAGACTCGCTCTCGCTCTCTTCCTCTGCTTCCATTTTTGCGGCGGCCAGGATGGGGACAGTATCCTCCTCACTATTCATAAACATAATCTGTCGCTCATGCACGGTGCCTCGTTCCCCACCGAATACCCTGGTTGCTCTGGCCCTTGGGTTGTTCGGCAGTCCTACGGTTGCCCTTCGCTGAAGAGGAGTCTTCGTATCCGGCTTCTCTTCTTCCGCAGGTAGTGACGGGGGACGCTGTCGAGATGGTCGGATATTGTTCTTGACGGAATTGCTTCGAGGCAACGTTGCTGTCCGAGGATCCACCCAAACCTGATCAACAGAAGCTGGAGGTGCTGCAGGTGCAGGAGGACGAGGCGGGGGTCGAGGGGCAGCAACTTTTGCAGACTTTGGACCCTCGGGACTAAACATCATTGTCGACGCAATTCGTGCTGTCATGGGATCCATGGTGCTGACACTGAAGTGAGAGGCCGCGGCCGTTCCGGACATGGCTCTATCCTCCTCGAGCCTTTTCTGCAATGACGGGATAGGGGGCGGCGGCGGTGCTGCCAGGGCCGCTGGTACACTTTGAAGAGGAGCTGACTTTGGCGTTCTTGCCTCCTCCTTTGGTGAAATAATTGGCGGGGATGGCGCGGAGCCGTCCCTCTGATGGCGAGGGGATCGTCTGCGAGCCGACTCTGGGCCAGGAGAGAGCTGTACAGCGGACGTCATGGCGAATGCGGGCTCGTCGACGGTAAGGAGATTTCGGCTGTTGCTCGGGGCTGCAGATTCGGGAACCTGCTTTCGTTTCGCTGCAGACAACTTGCGCGTGACTTCTGTAGGAGATGGAGCTTTGCCAAGTCCTATATCGACGTTTACAAAAGGATTCTGAGGCATCAGCTCACGACGCTCCTTCTCCTTCATCGCTGCGGTGGCCAGATCGATGGTCGGGATGTTGTCAAAGTTGCTGGTTTCCGCATCCATCTGCACAATCGGCTTCGATATGACAATCTTGCCGCCCTTGTAAGCCCTGTCCGTCATCTTCTTCCTGCTGTACGCTCTGACGGGCGCAGTCTGAGCTCGCATTGGGGGAAACAGCTCGCCTTCGACGGGAAGCCCACCGATGCCGCGAGAAGCCTGTCCGAAAGGCGGGTGGCTGATGAGAGGTAGGGCGCCATTGATTCTTTCCATTGCCGTCTGCGAAGGGAACTCTCGAGTCTCCAGGTTGCGGGTTGGCAGCTCAATCGTGGACTCGAATGATACGGTTTTCTGAATCTGCAGACCAGACGTCGATGGCGGGGGCACGAAACTCCTTGCGGTAAGGGCGACGATTCCTGCCTATGATGAGCACTCACTTATCAAAATACAACCGTTGGGACATACCAATTAAGATCAATAGGCCAATAGCAGGCAGGATTGTTCGGACAGCCAAGCCAGTAGACTTGAGTCCGAGGAAGAGGGGCGTGCTCAACTATGGCTGTGTCAGCATTTCAATCATCCTTGAGCATCAGGAGCACTCACGGCAGTCCACATGCCCAGTCCAACGGTAATGAGGATCAAGGTGTTGGTCCGAGACAGCTCCGGCCTGATAGCATCGCTCTTCTTAGCAAGGAAAGCCTTTGTCCCCAGAATCATCACCATGGCGATGTCAACAACCATGACAACAATGCCGATGGGGAGAATCAAGTTGGTGGCAACGCAAACGGTGTCGAATTGAGGCCGTTGAACTCCAACAAACACGGCGCCGAGGATGAATCTGAGGAAGAGACCGCCCTGCAAGACAAGCGACAGCTTGGAGACCTTCATGCCGCCGTTGACCCCCCATAGCAAAAACTGTTCCACCGAGAAGCGAGCGAGTTGGTCGAAAACAGTGGCGAATGAAATGGCGACCTGGCACGCCGAGGTGACATTGTGGGAGACGAGGGTCGCCGCGAATTCGAGGATTCCCCAGAGCGTCGAGGTCGCGAGGAAAACGACGAGGGCCAGCCTCAGTTCGTCTCGGAGCAGAGGCGATCTATTGGCTTTGACAAAGAAAAATATGGCCGCCGATGCGGCTAGAACAACAAGACCACTGCAGGGTTTTACGATTCTACATGTTAGCCCAAAACTGTTTCCTCACTTTTTATATACACCAGATATCGCCGTCCTCTTCAGTCGAACACCAGGGCCACGCACAAAACGAAAGTCGCGACCAAAGCCGGGGCGCTGCTGGAGCCGGCCATTGCAGCGACACCAGATGGTAGTTGAATTAAACGGTCGAAAAGAGAAGCGAACACCCAGTCAATGGGCTACGAAAAAGCAGCAAAAAAAAGGGGAGCGACGGAAGAAACGAAGGGAGAGAAGAAAAGGTATCAGCACAAGAACAGAATTAAACCATAGCGAAGGTCCGTCAACTCCTCACAAACTCCAAATGTACGCGGCAAATCTCCAGCGCAGCAAGAGAAAAGCGTGAGTTGGGAAAGAAGAAGAGAGAGAATGGAAAAAGGAAGCCAAAACGAGCCTCTCAAACAAAGGCCATCGCCAATTCTGGGGCGAACTCGTATGACCCCGGGCAGGGCAACCCAAAGCTGCGACATCAAGCCATGGCCCGTTCTACGGAGGTGCGCGTATAGCTCGACCAGGCCCAAGAAGCTAAATTTTACGATTGAGCTGCCAAGAAGCGCAGATGCCAGGCTTGACACACGGCAGTGTCGAATCAAGCGGCCGCGCACAAGAGGAAAAAACACCAGGGCTGCTCAGAAGAGGAGTCTTCCGGGGTGGCGCCGTTTCACTTGAAACCTCCAACGTCGGGAGACGCGCAAGGGTTTGCGAGATGATACACGAAAAAAGCCTCCTGTTCTAGCACGGGCAAACGAAACAAGGCCGTTGGAGGCAATGAAAGTGGCTTTAGGCGAAGAGGAGAGGCGCGCAGAGAAGGGCGTCGGATATGCATTTCTTTCTTTTGGCCACATGCCAGCTGCTTGTTTCTAATTGACGCTCTTGGTGCAGAGGCTCCAAAACGAAGAGCGGATGTGCGCTACGGAAGATTAGCAGAGTCAAGGTGGAGAAGCTGCTTTGCCGCAAGATTAGATCTCTATGCGCAGAGATCTATGGAGCAGCTTGGGATTGTCGATGAGATGAGCATGTCCAATGCGCCACTCAGGCGATGGGCCTGGCTCGTAAAACAAGAATAGGTACAGCAGGTAATAATGAAATGCCTGTATGCGTCCAGGATATGCTGGAAGACGAAATGATGGGCAAACATCTCCCGGGCCGGTTATTTTAGGAGTGCGCCGGCCCGGCTAAGAAGGAGCTGGACCCCTGTAAATGGCACGCTGCAAGCGAGGATAGAGGCAGCCACAGCAGCGTTGTGCACCGCCACAAACAAACAACAAGCAGCTGGACTTGTAGAGACAACGATGGTGCTTCCATAATCCGGTTCTGTTTGATGATTCGGATGTCCGTGCCGGAGACTCGCAATTCTGGCACTAGATCGAGGCATCCAAGTTGGGTGGATCTCGCGGCGAGGAAGATTAAAGATTAGGTATGGAGTATTAGGCTGTGGCTTCAATACTAACATGGTCACATGCATGATGATGCACGAGCATGGAGCAGATATCAAGCTGCTGCATCCTTAATCATGAGGCCGGCCCGGTCTCTGGAAGCTATAGACGTGAGATTCAAGGGCGTGATGGAACTGCAGTTGTAACTGCTTGTATAACTCCGCGGCGGCTTATATCGGAAGTTCTCGATATGGTAAGATGAGATATTACAACACTCGGACAAAACGACGTCAAATGCTGATGGGAGAAGTGGTAACATGTAGTAAAAGAAACGTTACAATGCTTTGAACTTGCAGGTTTTGAAGTTTTAATAAGCCTCTAAACATGAAAGCCCTATCAAATACATCTACCCTAGAATAACTCAGATGATTGTTTTATAAACAGCTTCAGTAGATTAACAGTCATCATTCAATTAGCAACCATTCACCTCCTAGAGATTCTTTCATCCTATACGTAATGTCCTTCATCAGTCATCAGCATAGTCATCTCTAACAAAATGTAAAGGCAACTGTTCACATTAAGCCGATAACTAGCGTCCCAGCCTACGTCGCAATTTCTTTCCAAACGACCTTTGCAGTGTGGACACCACGCAGATCAAGCCATCCAAAAAACTTCCAAAGCAGACATCTGATTAACAAATCCTCTAACTGCTCTCAGCACTGGCGCCCACCCACTCCTTCGAAATCCTTACTTGTATTAGCTAAACAATTCGAACAAAGCTTGCCAAAAACGCCACCAAAGATTGCTCGTAGGAGTCACAAAGTTCCAATCTATGCCTCGTCTAATCTATTAACCGCCAATGGGCAGGCAGCACGAGACTTGTTCTTATACGACATCTCCGCATGGAAACTAACTTCTTCATGTACATGTGAGTACGACGCCATCATGCAGCTGCTGCTAGTGCCTCTATCTGGCTCATGCCCGCATATGTCTCTCAGACTTCATATATGTCAAAAGTGTAGATGGAATGCCTTATATCGGCGTCTCGATCCAGTACATGCAACTTTCAGCCACAGCCCCCCCACCCCCAGAACCCTTAAGGCAATTCCGCCCGATCCCATCTTGAACGTGCATGACCACATAGTCTATTCGTTAGCCAATCGTTTCACTCCGGTAAATAATCAAAGGGCCATCTCGAGTTACTTGGTAATAGTGCCCGTCACTCGCAAACCGGCCCGGAGAGGCGTTCCGTCTCTCGCATCCGGTTGCCGCGCTTCTTTCATATTGCCTCTTTGGGGCAATAAGCTTCAAGTCACCAATAGAGAGGAACAAGTCGCGCTTGGTAATGCCCTGACTCACTGCCTATCGAGAGATGCATGTGTAACTGCATGAAACTAAGATGTAGACTTGCAGCTGTCATATCATTGTCATATATAAGCCAACGAAGTTCGCAACTTCAACAACATATTCTTCTCATCACCAACCATCCAGCATCTTTCTCACATCACACACTCCCCATCTTCAAACTCATCATCTCAAACATCACCACATAAAAAGTATATAAAAAGTTATTAAAGCACAAAACCGCCATCATGGGCCGCCACACTCTCGAATACCCCAAAACCAGCGCCAACACCGTCCGCCGCCACAACGAGCGCGCCAGCTACGCCCTCGAAACCATCCACCGCCTCATCAACGCCTCGCCCATCATCGACGTCGCCTTCAACACTCCCGATTCGCCCTTCCCTGCCGTCCTGCCCATGATCGGCCAGATGGGCTCCTTTGACCGTCCCAGCGCCGACATTGGCGACCCCTTGGACCTGTACATCCACGGCTACGTCTCCGCGCGCATGTTCAACGTCACAAAGGCCGCCACCACAGAGGATCAAGAGGAAGAGGAAAAGGGCCTGCCCGTGACAATCTCCGCCTCGCACGTGGATGCCCTCATCCTCGCTACTTCGGGCTTCAACCACTCGTACAATTACCGCTCCGTCGTGCTCTTTGGCTACGCCACTCTCGTCGAGGACGACGAGGAGAAGAAGTACGCTCTGGAAGTCATCACCAACGGCATCGTTCCTGAGCGCTGGCAGAAAACCCGCCAGCCCCCCACCAAGGCTGAGATGACGAGCACCAGCGTCCTCAAAGTGAGAATCGCCTCGGGAAGCGCAAAGATCCGGGATGGCGGCGTCATGGACGACAAGCACGATTTGCAGAATGAGGAGGCGCAGAATTCGGTGTGGACGGGTGTTTTGCCCATCTACTCCAGTGTTGGAGAGCCGATTCCCACGTCATATAACAAGGTGGAGATCCCATCGAACGTTTCTGACTTTATCAAGGATTATAACAAGGAGAATAAGGAGTATGCTCTTGAGGCTGCAAAGAAATAGAGAGAGGGAGAGAAAGAAAGAACAGGCTTAGAATGCGCTATATGTTACATCTATGATATTACATGCGAGATTGTTCAAGATACATTTTACAAAGCGTTAATTTAGAACACAAACAGAGAAAAAAGAGGCGTTTCCTGTTTTCCAATCAAATGACTCAACATTCAACCTTTCCATTACCATCTCTCCCACAAAGAAGCCGGCAAACTTTTTCTCATAATCGCCCAGTGTCCATCCGAGTTAACCTGCTGCCCCTTACTGACCTTGTCCGTTCCATTCCTCAGTAAAATACCCTCTTCATCGCTTCCAATGGAAAACAAATCCCGAGGCAACATCTCATTCAGCGGTTTCAAAAAGTTTTGCCTTGAGACACTATTCAGGCAATCTTCTTTCACTACAGGACGAAACGTCAGTGCGCCTTCAGTCTTGCGGCAAAAGATCATCATGTTGGTGAAATCTATGCCTGACTCCGCAATGGCTTTCTGATCAGCGGGGTTCTCGCGAAATATGCGACAAGTTGGAAATTGCTGTAAGATAGTCCGGACAATAATCTTGGGAGTCGGTAGCATTAGATTGCCAGCATAATTCTAGTTCCTCAGGTTAGTCATTTCCATTTTGTTTAGAAAAGAAAAAAAAAAAAAAAAAATCAGAGTGACTACACTTACAATTACAATAACGCCATCGGGCTTCAGCAAGGTATACAGATTTTGGAAGAATTCCAAGGTGAACAAATTCACAGGCTCCGCACCACCCGTGAAGACATCATGGACAATGTAGTCATAGACCTCGTTGGTTTCGTTGGCAGCCCGAGTAGTATACTTGACTGCGTCTTCAATAACCGCCGGACGATTCTCTTTGAGCTGGAAGTGCCTCTGGGCAAATTCGTAAACTACAGGGTCAATCTCCACGACGGTAGTGTCAATTCCATGAGACACAAGCGCAGATGGCGCTGTTCCAATACCAAGACCGCTAAACAGATAATCATGAGCCCCAAAAGGTCCTGTAATAAGAAGGAAAGAGTGAGGCAAAACAACTTACATGACCAGGGCCTTGGCATCAGCGTCCGCCAACGGCACCTCTCTCTCAACAAGACGCACTGCTTCCAGCGTAACAAAGACTGCGTAAACAGGTTCCACCACTTGCTCTTTGCGCCACTCTACCCAATCCCCTCCCAGCAAGCTGTGGTCCGCTCGCATCACCCGCATCTTGCTGTTTGTGTTCTCCACCACCGAAATGTACCCAGTCACCGACTCCCGTCGATCCAGAAGCATCCAGTTATCAGCCAACATTGTGTCGTTCAAAAGTGCTGTAGCCGTCGGCGTAGACACATGAGGGTTGAACATTGCCGTGTGTATCAATGCCGGGACCGCAAGGACCAGATACTTGGACGGCGCAAGCAGCGTATACGAGCCAGCCAAGAGAACTTCGATCCCCACGCGCGTGTACCAAAACATTGTTCCGACATGCTTCCGGAGGTGCATCTCTGCTATATGCTCCACGAGCTTGAACGTTCCCCACGATCCGAGCCCAGGGGCGGCCTCCCCCAGAAACTTGGGCAGCAAGCTCATATCTGCACCGTCCAGACAATCCGCCACAGAAGCAGCAGATAGAATCGCCAGCGGGAACAAAGTCACGGCTTCCGTTACCAGGGGCCCATACTGCGGTCCCAGAGTCTGGCTGAACCTATACAAGAAGCACTGCACCATGGGCACATATATGGCAACCAGGGGCAGAAGCTGCGACGTCTTCACGGCGAGGATTTGACGAAACGCCAGATTGCCCGCCCAGCCAATGAAGCATCCCGCCATGACCACCTTGGAATGCCACGTCGCTGCCGATATCGAGCCATACACAGGCGAAAGCGCCAGCTGCGACGCATGAGAGTACACGCCCAGCAGAGTCAGCAGCGCCAGGGTCTTGACGTAGATGGCCACCTGCTCGACAACGGTGTTGCTCCACGTGTTGCTCTTGGCCTTGGAAGCCAGATCTTTCAGCTCCTTTTCAAACCTCTCTGGGGTGAATCCCATTGAAGTGTCCTGGGCATCTTGTTGAGATGCCTTTTTTGGGCGCGCCATGGTCCAACGATTGACTGAAACAGAGCTATATAAAAGGAAAGGAGACGTAAAATGAGAATAAGAAATGCGAGTCTGTTGGAAAAGAGGCCAATAAAAAATGAACAACGATTAATGAAGCAAAAAAAAAAAAAAAAGCAACCGAGCAAGAAAGCTTCAAATGGCCGGCATTTGAAGAGGACAATCGAACGATAGGCTGGATGTGTGAAACAGGGAGTTGCTACGTTTCAATTCCAATCTCAGGCAAAACATCTTTGGGGCAGAACACGGAGGTGCTTGGCGTGCAGTACCTGTGGCGGTGCATTTCGAGTGACTTGGCTGTGGCGCATACGCCACACTAAGCATCGCCATCAAAAGGGAACTTGGATATTCTACACAACTTGAAGTCTGCAGATCCACGAACAAGAGATGTTTTAATTATACTTTGCTTTATCCCATGTAAGTACTAACAATAGTCTCTATAGTTTTGAGGAACCTTGATAGAGCACATTGGTCTGAGGCAATAAGCATAAAAGTCACGTCATAGTCCATCAAGGTGAGCACGCCATATTGGCATAAGATGAAAAGAAAAATCCCATCTTGGATTGGACTGCCATAGCTCTCATTCTGCTCTCTTAACAATCTAATATGTCCAATTACTTGACAACTCTTTCATTCACAAAAGCCATCCCTTCTTCTCCCGTTTAACGCCTTGTTAAACACGCTCGGATCCCCGCTGGCCTCCGAGCGGGTATCAGCTCCAGTGGCCTCTTGCCTATAACACAATGCCGAAACGAACTGGGGAAGAAAGAAAAGAAAAGAAAACCCCCAAAAGAGGTGAAACACGAGAAAAACATTGCGTCAAAACGTTAAAGTCATCAAACTCCTCTATCGCATCAGGGTGAGGTGGAAATGCAATAAATCAGAGGGTGCCCACGTACACAAAAACTGACGCTCGAAATCATCCATTCGTTTCCAAAAGTGCATTTCCATCACAAAGAAAGAAATCAAAGAAATGCAAAAAGGTAAGGTGTGGTAAGGGGAAATAAAGACAAGGAGAAGCAGAAACATTGCAATAATTCCACAAGCAGTGATGCCTTTTCTCGAAATATCATCACATCGGCGTTGCGTAATCGTCGTCCTCCATGCCTTCGTCACTGCTCTCCGTTTCACTCTGAGGGCTCTGCGCACCGCTCACATCTGTGCTGTGAAAGTTGCTAAAGCTACCCAGGATGCTGACTCCGCCAGAGTATGAACCAGGCATGGACATGACAGAAAAGTCTGCCGCGCTGCCGGTGCGGCTCATGGACGGCTTCTCCGGAAGCTGCTTCAAGAGACCAGTCGAAATGTCCAGCATGGTCATGGCAAATTCAGTTAGGCCTTTGCTCTGACCCGGCTTGGAACTCACTGACAACGTCCAGCGATATTCGCCGAGCCGGCGCCTGTACCAATCCGCCTCTTCTCGCCCTGGTGACGTCGCCCAGAGCAAGGATCCAAATGTACCAATGAGGGCAAAGTTGGTCTTGGAGGCGAAATACCAAAATGATTGGACATGGTTCGGCATCAAACGATTGACAAAATCCATGGCAGAAATCAGACGAGCCTTTGCAGCACTCCGACAAATATGCTGTACATATGGATCTACCGATGATGTATTCGATGCTAGAGATCGAATAATGCGTCTATGAAGGGTGATTTCCGTTGCAAAGTATCCCAAATGGAGATAGCCAATGCACGAAAGCCTCGACGACAATCTGCTCGCAGAGTATGAATCTAGTCGGATGTTGGTGGGTAACGCTCCGTACCACTCCTTGAGCTTGAGCTGAATGGGCTTTGCCAGTGAAAGTACAAGCTGCGTTCCTCCCGACCCTGCGTTCGTGACGGTCTGCATAGCCTGCAGGGTATAAAAGGTGTCGAGAATCTCGGAGAGGATCTCAGAGAGCTGTACGAATCGAGTGAAGACCAGTCGGCCTTTTTCAATATCCTGGCGCTCTTCCGCATCGTTTTCGTCCCATTCGACATCAGGGAAATCATTAGCGCGTAACGGTCGAACAGCCCAGTTGGAAGGGAAGATGTGGGACGGTCTTCCGTGGACGAGAGATCCCCATTTATCTTGCATATAAAGGGCCCAGGCCAATCGCCTTCGCAGCCCCTTTTCCCATGGGGGAATCTTCCACCCCGCACAATCCAGGTGAAGGCCGAGTTCCTGGGCAATGGCAACTAGCTGCGCCGTCGGAGCCCACTGGTCGCCCTCGGGTCGCTGAGACAGAAGGAGTCCGGCTTGGACTGTCGACAGCTTCGGTCGGTACATGGCATCTTCGAGAGTAGTTCGGACGAGTTTCTCCAACTCTTTGGTGTCCGGACGGGGCAGCTTGGAGAGCTCCTCGTGATGATCCCACCAGTTGATGGCAAGGATGTACACGGCGGCAAGAATCGGTGGTGAAAACTCACGATACGATCGTTCATACTTTTCTAGGAAGACGCCTTTCTGAATAATGGGTAAGCCGGGGTGGACAACTCGAAAGTATAAATCGATGAGTTTGCGGCCATGGGGGGCGACAATAGCCTCGATGGCGTCCAAATCTTCAACTACATGTTCGTGTCCGGTTGTTCCCTGGTCCGGGAGCATCAAAAACGTGTCAGAATCGCTGACTTTGCGAAGAGTGCCGCGGGCTAACAGGCTCTCGTCATGGGTGTCAAAGGGAGAGAGATTGATGAGAGAGGGCTCGAAATCCGTCGTGGGGCCGATATACTGGCTGTACCTGTCCTCCTGGAGACCCAACGTCCGCTTCAGCATTGTGGGGCCGCCGACGTTGGCCATGTCTTCCAAGAACGAGCTGCTGGCAGCGGTGCTCGAGAGACTGGAGTTTTGATTTCTGCGGATGGAGATGCCGGGGGAGCTAGAAAACCAATCATGTGTCAGATGATTATGCAACGTGGGAGTGGCAGGATAAGGTCAGGATAGTAGTGTGGTGGAACAAGCACAAGTAGAGGCGAAGCAATCTGGCACGGGGGAAAGAGAAAACAAATCAAAATCAAAACAAGGCAAGGTACACACGCAGCCATACTGACCCTCTTTTGACGCTCTCATCGGCAGAGTCTCCGTTAAGCTTCCTTTTACGGGTCTGAGGACTCGACGACACTAGGGAGCATTCGGTGCCGTTGAGCTGACAAGGCATGCAGCCATCGTCATCCTCGGCCACGGTACACCTGGTTGCAGAGAAGCGACAAGCCTGGCATGGGGGAGCAGGCGCCCCAGGAAATGATCCGGAGTCGATGGATCCCCTGCCATGCAAGCTCGCGGGGCCTATCTCGAACCTGTGGGAGCTGTTCTGGCGCCGCGGGAGAGGGAGGGGCTCCAGTCGAGGAGGCTTGGGAGCAATGGCGATTGGTGCCGTGCGCTGGATAGGAGTGTCATGGGCCATGATTGGACCACCTTGGATGCAGCTGTGGCCGCAGCAGTATATGGATTTCTGCACGTATGCGTGTACGTGTACTGTATATAAACAGAACGAGAGATATGTACCAGCACCCTATTGGGCACGTACGTGTTGTTACTGTGCAGATAAGTAGAAGATCGGCCGGGGCCAGGCGCTTGTCTGCCCGTCTGTCTCCGTCCGTCTGCTTGTTGTCTGTCTGCTAAGATGGCAGTTTACCCGCGCTTTTGCACTGGGGCGGGGATAAGAGCCGCGAGCACGAGCTGCGTGTAAAAAAATAGAATAAGGGAATGACAAGCCACCCCCGGACGCAGGTGATGCTATTCGCCGTCCCAAGGCTGGGCAAGCAAGTCTCCCCACGCCTGTCAACCTCAAGCTGGGCTATGACGCAACCAGTGCAGCAGCTTGTTACGACTGAAGCTTGAGTCCAACGGCCAACATGAGAATGAGACGAGATGAGATGAGCGTCTCTCGAGCTGCCCGATAACGGAATCGGCGGAGAGATAAGGACTGGAGGGACGGCAAGGACCAAAAAAGCCCAGCTTATTCCTCGCAGCAGTGGTTGGCCAGGATCCCGTGGGATAGATACTGTATGAGATCGGCCCTGGCTGCTTTTTTGTGGGTGTCCGTGATAAGGTTGCTGAAAAAGGGCGCGGCGCCAGGCCAGGCCGCTACTGTTTAGTCCGAAGGAGATAAGGAGCACGAGCAAGACTGGTCGACGACCCGGTCGCTGGTACCCGCCAAAAGACGGCCTTTTTTTCTCGAGTGCGGCAGGCTGTTGGGATTGGGGGAACAAGACTGCAGATATTGATTGATATAGGAGTACTGTGATTGATGGCAGATTTGGAGGAGATACGCGTTCCGGGATCTCAGGTGATGATAGTGGCCAAGATGAGATAGGCTTTGGTTATCGGCGTCATTTGAACCAGGGGCTTTGAATATAAAGCTGCAGATAGCACCGCCTCGCTTTTCCCTTGACTCTCTCTTCTCTTTCTCAGATGAACTTCATCAGCCTGGGGCTCTTTAGAATCTTCCGGCGGAGAGCATCGGACCAAGTTTGGGCCGGCAGAGATAAGTGAAGTGGTGGTGGTGGTATCAGCAGATGCTGAGCTATGCGTGATGGATATGACAGATGATAGCTGGGCCTCTGGAGCCGGGGGGCCAGAACCGAGATCTTGTATGCCAAGAGCCACGCAGGAGCGCCGTTGCGTCGTCTCGCTGTCCCGAAAAGCACCGATGGAGTGAGGCAGAAGACGAGGACGGGAGAAGTGAAGGAGAAGGAAGAGGCGTCGAGATGAGGACCTGGACAGCGACTGAAATGACATGTGCTTCCCCAGACCCAGGCCAGGGCCACCCTTTTTGCCGGAACGGACCCAGCGGAGTCTTGGAGGGACGGGCTGGACGGTCGCGCAAGCCCAGCGCGATCCTGGAATGGGCGCCGGTCCCTCGCCGATGGCTAGTCAGTCGGAGCAGCCAACCCAGCGGCGGCGGTTTGTAAAGATGGCGTCTGCTTGGCGATCTTTGGCAGCCTCACTCACCTCAGCCCGGAAGACCCAGCAGGCGCAGGTACCTTGTAGCGTGCTAAGTCACCCAACG